TTAGCGTTTTTCTTTTTGCTTTTTCCTCTCTTTTCTTTTTTCTCTTTTTTGCTTTTTCTCACTTCTCTCTTTTTGCTTTTCTTTTCTATTTTTGCTTTTTCCCGTTGTTCTCTTTTTCTTTTTTCTTTTTTTCTTTTTTGCTTTTTTTCTATTTTTCTTTTTGCTTTTTTCTATTTTGGATTTTTATTTTACTTTTTGATTGTTTTTCTTTTTACTTTTTCTTTTTTCTTTTCTTATTGCTTTTCTCTTTTTCTTTTTGCTATTTTCTCACTGTTTTCTTTTTTGCTTTCTCTTTCTTTTTGCTTTTTTTCTCTTATCGTTTACTTTTTCCTTTTTTTCATTTTGCTTTTTTCTATTTCTTTTTGTATTTTATCTTTTTGCTTTTTAGGGCTTTTGTTTTTCTCTTTTTGCTATTTTCGTTTTTACTTTTTCACACTTTTTGCATTTTTCGCTTTTTGTGTTTTTCCTTTTGCTTTTTCTCTTTGTTTTTTTCTCTTTTTGCTTTTTTCTCACTTTTTTCTTTTGTTTTTTTTTTCTCTGTTTGCTTTTTAATTTTCTCTCTTTGTCTTATCTCTTTTTTATCTTTCTCATGTTTGCTTTTTTGCATTTTTGTCTTTCGTTTTTCTATTGATTTTTTATTTTTCTCTTTGCTTTTTTCTCGTTTATTCTTCTTGCTTTTTTTCTCTTTTAGCTTTCTCACTTTTCTTTTTCTCATTTTTCTGTTTTTACTTTCTCTTTTCTTTTTGCTTTTTTTTTACTTTTTCTTTCTCTTTTTATTTTGTTTTCTCTTTTTTTCTCTTTTTGCATTTTTTCTTTTTTGATTTTTTTTCTCTTTTCTTTTTGCTTTTTTTCTCACTTTTCTTTTTTCGCTTTTGCTTTTTCTCATTATTTTTGCTTCTTTACTTCCTTCTTTTTTTCTTTTTTCACTTTTTGCTGTTTACTATTTTTGCTTTTTTCCTTTTTGCATTTTTCTCATTTGCTTTTTCTATTTTCTCTTTTTTCTTTTTACTTTTATTTTCTTTTTGCTTTTTTTCTCTTTTTGATTTCTCTCTTTCTGTTTATTTTTTCCTTAATCTTTTTGATTGTTTCTTTTTTTTTAATTTTTTCTCTTTATTCTATTTTCTCGCTTACTTTTCATTTTTTTCTCTTTGTCGTTTTGCTTTTTTATTTTGTTTACTCATTTTTTTCTTTTGCTTTTCTCATTTTTGCTATTTTCTCTTTTTGCTTTATTCTCTTATTTTTCTTTTTGCCTTTTATCTTTTTGCTTTTTTATCTTGCGTTTTTCTCTTTTTGCTATTTTCTTTTACTTTTTCTCTTTCCTTTTACATTTTTCTCTTTCTGTGTTTTTTAGGGGGGGGTTCTCGCTTTTTTCTTTTTTAGCTTTTTTTCTTTCTTTTTGCTTTTTTCTTTTTGCTTTTCTCATTTTTGTTTTTTTCTCTTTTATTTTTGCATTTTTTGCCTTTCGTTTTCTTTTTTTTTTTTCTTTTCCTTTTCTCTTTTCTCCCCCCCCCTTTTTTTTTTCTCTTTGCTTTTTTTTCTTGTTTCTTTTTACTTTTCTCACTCCGGAAATAATCATTGCCCTATTTCTTTTGATTTTTTCTCCTCTTGATTTTCTTTTTCGTTTTTTCTCTCTTTTCAGTTTTCGCTTATGCTTTTTTTCTTTCTTTTTGCTTTTTTTCTCTTTTCTTTTTTCGCTTTTGCTTTTTCTCTTTTTTTGCTTTTTCTTTTTTTACTTTTTCTCTTTTGCTTTTATCTCTTTTCTTCTTGCTTTTTTTTGCTTTTTCTTTTCGCATTTTTCTTTCCTTTTTGCATTTTTTCTCTTTGCTTTTTTCTTTTTTCACTCTTTTTTCTTGCTTTTTCTCTCTTTTTCTTTTTGATTTTTTCTTTTCTTTCTTTGCTTCTTTCCTTTTTGCTTTTTTTCTCTTTGGTTTTTACTCTTTTTTTTCTTTCTGCTTCTTTCTCTCTGCTTTTTACTTTTTTTATTTTTCTCTTTTTCTTTCTTTTTCATTTTGCTTTTTATCTCTTATTTTCTCTCGAGATGATGAATTATCTTGGGAATGAAAACCTAGCCTACAAAGTAGCTGGTTGCTTTCTCCAGTGTGAGTACACTGGTTGTGTAACCCTGATTTGCCAAGGCAAATGGTTCCCCCCACACACACACCTTGGCCCTTGTAGGGCTCCTTGGTGGGTGGGGAGTTCAGCCAATGAACTCATGATATTTTTTATTGATATTGAAAAGCAAATAACTCAAGTGCAAAAATATCCCACAAAAATCTATCAAGCGACTCCATCAGGAGCTAAGTTCTAAAAATGAAGATGATATAAAGGCCCTGGTATTCTTAAGATTTATAATCTTGGAATTCCTGGAGAATATTCGAATTACAAACCTATCACCGTTTGTAATTGAAAAGATTATTTCGGCAAATATAATACCCAAAACGGTTAAGAAATTTAAAAAAATGGAACAATTCTTGGTGAGTTTGAACAAAAAAGGACTCTGACTTTCTATTGAAAATTTTTTAAAAAATTACATACACGCCGAATAAAAACATAGCCACATCAAACCCTGAATTCATCTAAAGGTGTTGTAAGAAGTCAATAACTCTCCTTTTGCACGATAGATGGAGTAAAGGCGTTGAAAAGATTGTCAGTTAGAAGAGATGACCAAACTATACAAACCAGCACCTATATTATCACATTTAATGTCTCCAATCTCCCTGAACGGCTCAAAATTGGATATAGCATGGAAAGAAGTGAACTGTACATTCCTGATCCCCTGGAAATCTATAACTGCTATAAATTTGAGCACCATGAGGAAAGTGCTCAGAATGAATGGTATGCCCTAAGTGAGCATAAAGACCCCCCAACCATCCACCAAACGAATGTCAAGAGCCATTACGCTGTGCAAATTGTGGAGGGGATCACCCCACATATTCAAAGAAGTGTGAGAAATGGAGAGGCTAAAAAGAAATCCTTTCAATTAAATATACAGAGAATATCTACTTCATTGAAGCACGCGGGATAGTACAAACTCAAACACACAACCAAATCACAAACGTAAAAGCCAAAGTGAATGACTCTCAAAGGGAAAATAAATATAAGGCCCTACTTCAGGAACTGCTGTCACTAGAATCATGGCAAATAGATATCGATATTCAATCTCTTCCGTCAAAATCTTCGGTTTATTCTAAACGATGCCAAACAGAGCGTCTTGATCAACGTTGAAGGTCGCCCGGTACGTGGTTGATTGTTTAAGCTAAAATCACCCTGGTGAAATATCAAACCACATTTTTTACCGCCCGAAGAGCTGGAGCATTATCCAAATAAACCTGAACTTTGTTTTGTTTTGTTCTTTGTTTTTGTTTTTTTTTGTCACAGTTCCAACGCTTACTCCTTTCCAAAATTGATAGAGCATAATATAGCGAAAGTGCATCTTTTCATCCTCTATATTTAAGGCATTCATTTGAGGACAAAATGTCAACATTCAACAATGCCTGACTCACAAGTGAACGCTGCAGGGTTTCAATCTAGAATACACCAGAAATCAGTACCAAAACAGTTGAGGCAATATTATATTAACATTGAAAATCGGCCACGAATTTTTGCAATGATCTAATAGATGTTTTATCCAGGGCTTCACTTGCTCGCTTGGATAGGTGACACATTGGACAACTATACCGATCAGCACTTCCCTCCTCGTCGATCCTGACAAGTCCGTCTTCTGCCAAGGCGGACCAGGATCGTTTTCCCAATCCCAAGCATAACTAAAAAAAAAGATCCGCATCCGGAAATAATCAGTGCCCTGTTTGTTGTCGTTTGATCTAAAAACCTTCATCCACTCCTTTACTTTCCCGTTTCAAAGTGGATGCCGCTTAGAAAACCGGACTTCAAAAAGAAACATCTATTCATCTACTGGATATCAAACACTTAAGGTTGAGATAAAACCGCATCTTTCTTTTCTATGTCAACATACGATAAACGGACGGACATTTCCGTTTTTTCAGTTCTTTGTGCATAGAGGTCCGTTCTGCAGCACAAGAACTTTATCCTTCCTGTGTCTGCCTGTCTGTCTTCTTACACATCATATTAGGTCAGTGATATTTCTTCTCTTTACATTAAACTCTTTAACAATTTAAATTACTTACAAACTATAATTTTAAAATAAAATGACTCCAAATATTTACTTTCGACCTCCCCACACAGTTTTTAATGTTCTGCAGAAATATTATGGAAATATTTACAAATTTAAAGTATTTCTCTTTGCTTTTTCTCTTTTTTTTTCTCTTTGCTTTTCTCTTTGCTTTTTCTCTTTTTTTCTCTTTTTTTCTCTTTTTTTCTCTTTTTCTCTTTGCTTTTTCTCTTTTTCTCTTTGCTTTTCCCCCCTTTTTTCTCTTTGCTTTTTCTCTTTTTCTCTTTGCTTTTTCTCTTTTTTTTCTCTTTTTTCTCTTTGCTTTTTCTCTTTTTTCTCTTTTCTCCCCCCCCTTTTCTCTTTGCTTTTTTTTTCTTGTTTCTTTTTACTTTCCTCACTCTATTTCTTTTTACTTTTTTCACTCTTTTTTCTCGCTTTTTCTTTCTGCTTTTCTTTTTTTACTTTGTTCTTCATCCTTTTTCTTTTTTCTCTCTTCGCTTTGCTTTTTTTCTGATTTTTTTTTCTCTCTGCTTTTTACTCTTTTTTATTTTTTCTTCTTTTTCTTTTTCATTTTGCATTTTTCTCTCTCTTTTTCTTTTTGCTTTTTATCTATTTTTTTTCTCTCGGCGAATTATCTTGGGAATGAAAACCTAGGCTACAAAATAACTGGTTGCTTTCTCCAGTGTGAGCACACGGGTTGTGTAACCCTGTCTTACCAAGATGAATGGGTCCCCCACCTTGGCCTCTACCCTCGTAGACTACAGCCAAACTTATTCAAATTCTTTCTTTCTCGGATGAAGATCATTTGATTATTCTGTGTTTGTTGGTAAAACCTCCCCTTTTGCGTGACATTTGTTTTTGTCTTCTCCAGAAAAAGCCCAAGTTCGGATTGCTAGTTTCTATTACAATGAATGCATCAGGAAACACGACCACAGGGAATTATACTATAACACCCGGTACAATTGTAAGTAGTGAATTTGTTCTTTCAATTTTTTCGCTTACAATAAATTGTCAGAATGAACTTTGTTCATTCATTGCTATATTGCGTTGTGACACTTTTTAACAATAGTCTGACATGTTGTCTCTATAGAGAAACTTATTTTAACTTTAAATTGTATTTTTAAAAAAAATTAGCAATGAATAAAATTATTTTTCAGTAAATATTTATGAGCTAATATAACATGGAACTTGGATGACACATATCCGACCCCACAAAGCAAACAATCTACGTGTTCTCTATATTTAAGGTGTGAACCATAAGAAAGATTGAACCTGGCCTGACGAGCCTTCATTTTTGAGGACAAAACTGAAGTTGCCACGTTTATTTATTCATTTATCTTGCGTTTTTATAGGATCTATGTAGTACTGAGCGTTTATAATTGCCAACTTTATCATAGCCAGAGTTTACCAACTACGATTGTCTTTTGTTATATATTTGCATGCGGGTAATAGCGGATTTGGTGTGCAATTGCACGATTTGACCATTACATGAGAGGGACACACATGGAAGTGAAGGACTCCAGATCCTTTTTGGAACATTCTCCTACAAGAGTTGGTGATGAAAGAATGGTTTAGCTGTGTGAAACGATCTATCTGCTCAAAAAAAAAAATCACGCACAGGAACATCTTGGACTCTTTGGAAAATTACTTCAACGACATTAAAACCATCCATGAAATGTTCGTTTGGGAGTTATGAGTCCTGTGGTCACGAGTCGACTTCCATTATATATATATATATATATATATATATATATATATATATATATATATATATAAAGTGTACCTTTTGCCTTTATTCGTGTGTGTGTGTGTGTGTGTGTGTGTGTGTGTGTGCGCCCGGGAGTTAAAAATCGACCTACAGTTTCTTGTGAGTGAACAGACAGCGATGAGTTTTACGTCCTTTCCTAGCGGTGTTAAGCGAAGTCTATTGGCTAAGGTGAGGTAATCTCACAATACCATTCACCAGGAGGAAAACTAACTATCAGTGCTGGTAACAAAAGAGTTACAACGATAAAATGTGGATGGGATGGCCTTGTCTGAAACAAGTCTCTGGAGAGAGTCACTTCTCGGAACAATTTGATGGTTACACCTTTTTATTTGTATGGGAGAGCAGTAGTGTGCAAAAGGGGGATATACGTAGCGTTTGCGGTGAAGAATTCCATAGTCTCTAGGATGTAAGAATTTCAATGTGGTATTACTAATCCCCTGATATTAATGAAAACACCATTGTCAAATTACAGGTTTGTTATCAAAGTGTCTACCCTCTAGTCATGTGTTCTTCTGAAGATGAAGAACTCGCACTTTATCTCGCTGAAGGAAGATGTTCGTAAAATTCCTCGTATTGACCAAGTTTTCATACTTGGTGACTTCAATGCTCGAGTTGGCAAGAGTCACTAATCAGGGATGTAAATGGAAAATACTCGCACATGTCAGAGGGCATCCTCCAGACAGGGCTATGTCGAAGGGCAGAGTCTCGTCCCGAAAAACTGACTCCGTTTTTACGAGGTCTACAGGGAATTTTTGCCCGAGCCTACGGGCTCGGATACCCCACCATAAAACTCGGCCTTGTGCCACATCTTGCTGTGTGGGGCAGTGGGTAAATACCTACTGAATTGTAAAGTGCAATAGTAATGGCTTGTGGCTACTGCAAATATCAAGAGGTGGACTTGTGCTGAGCGAACACCATGTTCCAGCAAAAGGATAAATACAATACAAATACGGATGCATCCAGGTTCAAAGCAATGATCTAAAATTGTTCTGTGATGTCTGAGATGTGTCCTTTATCCGCGTTATACCTGGAGCTGAATGCTGGACTGACCATCGACTTGGTCGTGAAAAGGTGATTTTTTTCTGTAAAATCGAAAGTAAGAATACCGGTTGCTACCATTCCGAAGAAATTGAATGTGGCTCGTCTGAAAGAGAATGTCAGTAAGGAACTAGTGAAGATCCTGGGCAGTGCTTTACGACCCTCACTATATTACCAAGATTTGCTTTTATCTACCTATATTTATATAAGCTAAAAATTAAACGAAGCACAACTGACTATTAAAGGATGAAAAGTCATTCCTTTTTTTTTTCTTTTTTTTTTCGTCCAAATCTGTGAATTTGTTTTGCTTATGCTAAGTCTCAAAAACACTATAAAATTCACAATTTTTTATCCATAATGTTGAAAGTGTTAAAATTCAACTTTTTAACAAGATCTCGAGTTGATGTTTAAAATTGCTGCAAAACATTTATTTATTTGTTTATCTATTAAGACATTGAATTTGTATTTATATACATTGTATTTATTATTGATTTTTTCCAGTTGAATTGTTCAACTATATTGCATATGATCCATTATTGTGCATAATTAGGTTACAATTAAATGTGTATATTATATTAATAGTGTTGTACTAGGGTGGGGTTATATCATAGATTCAGGAGAGGTAGCATGCACTGATCCTGGGTGAAGAGAATAGATAACATTCAATGACTCTTGGAAAAAGTTATAGTCATCTGTGTTTATGGCATGTCCAAAGATATTCCAGGTTTAGCGGAAAGAAAACGTCAAGGTGGTTCGATAAAAAAAATGAAGAGGTTCAGATGCTATTAAATGAAAAGAAGATTAGCATAAATAAGTAAAAAATGAAACCTTGTATAAGAAGATGTAAAAGTGTAAAGAACAATTTCGCCTCCGTAATATACAAGACACTTGCAGGAATAATGCCGAAGCAATTCAATCTGCATCTGATTCCAACAATACGAAATATATATACATACATATATCTAAATCAGGTGAAATTACCATCGAAAGGCGCTGCACTCTTCTGTGCACTGGTAGTACCGGAGAGGTATAACTCCGTGATAATAAAACCTGAACGATGTTGTTCATTGTGTTCATGGCCAAATATTTGCACCAATTCCTCGTTAACAGCACTTTCAAGTAGTGTGGCTGGTTCTACACAAGCCTTCACAACTCTAAACAAATCTTCTGTGTGGATTGTCTACAGTTCAATTCTGTCTTCCTTCTTTGCTATTCCACCTGATCAACAAGTCCAATGGTGTGAGAGTTAAGGCGACGGTGACAGGATTAAAAACTGAACTGAAAGACACTCATACGTTGAAAACGACGGGAGAGTTCATCATATATATATATATATATATATATATATATATATATATATATATATATATATATATATTGTGGTTAACATTTCTTCTCTCCCACCGTGCCTATCGTCAAAATGAACTGTGCCTTCATATATAAATTAAATAGTTTTGTTTGTATTAAGTGTTCTATAGTGAGGAATAAAGCCTAATTTAGGGTTACTCTGTTCCGCGTCTTTTATTACAATTTATTTCGCACTATGAATAGAAGACAACAATTGATAGAAAAATCAATTGAGTAAGAAGATATAAACAGAAAAAAAAGAGTTTTCTCACGACGATGAGGTCTTGGAGAGGATGTAAACAAGGAGGCTTATGCTTAACATCAGGAAGAGGCATCTGAAGTTTCTGGGACACATAATGAGGAAGGAAGGCCTGGAGAATTTGAAACTCACAGGTCGATATAGGGAAATAGAGACAAGGGAAAACAGCGCGTGACATACCTGACGAGCTTGAGCAGGTGGATGACAGAACGTGGTCTGAGGGAGGAAGCAGAGGAAAGGGGGCTTGCTGATAGCTGCAAGGGATAGAGGGAGGTGGAGAGTCATGATCGCCTACGTCCTGAAAGGACATGGCACATAAAAAAAAAGGAATGGAAGAGAGTTACTCAAAGATCCAATTACATTCATGTCAGGTAGTGGGTACTCTTTGATGAAGTTTTAAATAGGCCGACTCAAGTTAATGGTTGGTTTGTTGACTTGATTCACCGCAATTACACCAAAGAAAATATAGCTGAAACTCCTTCCCTTGAGAAAATTAGAATAATATTTAAAAACAAAAAACAACTGAATACTGATAAAAATCGCTTGCCGTGGATGGCATCTATTCTGAGATGCGGAAGTTAAATTCTGGTTCAACTTCTAATTAATTAAATACAAAAGGTTTATAGAGAGTGTACCAGATTGTTGAAAAGATGAACTGATAATCGTTCTCTATAAAGGGAAAAACAATTTGGGGCCTTAACTACGAAAGAATCACTGTGAGAATTACTGTGGGATAACTCCCCACTTTGTCTTCGGCAAGGTGTTATTTAAGATCTTGCTGGACAGATTTCTCAACAATATTCGCTGATGAAGTCTTTCTTGAATGCAGCTTCGCTTAAAACATGATAGAGGGACAGCAAACAAGTTCTTCTTTCTTTTATTCGTTTTCAATGCTAGAATGAAACAAAAATACACCAATTTCGCTTTTTTATGCACGATGATAGCAGCTTGAATAAATTCTAGTTAAAACTAAATTCTCCTGATACTATGTAATGACAAATTATTATTATTCTTTTAACTAAAGCAGATAAACTCTGAAGGACCTAACAGGTAATATTTGTCTATTTTCAGCTCAAACCTGAACGTCCTGGACCCAGTCAGTCATTTTCATCTCTAATTCCAGGTGAGATTTTTAACAGTCAAATTATCTTGCGTTGTGCTGTGTAAAAGTCGATAAATAAAATTCTAGTGACAAGAGAATTGTCGTAAGCATTTCATTCTCATCCTGAGGTCAAATATAATACAGTGATTACCTGCAGTTTATTTTCATGGTGACAACAGATTGAATGAACGAACTCAGAAGAATAAGATGTGGCACAAGGCTATTGTTTAAATGCAAGAGCACACTCTCGAGTCTGTATACAATGTGGAAATTGAATAATATGAAAGAATGGAAGAAATGTTAAAATATAATATGAAAAATATGAGTAAAGTGTTTTTATTAGTTGTATTCGATTGCAAAGCCAGGGCCAGTGCAAGGATCTCATGCACCCACCCCCGGAATCTTTTCATAAGGTAGTATTCATATAAAATACCAATTTTATTGTAACTTTATTATACAATAATGGATCATATGCAATATATGTAAACAATTCAACTAGAAAAATTGAAAATAAATACCATGTATCTAAATACAAATTAGAGACATATCATAATAGATCATTCCATCTTAAATAAATCAATGTTTTTTGCGGCAATTTTAAAATCAACTTGAGATTTTTTTTTGTTAAAAGTTCAATAATTTAACACATTCAAAATTATGGATAAAAAATAATAAATTTTACATAGAGTTTTTTCGAGACTTAGCATAAGCAAAACAAATTCACAGATTTGGACGAAATAAAAAAAAAACAGAATGGCGTTAAAATCCGAAAATTGTTGATCCTTTCATTGTCAGTTGTGCTTAGTTTAATTTATAACGTATATAAATGTAGGTAAAAAAAAAAATGGGAAATGTTGATAAGATAGCGAGGGTTAGAAAACGCTGCCAAACAGCCCTCTCCCGGTCGTAGGGGTAGTAGACACCGTCCCTGATGCTAGCTTATTATTAAGAATGAGAAAGAAAATCGTGCATACTCATCATTATCATCATTAAGATTATCATCATCCTCTTGATTTTGACCAACAAACGGCATAAAGCCTGAGAAGGCGCGTTCGGTGGAGTAATGGATTGAGGAATCGGAGAGCCGAGTTCAAATTCCAGTCGAATCCAATAAATTCACTTACGTGCTAAAACCCTTGGGAAAGATATAAATCCTCTTCTTCTCCCCCCAGCTATGGGTAAATAGCAGGACAGAACGGGTTCTATAGCCTTGGATGGTAACTGGTCTACCGCAGAAAGAAATGGCAACCTACTGCTGCAGGAAAAAATCTGCCTCGTCAGTCATGTATCAAAAGATACATGATCGCCTAAGCGTGTATCACGCATGGCACATAACTGACTGACTGACAGTATTGTGACGCTAAAGGAATTAATAATCGGAGGCCTTGAAATATCTTAGGTGGAAATATGTTTAAGAAAAAAAATGAATTGCCTGAACGGTGACATCTATTCGGAACTAGAGAATACTTTTGTATATGGCCGATTGCAAAAGTAGATCAGTCATACCAGCTTTTGCAACAGACGTTTAGACCTATCAGACTTCATTCTGCTAGTGCTGACATGGAAACGGTGGGTGTGACGGCCTCGGGCATCCATATCGGGAGAGCATCCAATCAAAGAGTGAAATAAAAGTTTAATTTATAGTTAATTTGAATAAAGTGCTTATTTCATGTTTCATCTGTTTTTACATATTTAAAATGTTTTCCTTTTTCAGTACTAACCCTCTACTTGTGTCTTGGGGCATACAATCAAGGACTTGCCTGCGGGCATCACCAGACCTCTGCATGTCACTGTAGGAAGACGGATTCCCAGTGAGAAGACACTTTTTAAGAAACCGCCATGATGGATATTATTTCATCTTAAGCTCTGATATGCCTTAACTCACCAATACTTTACCTGCTGATGTAAAAAAAAAAAAAAAAAAAAAAAACACTGGATATAGTTACTAGTTAATTTCCTTGGGATGCTCGCTGGACTGTGTGGTGCCTTTCACCGCACCTCTGCGGTTAGTTATTTTGCAATGTCCACTTTCCTGTTCAGTGATTAGCAAGCTTATTTCGCTAGATCAATTAGGACTGAGTAATGACTTCGTTCTTTCGGCCTTAGGTTGGCTTAGCAAATCAATATAAGGGGTGTTTCATTAAGACGGATCAGCAGCAAATTGCATAGTTGCTACTCGATTTCACCAATATGCCTTATTATCTCATCCTTCAGCTGTTGAATTGTTGTTGGTTGGCTTGTTGACATAGACCTTACTTTTGAGATGGCTCCAAAGGACGAAAACTAAAGGCGTCAAGTCGCAGGATCATGGTAGCCAATTGACTTCGCTGTTTCGAGAGATGATGCGACCAGGGAACTTATCGTTCAAATTCTGCTTGAACGTCCATTTTCGTAATAGGTTTCGATAACTTTAACACGTTGTTTGATTGTTAATCTTTCCATGGTTAAAATTGTCAAAGACTTAACTTGTTAAATCTGAAAGAAAAAGAAGAAAATCATTAGACGCTTAAACTTAATTCACATTTAAAATCGGTCCAAATTATTGGAACGCCCTCTGTAAGCAACTGTAATCAATTTTTAGCGTCTCCACTACTTACGTTAGTGTGATTTAAACAATAAAAAAGCGTAAAATTAACAAAGATTTACTAAATGTCATTTTATACTCTATTTAATAATTCTACTAATTAGTATTAATCCTTGAGCAACAGTTTAGTGATACAAGTCTTACTAATTAACCCATAGCCGAAGGGAGAAGAGGTGGATTCATACCTTTCCCACAGGTATTTACGCCTAAGTGAATATAACGAACTCAACTGGAACTCTACTTTTTGATTAACAATTCCATGCCATTACTCCACCTGCACATCCAAGCTTACAACACCTGGTAATTCCAAGTGGTCACTCATCTAGATACTAACCAGGCTCGATATTGCTTAACTTCCGTGATGGTACGAGAGTCGGTGTTTCAACGTGATGTGGCCGTAAGTCTTTGACTAATTCTTGAGTTGCTTATTAAAAAGACATTGTGTAGTACAATTAATTGCACGATACACTTCAGTTCGGTATCATTGCCAGAGTGAAGACAAAACAGTCTGTGTTGCTTTCGTTTTCTTTTCTTTTTTTTTTTCCTTTTTTTTTTTTCAAGTTCCATAAAAAGTGGGGTCTATAGGTTCGTGCATATATATTGGGTTAGCTAAAAAATTTCGTTCGCTTATTAAGTAGAACATTTACTTAAAAACCCGAACGAATATTTTGGCCAACCCAAGACTTCTTTGAAATAATATCAAACAAGTTTGTGTCGGCGTCGTGACTGTTAGACGAGTGATTATTTTATTAATTATTTTCTTTATCCAGTATTTGTAGTGGTGCCTCTGATCCTCCTAGGAATTATTGGTGCAGTTTCTTTTTACGCCTGGTAAGTAAAAATATTGCTTCATCGACAATCTTGAGTACCAAATAAAAGGCGGGATACGTAATAAATGAGTGGGTTGAAAAAATCGGAAAATTTAATTAACATGTTTTATATATTTATTATTAAAATAATAATAATAGTCATTATAATAATAATTATAAAAACAACAACGAGTTGAGAAATTATTAAAACATTTTAATTTTAAAATCCACCTTTCAAACTATCTATAACGATAAATTAAATAAATAAACTAAAATTAAATGACCAAAGCTTTTAAATGCTGTATTTTCATGAAAGTTTGCCAGAGTTACAAAATGAGTTAATTTATAATTCAAAATAATAATTTAAAAACTAATGAACTAGAAGAAGAGTGGGAAAAAGTCTAAAGAATTAACAATTGGTGGTTTTGGGAGAACGTTTATTTGCTACCAGAGAGTAGTATCCTTGTAAAATCTTGACCTGAGAAGTGTAGATACACTAGTAACATTTTTTCGAAGTTTTCGGCAATTTTGACCAAGGCTCACCTGGTGACAGATGATGCAATAGGGCGCAGTAGGGGTAAAAGTGTCCTAAAAACTGGTGTCATTTTACGAAGACTAATACTTGGAGTGGAAAGGATGTTAGATTTTGGAACCTACACAAATATTTATCTGCTGTTGCTGCTGCTGGTGTGTTTGTTTGTTTGTAATCTGGCTATATTGCTTTTATACTGAGTTTTTAGTCTTATTGTAAACTTAGAAAACTACGGAAATTGAAAAGGTCTAAGCCAGCACCCAAATTGGAATACGATAGACTCTTGATAGGCCTGAACAGGTTTTTTTTTATGAGAGATCGGCATTTGCACATGACACAGCACATCTCCATTCTCAACGCCACCGATGTTGTCCAAGGGAAAAGCAGAGGCCATTACAGCTTGGCACCGTCGTCATCGCAGAAGTTGCCAGAACGAAATTGAATATGACTCCGGCTCCAGATTTGAATTCAGTTTTCCTTCTCCTAGTTTGGTTGTCAACCATGACTACAGAGCCCAGACTGCCCTACTATTTATCCATAGTTGGATGTTTTGTATTCACTTCAGGGATTTTCCTTCTCAAGGCTATAGACCCCATTTTGTCAAACTATTTACTCATAGTTTGGGGTAGAAGTGATGGATCCATTTCCCAAGTACATATTAGTATGTATTGAAATATAATGAACTCGACTGGAATTCAAGTCGCAATCCTCCACCGTGCCTCTCTCATATATATATATATATGTGTGTGTGTGTGTAAATAAAGAGAGAACAGGAAAAACTATTCTTAGCCAACGTGTTTCGTACTTGGAGGGACTTTATCAAGACAATGTAAGTTTTTTGACCTTTCCACCACTTGATGACTGTTCATTAACGTTTTCAAGGACGAATATGTAAATAAAAAGAGACAAGAGGAAAAACTATTCTTAGCCGATATGTTTCGTCCTTGCAAATGTTTATGAACGTTTTTCAGGTGGTTGAAAGATCAGTCAAAACATGTGGAGTACGCAATGTATCATAATTCAAATTTCTTGAATATTACTCGCTGAATTCTTGCTACATTTTGAATTATGACCGTTCTCAAATTGAAAAGCCTTGATAAACCAATGACATCCTCGCTTTTGTATATAATCACGTGCAAAAAAATAAATCCTACATTGTCTTGATGAAGTCCCTCCGAGAACGAAACGCGTTGGTTGAGAATAGTTTTTCCTCTTGTCTCTTTTTATTCATTTTCTTCTTTTTACAGATACACTAACTGAAAATAATTCATTGATAATCCATATCAACTCTATGAAAATTTTAAGGGTTTCTATGTTCAACGTTTCAGATTTTGATTAAATTTTACTATGTGACGGTGTCCAACAGAAACGGTAAACCTGAAAATAGTAAAAAGAATAAAGATTTCTGGCTTCAGTTTACCTCTTTATGTTGGTACCTCTGTTGAGGAAAGTGTGTGTTTGCGTGTTGTTGTATTAGAAACACGTGTGTAACTCCTGGTAGAATATTAAAAGGTCCAACTACAAGAAAATTGCTGGACTTGAATTAAGTCCAACTGAAGATAAAAAAAGACAAAAAAAATGATATATATAATATAAACAAATATATGTATTAAACAAAATAATTTTACAATGAACAATAATATTTGTGTGTGTGTAAACATTGGTGTCTGTACTTAGGTGAATGTTCGTACGTACGTGTATGTGTGTATAATGTTCATGGCGTCTCCCACAAATGGAAAGACGCGGATCTTCTAAATGAGCTTACATTATAGTCGCTGAAATGAAAAAGAGAACGAGGCGAGAAGTCATCCAGTATTTATAGTAACAATTTGAGAATTAAGGAGGAGCTAACTCCGACACCTCCGAAAAAACGATACCTAAAGTTTAAAATTAATTTTAAAACTTTTTCCTGGAGCATTTTAATTTTAATTTCAGGCTAATAGATTAAATTTAATATTTCCAAAAAGAGAAATAATTTGCTGTATTACTTCAAACCGAATTTAAATTGATTGGAATGATTTTTTTAATCGTTAAAATCGGCTATATGGACAAATATTTCAACATAAAATAATTTTCTTTTATTAAAAATTTCAACCAAAATTTCCAAAATTCTAAAAAATATATAATTCAATAATCCTTTGGTTTTTCTTCCTAATAATAACAAAGATTTTGACAAAATGTATTTTTTTTTTTTGTTAAGTTGGGGGCATTTTTCCATCGTGGATGCTCGTTTTTTTAGCAAATATTTGTAGGTTAACACGCAATTTATTTGGACTGTGCTGGTTAGTAAGTTTTTTTCTTTTTTTTTTTTTTTTTTTTTTTTGTTACAGTAATTGATTGAGAAACTCTCAATAAACAGACGGGCGAATGACTCGAACTGTGCGGCAGCTTTCTTATATCTTATCCTTAAAGCACGACTCCACCCTTCCATAAGGTCTTTTATTTTTGCTAATGTAATCACCGTTTTGTATATATTCTCTTGTTCCATTCCTTAAAGTAAGTGGAGATTCCAATACCGGCGGAAAGCATTGAAGCTACCAAAGCCCGATCCGGAAACTGAGCTGCCTGGAAAATACAAATTGTCAAATTTATGTTCAATAAACATAAATGGTAACAGAGTATTGATGCCTCCATCTCCAAGCCAAAGAAAAGAATCTCGTGAACGAAATAGCTGTGAGTCTGAGGTGACCACTGCTGATAATATTTACGATCTACCGTAAGTGTTAAAGAAATTGTTCGACCAATGATCATTATTTGTTCTGTTTCAGAGTCCGGTGTAAAGCTAGAAATTGGAGCTAGCTTAAAATTTCTTGAAGTAATCTAGTCTACCCAAATTTTCTATATCCTGAAAAGAATTATTACCGTATTTGCCAGACTATTGGATGCACCCACGCATTGAACACACCCAGATTTTGGCATGGAATATCTCGGAAATAAAATACACACACCCCAACCAAAAGAAAATCAAAATTATAACCTTACCTTTATGCGACCTTCGCACTAACCATGAAGAAACACTTACAGTATTAGCCTAAATTATATTACTGGTATTTTTTTTAATAGAACCGAGGTAAGATTCAATTACCTGGACAGTTTTTGGAAAAGAAGAATTTTAGTACATTTCATACATTTATTGAAACTTCTTTTAGTTGTTTTTCAGGGAGCAATATCGGCACATACAGTAAATTCATAATAGTTACAAAGAAATTTACTGGTATTGGTGAACACTGGTACATAGGTATTTACCGGTGCGCCCACCTCCCAACCAGATGTGACACAAGGTCATTTTAAGGCGGGTTTTTTCGGCAGTACCGTGGAAAAATTTACAAACCCCCTCGACACTCCCCCTTTTGAGGACGCATCAGACGCGGGCCAATAAACTCACCTCTCTCTTGAGGTAGAGATAAAGCATGCGGATGCTCCCCTGGAACTTGGACTTAGTATTTTTATAAATGATCAAAATGCCATATGGTAATAGGAAAAAAAAAAAACAAACAGAAATATGGTACTTGTTGGTAAATGAAGTCCCATACCATACATGCAGTAAAGGTATTTCCAATGCCTGTATATCAAGAAAAACACACACAAAGCAAGCAGCAATATACTAGTCAAAGCAAATATTTCTGTAAAATTTGGTATTTCTACAGAACAAGCAGCAAAATATTGTGTTATTCCATAAATTTCTTTTTCCTGGGTGAATTTTTCTTGATATCATGTTTGCTCACTTCCCGGAGCCCTAGATTCAGTGCTAAGCTCTATGCGCGCATTGATTGCATCTGAACCTCACTTTTTTTATTGTCTACATGTCTCATACATGATACTGCTGTATTGGACGCAGGGTAATATTTTGGCGCATTTATTTTTAAATCCGCGTTCAATAGGCCGGTAAATACGGTAACAGATTTTAAGTTAATAAAGAAACGTCCTCGTTTGTTTTAGTTCAGAAAGTTCCTCTTACGAGAAAATTTGAAATTTCGTTGATCAAACAGCGTTACTGTCGGTTAAAATTTATGAAATGTTCATCTTAAATTGTTGGGGGCTTCCTGCCTAACCTTTTATTCGTTGTGTGTAAAGTGGTGTGGTGTAATGGATAATGGCTCAGAATGAGAAACAAGAGAGCCAATTTCGAATTCCGGTCAGGTTCGTTACATTCACTTAAGCGCAAATACACTTGGGGAAACGTATGAATCCATCTATTTTCCCTCCAGCTAAGGTTTGAATAGCAGGACAGACTGGGTTCTCTAGACTTGATTAGCAACCAGTCAATTGCAGAAGGGAACTTGCAATCTACTGCGGGAAAATCTTCTGCCTAGTCAGTTATGAATTGAAAGGGACATGATCGCCCAAGCGGGTATTACATATGAGTGTGGAAAGTCAGCAAAATGATTATCATTATTTTCTCTTTTTAGCTACATTTTAGTTGTTGCTGCTGCTGGGAATTTTCACGTGGTGTGCTTTTTGTTATTTGGTATTTTTTTTTTTTTTTCAATTCTGGAGTGGCGCCGCCAGTCCATGCGATTCGATGAAGATCCTAGAGGATTCATTCGATCAAAGCCATTATTTAATCATTGATAAGAGTCCATATTCTGACAAGGCTATTTAAAAACACTTTATAGTTAACGTTTTGGCTTTGTAGCATCTTACTGTATTGAACAAAACTCCTCCAAGCACAACTTATTTTATGTCCAATTTCCATCTCTATACTAAAGTTGTATGGATCAAGCGTATTTGAAATGTTTAGTATTTCATTCTACATTCTGAATTTTTATGGATGTGCCATCATTGCTTTCATTCTGATTCCAGATCAGTTGTTTTAGAAATTGACTTCTACTACTTGGAACAAGATATTTTTTTCTTTTTCTTCAAGATCATTCTTATCTAAACAATGAATCTTTATCAGCAATGGTACTCTCTCTCTCTCTCTCTTTATCAGTAAACTGGCCTCAGAAGCGAAAGCAGGAACACTATTTTCTGAGATTAGTTTAGGATACAATACATAATGCTTAAATAATGAATGTTCATTTCTTATGTTTTTGTGCATATGCAGAGCATAATAAAAGAGATTAGATTGGGACTCTTTTGTTTACTCCTTGTCATACTCTTGATAAAGTTTTCTTCATATAGTAGCATATCAACTCCATATAGATCATTTAATGCCTTAATTTTATTGGAAGCACTAGTAATCTTTTTTTACAAAAATATATTTCTGCTAATTTTTTTACTATTAAAATATATTGCTGGTATTTTTACTATAAATGTATTTTTATATATTCATAATGTTTTGACCCTGATTTTTAAGTATTTGCCCATAGTTGCAAACCTAACAGGTGCTACCTGAAAGCTCCCAATCAGAGGTCTTGCTGCAGGATGTAGCTTATCATCATACCCAGAAAACACCTGATGAGGTTTTAAATTTGATATTAGTTATATTAATTATATTATCGGCCTGTAACCAGCATTCAGCACTTCAAAAAGTTTTCTCTCAACAATCCAGGAAAGCTAAGTATTTCGAACTATCTCACTTCATCTACTTTTGAACAAATGCAAACCATATATCACTTCAGGGACAACAAACTCTCTTACCTTTTGTCTTAAAACATTTTTTAATATTATTTTGTGTCAGATCATTTAATCTGTTGTATGAACATTTCCACTTTATGACAAAAAGTTAAAACTACGAACTTTAAGAATTTGGATTTATTTTCCTGAAATGAGCTACTGACACAAATTTAAGCATGTGAATTCCTTATCTTGTTTTGCTAAAATTACTTGTGTGTTTCATGATCATCCTTCATTAATCTTCTGTTTGTTAAATCAACTATTCATTTTAACCCCTAATCCCACAGCTCTATAATGATTTCAGAGTTTCACCTCCTCAGCATTACTGTTATTATATAAAGGACAAAGGACTACAGGGTTTTGTTGACTTCAGTTTTCCTTATTGAAATAGATACTTTCAAAATATATGTTTTTTTTTTCCTTAATGAAAGCAAAAAAAAAAAAAAATTAAAATTTACCCAAAAAGGAATTATGCAATTTAAATGAAATTTTCAGCATTCATTAATGAACAAACTTAACACTGAACAGATTATTCTATTAGGGTTGAAGTTCTTGCTGGTGTAAAATTACTCACCATTTATATTATCACCCTATAACTAGCACACAGCACTTTAAAGAATTTTCTCACAACAATCAAGGAAAGCTAAGTATTTCAAACTAACTTCATCTACTTTTGAACAAATGTAAACCATATATCACTTCAGTGAGCAATGAACTCTCTTACCTTTTGTCTTAAACATTTTTAATATTATTTTGTGTCAGATCATTTAATCTATATCTAGAATTCTCAAAATGTGTGTATGATTGGATGTTATTTATGCATTTCCATAGTTTTCATTCGATTTCGATGAAGTTTTTTTTGTTTGATAGATAATTCTCCAGTGCCAGTTTTGTGTCCAAATTGGCTGGAAAAAATTACAACTTTGAAGGTGAAAAAATAAAAAAAATGATTTTTTACACTCTGCACAAAAATCAAAGGCAAAATTTAATGTCTGTGAAAAACAGCATACAATCAATTTAGAGAGTTGAAATCTAACGCAGGAGATTATTAGAATTATAAAAAAAAATTATATTATAAATAAAAATTGTATATTATTATTATTATTATTATTATTATGGTCCATGGAAGAGGTTCCTTCCTTGCAAGATTGAGAATGCAAAAACGACCCTTTTCAGGGCCACACACCATTCAAATTGTTAAGCCCTCATTTAAGGATGTGCCTCAGTTGCACCCATTTGTTGTTACTAATATTGATTTCTGGGTGGGCTGACTTTAAACTTAAACTGCTCCAATCGAACAGCAAAAATTCCCAGTAATGAAACACCTGGTTGAAGACATGTTATACTGCTATTCTGTTCTATGGACATTTCCTCTTTATGATGATATGTTAAAACTACAACCTTTAAGAATTCTAATTATTTTTCTGAAACAAGCTACTGACACTACTTTAAGCATATAAATTCATGAATAAATTCCTTGTTTTGTTTAAATTATCTATGTGTTTCCTCATCATTATCATCCTTCATTAATCTTCTTGGCGTGGATAAATCAACTTGATTTTAACCCCTAAGCCTCACACCACTATAATGCCATCATTACACCCCTTATCAGAACAAAAGCCAAATTGGGTCATTAGAAGTTGACTATCATTGAATGGTGAATCTGGTTAATACAATACTCATTAGTACTTTCACTATAAAGGATTCAATTACAATTCCTCTGTATATGTGTGGGTCTTCAGGATTACCTTTTTGTTTCCATAATGCATGATATAACTGCTTTAGGAGGTGCTTATGAAATTGAGGAATTTATTTTTAATTAGGTTGGGGGTAAAGTATGCTGCTTTCAAAAACTTTTTTCTTATAACTTCCTTGATTTTATTCTTGTATTTATAAGAAAAAAATAATTGGTCAACATGTTTCACAGAAGATTCATGTGTATTTTGAAGATAATTTAATTTCAAGATTTCATTGGTTAAAAGAAAAATTGGTGGCAATGTTTAACCTTTGTGCATGCATAAAAAGTTTTTGAAAATGATGGTTATTTCCTTGACACAGCTATTACTTTATACACTTTTGACTTCCTTGGCACTGATTAGAATTTTAATAAAATTCAAACAAGTGAAAGTGGATTTATACATTTTCTTCATTCTTGATAATTAAGAAATGAAGCCTAAATAGCACTTTGAGACTGGAGGGTACATATTTTTCTAACAAGATTTCTCAACTATTCAGGCCAGTAGATGGAAATAAATAAATATACAGATTTAATAATAAAAACACAGCATCTACTCAAATATGAGTATCCATTAAAAATAACATCTAAACAAATGAATTAAAAGTATATGGATTTTAATACATTTCCTAAAAAATTGTCTTTGTTTATGTTAGGATACAAAACAAAGCTGATATTTCGAGGATCAAGAAAGATGAGTTCAAAAGCATTATTTGGGCTTTGTTTGAACAGAAGGTCCTATATAGCCGGGTGATCAAAGCACGTCATATCTAATGAGGGTTTCCCCCTAATGGACACAGCCCTGAATCCTGGTGGAGGAAGCACATTTTTCTAACAAGATTTCTCAAATATTCAGAATGGTAGATGTAAAAAAATATACTGTTAAATGATAAAACAGAGCATCTAATCAAATATGAGTATCCATTAAAGATAACATTTAAACAAATAAATTACAAACATTAAATATATATATATATATATATATATATATATATATATATATACATATACATTTCTGATATGTCCCGGAAAGTAACCATGTAGTACATGGTAGCAGTAATCGACCAGTACTCGTTGTAGTCACAGGTAATAGGTGTAGACCAATAGGATAGCCAATGGCATAGTCCAATGGGTGTCGTCATAGACTTGAACTCTGTCATACCTACACATCCATCTGTATTTATGACAAACACCAGCTAATCATATTCCAGTGAGGGGGAACTCAGATGTATGCATATTCCATTATATCAATTTCTTTTATATGTATGTATTTATATATAAATATATATCGTTTATATTTATCTTATATAACTATATATATTTTATATATATCTTATATATCATTATATCATATACAAATATATCTCTTAGATGTGTATATATATATATATATATAATGCACACATATATATATATATATATATATACACACATATATATACATATATATATACACACACGTGTATATATATATATATATATATATATATATATATATATATATATATATATTTATTTATTTATTTATTTATGAATAAAAATGACAATAGGAAAACTGAAAATAATGTCAGTATTTGTCACTTGTGGAGAATATTGTCATTATATCTGTGTTGATGTATTTTCAGTTAACAATATGAAAATAACGTTTCTCTACATTCCAGTTGCTAGGTACATTCTGTTTTTGTTTTTATTAGTTACCTTGTTCAATTAAATTCATTTTGTATTTTGCTTTGATAAAGTCCACATTAGACGAAACGCATCAGCAATTACTAGTTTTCCTATTGTCATTTTTATTCATAAATATTGTCTTCTCTACTGGTTAAATCGGAGAAATTTTCATATATATATATATATATATATATATATATATATATATATACATATATATATAAAATCTTTTGATTTTTTTTATATATATAATTTTAAATGTTTTTCTTAACTCATACTGAAAAGTTCTCAACCCCATCAAAAAGGGTGTCGTAAAAAAAAAATTATGATGGGATGAGACCCTCTTCAGTATCTTAGAAATATTTTTCACTGTAATTAGTCATCTCAAGTTAACTGTTTCCCTCTTCATCTAACAAAGCATTAGTTTATACATTGAATGTATTTTTTTTTCATTTCTATTTACCAGGAGCACATATGAGGGAGATACTCAGCCAGTGTATGAAAATTGTGACATTTCATTTTATGAAAACTGTGATGTCTCACACTATGTCAACTTGAGATGATCATACAATGCATATATCATGGATGGTAATGCTACTAGCTAACAGCAAATGCAATCAAAGTGGACTAATATTTTAATTGATTTCCTATGATGATAGTCAACTACAGACTAACCTACTACCGCTCCCAACAAAAAAGCAAACTAAAAAACAGACTCTGAGTAAATATATATAAGAGATTTGCTACCACATGTATCAATTACTAATTAATCAGCAAGACAGATTAACTTCAATGTTAACATGTTCAAAATGCATGGTTATGGGGTTCATCATTTCTCTTGAAATGCAAAACCCAGCAATAATAAAAAAAAAAAAAGATATTGAAATTTTTTTTTTTAATAAGTGTTTATAAATTTTGAAAATTTTATCTTTTTGAACATTGTTCAGATGAAATTTTTATCAATACTTTTCACCATGAATAATGCTTGTTTCATCATTTTTTAAGGATCCATCATAATCTTTTAATCTTGTATATGTGAATTATATTTCACATACACACATAATTCATTGTTTACTTTGCTTAATTTATGACATCTTATTTTTCTGGTTAAGACTTGGATGAAAGAATATTAAATTCTGTATGAGTTTGAATTAACTTTTATTTTTTTTATCTTCAAAATAAAATATTTAAACAAGTGAAAAAAAATTGAAATATTCAACTTCTTCCTGTGGGTGTGTTGTGTATTTTTTTTTTTAAATATACAAAAAAAATTTATACAGTTATATAAAAAAATAGCCAACCTTTTACCCTGCTGAATAAAATCAAAAAAGGTTGAACCTTCTCAGATTGCAACAAGAGAAATAAAATGGCTTCTGCTACCTGTTGCTTAAGAATTTTTTTTCTTACACTAAAGAAAGCTGAAAGTATCTTGAATCTTGGATTTCCAGAAGGAACACCTTACCCATCTTGAGAGTTAAGGATTACTTTCTTTTTCTGCTCATAAATATGATAATAAAGATAAAGATGTGAAGGAAAGCTATATATATATATATATATATATATATATATATATATATATATATATTACACACACACAAATTCTAAATGTAAACATTGAAAAGATGGAGTAAGTAGTCTGTTTTTTTTTTAGACTGACAAATGAATATAATTGTATATAGCTGATTATTTCTGCAGTTTAACCATCGACCATTTGGAATAGACAAAAGTTCTTTTAGTTAAAATGGACTGTTTACTGCTTTTTGTGACTGGAAAATAGCCAATCAGATCAGTTTTCTTGTCAATAATGACAGCCACTCCTCTAGCTGAACTCATGATGATCCTAAAGCCATCATTTGTGTCCTTAAAGCATTGTTTGAATAGAAATTGTCAGTAGTCAAGCCAATCCTTGAGTAATTATGGCTGGTCGATGTCATTGGTGGTGGATATGTAGAGAAAGAAGCTGTAGTGGGTAGGTGGTATACAGAAGAAGAACGGCTCCAGTCATCTTTAAAAATCTGAATGGTCAGTTCTGATACCAAATTTGAGAGTCTGTTGTGCACATGGGCAAGGACCATTTGTTCATCAGCATCTCTTCGTACACGCACTTGAAGTGTTCCAACCTGCAAAGCAAAATTGGTTATAATTGTCAAAATAGGTTTTAATTCATAAAGTTGTTAATCAGTCAAATACTGAAAGAACAAGAATATTTAAAGTTTAGTTCTTTTTTTTTATGTTACAAGCATAAATCAAGAAGTGATAGGTAAAATTTTTCTATGCAATGATGTAAACATAATAGAAGTGGGTAAATTTTCATTTTAACACCCGAGTGCTAATATCCCTTCAATATTTTTCCCAAATAGTCTTATTTCCATGCAAATGTATATGCTGAACTCAAATTAACAATTAGATATTAAAGAAACCTACCTTTTTGTATGTTAAAAACCCCCAAAAAATCGGACTTTTTCCTGGTCTTTCGTCGGCCATTAGCGGCTTATTGATATGTAATTCAGTGCTGAAATCTGTCAGTGGATGTATACAATTTGGGCCTATTTACTCCCTTCACAGTAATTCCTTGTAGTTAACTTTCAAATTAGGGTTAGGTGTTTTTTTTTTTTGGTTATTCTTTTTTTTTTTTTTTTTTTTTTTAAAGAAGAAAGTTAACTTTCAAATTAAGGTTAGGTGTTTTTTTTTCTTTTGTTATTGTTTTATTTGTCAATGTTTACATATATTTGAAAGTTAACTTTATTCTTAAATTAAGTAAAAAAAAAAAATAAAATCGCTTTACGGAAACGTGTACTAATTTCTGAAAGGAAATGGTTCAGCAGTAACTGATACTCGGGTGTTAAAATGAAAATTTACCTGGAAGTGTGGATAAGAATTTATACCAGAGAGAAAAAAAAGCTTCTCCTCATACAAATGTTTTATAAAAAAAAAAAGGACTTCTTTCTTTCAAAGGATATCAAAAACAAATTCTCATTCTCTATATCTATCCCTCCTTTGCCGAATGAAGAAATAAAATTTTTTACATATTTATTTTAACATAATTCATAGCATTTAAACTAGCTACTGCAGAGGGCTCTTGATTGGACCTTCATCACAATAGGCAGAGAGAAGTAGAGGTGATAGGAAACAGACTACAAAAGAACTCAAAATTGATCACTGCATTTAAGTATTGAATTAATACTTAAGCTTACCTTTTAAAAGTTCAATGATAATTCTTCTGCTGCCACTTAATTTAAAGACAATTTGATGTATGTAGGTCCTTACTTTCCATACAAACAATTATTTTTATTTCATGGGTGACTTTTGCTGGATTTCACAATTAATTTTGATTATTCCCAAATTTATTTCCAAGTTATAAAAATTGTTATCGTACAAAAAAAAATAAAAATTGCCAAAAAACAATTGCAGTAACAAAAACTTGGTAATCCAAAATTTCAAGATTGTGGGTCTGGATCTGGCCAAGAATGTTTTTAATTTGCTCACAGAGTCATCCTGATTCCAAAATGGTATATGTTAAGCTACAGCCTCTAGGGGGTAATATTGAAAAAGTGTGACACACTAACATTCACATTTATTATACAGATTATATAGTCCCTCTGCAACCTTTCTTAAAAAAAACATTAATCTGTGTATGATAAAAACAAAATTTTTATCATAATAAAATTTAAATTAAATAATAAAAATAATATTATATAAAATAAAATAATAAATAATGTAATAAAATTTAATCATAAAAACGAAGATGCTAATACAAATAATTTATGGAATGGTCTTAAACAACAATTTAACTTGCTACTTTGATTAGCAAAAAAATGATTAAGTAATAGAGCTTACCAAAACTCCAAAAGATAGAGTCCAGAAGTGTTCATGACGGAATTCTAGAACACCATCCAAAGTTGATGCTTCTCGCAATAATTTGTCAAGTTGTCCAATGATGTGAGAGGGACTCGTCTTAAAAAGAGTGGGGTCAGGGAGAAAAGTTTCAATAATTGCATTATTTTAAAAGTACTTTCAAACTAAATATTTTTTTTCGTATTAATTAGATTGATACAATTACAATCTCAAATATGCTAAACAAATTTCATTATTATACACAATAGTATTACAGACGGAAACCCCAGTATCTGTCCACAATGGCATATGATAAAAATGGGTCATTCAAAATTATTTCCTTAATTTTAAGGTCAAAGAACAGACTGGCTTAAAAAACAAATAATGCATCTGTTGTAACCTAGGGAAGGTTACTGAATAGAATAATCACACAAAGGTTGGGGCACCTCGAGGTGGTGTAATGGTTAGCAAGCTTGTCTTGCTAGCACAATTATGACTGAGTAGTGAGTTCGATCCTCACTGGGTGCCCCATACTTTCGGCCTCATGCCACATCTGAGCTACACTTGGAAAATCACTAATCACACAAAGGTTGGTAATGAACAATAATACTTAGATGATAATAATATAATACTTAGGACAAGAACAACATGTATAAAATTTGCCAGCGACACATAAAAGAAGTAGTTAACTGCTAGTGAATCAAGTGAATTCCACAATGAATCTCCAACTGCAGACCAACATACAGTATTTACTACTGTATTTATGTGAATGGGGACATACCCATTATCATCCATAGGTATGCTACAACAGCCTCAAAACTAGGAAGGTGAGAAAATGTGTGACACTGATAATTCTCCTTTTCATTTTGGGTTGAAATCTTGCCATGGATCTAATGGACTGCAATTCTCATTAGGTGCCTTCTATTTGTAGCCTTGTGGCAAATTAAACCAAATGTAATCAATAAATTATAAATTAATAGTATCAACCTACAGCAGGAAAATTACATGTCACAAAGAGAAATCAAAATTTCCCTGAATGAGTTCTGAAGATTGAAATATCTTAATTTTTTTCTTTGTTTTTTTTTTATCATTTCACCCCAAGCAAAGCAATAAAGCCAGTAAGACACAAGAGAAAAAACATTGAAGAGAGAAAGAACAAGAATTAAGAAGACAGAAGATAACTGACATTACATTTAAATTTTTGAAGATCAAAGTTGACTGGAAAGCAAGAAGCCAGAAGAGAGTTCTACAAGTGAGTTGGCAGTGACAAGAGTCAGGAAATAATTTTATATTTGCTCAGAAAAGTAAAAAAAAAAAAAAAAAAAAAAAAACCAGCAGAATTTGAAGTACTTGCTATCACTTTGTAAAATTAAATTCTTAAAGAAAAAGGAGTGCTTTTTTTTAAACCAAGCCACTTGAAAGCCACTTGAAAAGTAGGAAAAAAAACTCAAATTCATTAAATTATTTACATTTATTCTTTAATCCTAATTCAGTTTCTCTACATTGGAAAGGAAATGTTTGAAATTTTCAGATTTGCTTCTGTTGTCCAGAAATAAACATTTTTAAACAAAACACTTATAAGCTGAATAACTTATAAACTGCCTCAAAGTGGATGAACAGAGAATTTAGTTTATCTTCTTTTTTTTACCTTATCTTCTACTGTATTCTCTATTATGTTTTTAACAAGTTTTTTTTTAACAATGAGCAGTTTTTATAACCTGACAGCTGTAAAAAAAAATGTGTTCCATTAGTTTATTGACAAAAAGCAAAAAAAAAACCCACAAAAAACACAGCATTGTTGTACTTTGATTAAATCATGCTTTAATAGAAGTGGTCATGACTTTTCCATTCTTCACTCTAGACAATGTCATGTGTTGAGCTTACAAAAAAGATAAAGATAAGTAGAGCTGTCCTGTTTACTTTGAAAGGTCATTGATCAAAATAATAAGAAAGGAAAAAAAAAAACGTGTTACCTGTAGAAGTATTTTCCCAGTGTACATACTCATTGGAAACATGGTACCCCAAGTCATCAAGGCAATGGAAACAGCAGCCAACGTATCAGCAGCATAATAATTCCTGGGGAAAATAGAGGGAAAAAAAAACAATCAAAATTCATGAATTAAGAATGTGAAAATGTTAAGTGTTATCATAAACCTACTGTGTATTTTTACAAGAACTCTAGAACATTTAACAATCAGATTAAAGAATGAACTAGAAATTAGAATTGAGCTTCTTTTTATGTTTCTCTAAAAATGTAATAAATGCTGAACTGTAGACTCTTCTCAAACCATTAAAAAAAGGTATTTTTTGTAAATTTCTAAAAGTAACAAATGCCTACAGTAATAGGGTCAACCATTTTATAAAATATTACCAATAATTTTCAGAGTGATTATTTAATGAACAGCATTCCATGTGCTATTTATCCCCATCTCATTTGTATCTCAAGGTTCATCATGTTTTTATCTTATCATTAGTTCATGAAATTTAAGAGCAAAACTGATACTACACAGCGATTGAATCAATCTAAAAAGCAGACTCCAATATATTGAAAAGGCCAGCACTTTTTCTACTCTGTGTGTGTGTGTGTGTGGAGGGGGAGGTATGAAACACAGTAACTACAGCTTTATTATCAACCACAGATATGGAAGTACCTAATAGCTATAATTCCTATCCAATTTTACAGCCCTCCTGAAGACTGGCTTCATTTTGTACACTTAATCTACTGATACTATCTTTTAAAAGTTCCTATGTACAGTGTGCACACTTTCTACAATATCTGTTACTTTCAGCTTATGGCATGCATTACTTTGCCACTGTAGATGCTCTACTATGCTGGATTTCAACATACTGCTTCAAATCATTTTTTTTAGTTAGCTCAGTTTTGGCTCACATCTGAACAGCTCTGAACAATAAGAATTTCGCATACAGGAGGACCTCATTATCGGCAGTAGATTCTCACACACAAAAGAATCAAGTGTTGAAAAAAGAAAAAAAAAACTTTTCTTCTCTGTTGACACTGTGTATCTCAGGCAACATTTATATAACATAATGTCCAGTCCTCCAGGGCCCTAACAATCAATGCGTGCGTCCCCCAGCGGTTGCTTCTTGGACTAACCATCATTTTCTTTTGCATAAATGATCTGCCTCTGATTGTGGGTGACAAATTATTTTCCATTCTACTGCTCCTTTCTCACAGATGAAATACAGCAAGCCTCTCACTGCTCTATCACCATTTCCACAGAAAGTGCTCAAAGGAACTACATTCCTTAGTTCAACCAGTTCTAACCTTTACAGATAGGACCCACATGCTATGCACATTCAAAGAAAACCACCCTTATTCCTGTTGTATTACATTTGTGAGATGTAAGTTTCAATCAAGCAGCTTCTTCCTGTGAACTGCTGCTCTGTGGAACCAACTCTTAAGAGGGTGTTTTCCCAATCACTACAATCTTAACCTGTTCAAGTCTAGGATTGTTATTTTTCCCAGATATCCACATAAACTGTGGCCCCCAAGCTTTGTGCTGGGTGAACATCAAATCTCTTTATCAATGCCTTTGATTCTTAATTGGGTGACAGTGCCATCTGGGAGGCTCACCTGTGATAACAATACTAGTTGTTTGTCTTTGATAACTCTTCCATTCAATCTTGTTATATAAAAAGAATGTTAAAATTTTATTAAAAGGGAAAATACAAAACATTTTGTGAACTGCTGCAATGTAGAACAGACTCCTGAGAGGATGCTTCCCTGATCCCTACAATATTAATATCTTCAAGTCTAGGGTCAACTGCTATTCATCCTACGTATCCTCATAATATGAACCTCTTGCTCTCCTCCACCACTGTATGCCCTTACAACAACCCCATTTAGCAACTCTACCTTGAGTGTCACTTGGACTTTGTATTGGCTAAACAATAGTAAAAAAAAAACTATATCATCGATTTTTAAAAGACAAATGTGAGTTTAAAGGGTATTGGGAAGGTTAATAGACAAATGATACGTTTTCTTTAAAAATGAATTTTTCCTCTTTACTTGTTTAAAGTGTTAAGAAAAAAAAACAGTTTAAATGGAATCTTTTTTTTTTCAATGAACTGAAAACAATGAAATATTTTGTGAATTGAAATGATGAAATATTTCCATTCAATTTACAAAGATCAAGTAATAAAGAGATTGAAAACTGGAGGCAAATATAGATGTGCTTACTTTGTGTCAATGAGGATGTAAGTGATGAATAGGGCAATTGCTCCAGCAAATGCAATCAGGGCAAATGGATTCAGGCGAGGCAGAAGCAATTTACTGAGGCCAGGAATCACATGACACAGACTGAAAAAAAAAAAAAAAAAATGGAAAATGCATAGTTACTGAACTTGTCATAATCTCATACAAGACAAAATGAGAAGAAGTAAAAATAAAGAAATTATACTGTACCAATCTATCAAATAGAAAATCTGTCTGCATTGGAAATTAGTATTCAAAATCCTGGTTGCTTGGAAACATGCACTGATCTCAGCCACACAACACTTCCGTTACTACATAATGAGCATAAAAAATACTTCTTTGGGCCCAATGCTCATTGTATTCAAGAACATTCTGGATGATTCATAGTTGTTGAAATCTACCATGTTTTTGTTTTATATACTGAGTATCTGCACAGTGAAGTAATGGATAGCCGCTCGGATTGATGAATTGAAGATCCGAGTTCAAATTCCAGTCGAACCCATTACATTCACTTACGTGCTAATACCCTTGGAAAAGGTATGGATCCTCTTCTTCTCCCCTCAGCTATGGGTAAATAGCAGGACAGACCAGGTTCTATAGCCTTGGAAGAAAGAAATGGCAACCTACTACAGGAAAAATCCCACAGAAAGAAATGGCAAACTATTACGAGAAAAAAAAAATCTGCCTTGTCAGTCATGTATCAAAAGATCACCTACGCGTGTATCATGTATGGCATATAACTGATTGATCTGCCCATCATGTCTAACTATTTTTATACAACTTTGAGTAGCTGGTTTTTTAGTTCAGAATTGTCCTTCTTATAGGAATGGTTGCCAATCATGGCTAGAGAATCCAGTCTGCCTTACTATTTAATACCTAATACACGGTTATATATGCTAACAATAAAATAGCATACATATTTGTATACTGGTATCTATGATGAAAAAAATGTTGAAATATAATCAAATGAAAGTGTTAGGTCACACACACATCAATAATTTTTAGCTTAGAAGAATTTGGTGTATTTGATTTCCTGCTATTACCAATGTTTGTTTTGCTTGTGAAGATGGCATGGGACATCTGATATGGAACATCTGTCTATATTTTTGAGATGGGCACTTGTAAATATTTATACTACTTGGACTGTTATCCTGGTCTTTATTGCCATACTCATGACGTTTCAGCTATTGTACGCTCTGGCCTTCTTCAAGTGATTTTAGTTGTAATTTTGAACTGAACCCCTTATTTAGTCCAATGGGATAGATTGTTCTAATTCCACATGCCATGTCTCTGGATATCTCAGTTTCAGTTAATTCCCCTTGGTAACTCAATTCTCCTAGTTTTTGTTCACCTCTGCTGTAGCTAGGTATTGAACTCACAGCTCTTTGGGCCAAGTCACTTTTGGATCATTCAACCAAAACCACCGGCAAGTTATATTGGAAAAATAGGGAAACATTACAAATGCATTGGGTTAATGTGGATGGTGTAATTTAAGAACTGTTTATTTTCTTTCTTTCTGTTTCTTATTCATTCCTATCAGATTTCATCATACTTATTATAAAACCCAGGTTGTGTGTGTGTGTGTACGTTTATATATTGGATCAGATTTCCTACATTTTTTCAACTGATTTCAACAAAACTTCACAGGACTATGTAAAATTACCTTGTGGTGGTTCTGACAGTGCCAAAAATTGGAAAAACACAATTGTTTTTGCACGAAATCAATTTGAAAACACAATTAAGAGTCATTAATGAAAGGGAGACAACTCATCGAGTTATACTTATTAATATCGAGTTATCAAGTTATACTTATTATAAAACCCAGGTTGGTTGTTTGTGTGTGTGTGTGTGTGTGTTCATTTATATATGGGATCGGATTTCCTACATTTTTCAACCGATTTCAACAAAACTTCACTTTTTTTTTTGGCTGGTAGTGTTTCTTATTGTCTTGCACACTTTTTTCTTTATTTTTACATTCAGAATGCTTTAAAAATTCCATTTACAAGACAATTGTTTATAATAAAATTCTATTCAATCAGTAGACTCATAACAATTGAAAACAATGTTTTTGTTTGAGTTTGGGTTTGACCAATTCGTAAAAAAAAAAAAAAAAAATAAAACCAATTAAGACATGCGTGTTCGTCAACCTTAAACAATAATCTTTGTCAATTTTATTTTTCAGTCTTTATGATGGTCAATACTTGATCTATCTCTTACTGTTACATCCCCGGGCAACGCCGGGCTCTACTGCTAGTATGTGATAAACATATTTTCATTTCTTCATCAATGAAATTTATGAAGAATCAGCTATTTTTTTAGAGAGTCTGATAATGACTGATTTAAATCCCTTGAGAAAGGCAAAAGGAAAAGGATTATCCCCTACTTAACGATTAAAGAATTTAGCATCCAGTTTAAAATATCAAATGACAAAGACTTGACTTACACATGGAAGCCATGTTTGTGGTGTCTCTAGCTTTTTAAAAATAAAGATTTGTTTTAAATATAAAAAAAATAAGTCATAAATTACTCTTCTGTTAACTTGGAGCACACTTGGTTACCTTTCAGGATACATTAGTGTACCTGGGCACACCAGTTAAGAAATGCTGATATATAATCATTATTATTAACATATATATAATCACAAGAAGGAATTTCACCAACCTTTCACTCATATCTGTCATGTGCTCTTGGAGCCAGCTGGAACTGGAAGCAGCAATCACATGGTTTATGGCACGATTGGTAATGCCATATGTGACAACCATGTGCACAACAAAAGCAACGATTGTGCCAACAAGCAAGCGGCCACTGAGAAGAGACAAGTATACAAAGTCATTTTGCAAATAAAATGGATCATTGGTAAAATAAGAATGGAAAAAGACAACAACAAAAATACATAACTGAAGATTTGCAAATCAGATAAACAGCAACAAATAAATTTATGATGCAAAGGCATGGAAAATTATAATGGAAAGACATTATCAACAGGTTTGTACAATTTCTCAGAATTCAACAATGATAAATATATTTTAAGAAAATAATTCCTAATGAATTACATTTTTACCTTAATATTCTCCACATAGGATTAGGTTGGCTTGGCTTGGCTTGGTTTATTATTATGATGTTAACCCTTGTTGGGTTATTTTATATCAAAATCATTTTTTTGTTACATTTTGAGCCTATAAGCATTTTGTTCAGAGATAGTTATTGTCTGTTTATATTTAAGTCCATAAGCATTTACTTAGTAGGTGGCCCCTTTTTGGGGGAGAAAATGTTACCCTCTTCTGCCAGGAGTGCAGTCAGCATATTCTAAGTCCCACTGACTGGGCTGTGCTGATCAGAAATGATCCAGACATTTAATATTAACTAGCATAGTACCTATAAAGATGGCAGGATTATTTATGAATTGATCAGCACAAAGATCAGTGTAGTATCTGTGCAAAGTATTACACACAGATGTAACATAGACATAACCTACCTATGAGTTCATTTCCACAACAGGGTTGGGAAAAGCCAAAGGAACAGAGTAAAAGGGAAATGTAAAAGGTAAGAAAGATAGATAGACAAAAATGAAAACAAAGGGTGAAGCATTGGAGACATACAAACAAGTTTGCTATCTGGGGTTTTGTTACTCTTTTACCCCTTTATTTTTTTTTTGATTTTTAAAGTGGGTGAAGCTTTTTTTTTTAATAAGTATGACACACTTTACATCATAAGATAGATTGAGTGATTGATTCATTTTCTAGTGGCTTATCTACTCTTTGCAGGTTATTTAAAGCCAGAAAATATGTTTAGATTGTAAGAATTTTTTTTTTTTGAGATAATAATTGTTTAGTGATACAAATTTTATTAATTAACCCATAGCTGAAGGAAGAAAAGCTGGATTCATACCTTTCCCAAGGGTATTTGTGCATAAGTGAATATAAAAAACCCAACTGGAATTGAAACTTGGCTTTCTGATTAACAATTCCAAGAAATTATGCATTACACCACTCACACATCCAAGCTTACAGTACCTGGTATCCCCAAGAAGTCATCTATCTAGGTACTGACAAGGCTCAACATTGCTTAACTTCAGTAATCATACAGGAACCAGTATTTCAACGTGATGTGGACATAAACCATAAAATAATACAGTACTAACATATATTTTTCATATAGGAGTTCTAACTGGAAATGATCTGATTGTTTAATATTAATGGAAAAATATCATTAGAAAATAGTACTGAACTGTTATATTGTATTAATTCCCATATATGGCAGTAAATGCTGGACAATCTCTTCACAGATGAAGAAGAGACTTGAAGCAACAGAAATAGAGTTCTACAGAAGGATGCTGAGCATATCATGGACTAAACATGTGAGCAACAACAAAGTTCAAGAGACAACAAAAAAGATATCTATGCTTAACAGGAAGAGACAGTTGAGATTTCTGGGAAATATAATGAGGAAGGAGGGCTCGAAATAGGTCAAACAGATTGAAAATAAGAGACACAGAGGAAAGCAACACACAAGTTACCTGGTGAGCTTGAGTGAATGGATGGCGAAGCTTGGTATGGGAGAGATGGCAAAAAGACAAGTTATTAAGAGCTACAAGGGGCAGGAAACTGTGATCGCCAATGTACTGAAGGGACACGGTACATAGCAGGAGCTTTAGTCTACTGAGAACTCTATAGGTTTATCCCACCCTCCCTAACACATATCATAAAAATCTCTTTCAATATCACCATTAGCTATTATGTTATATTCTCCACATCCACAGTTTGAAATCTCTCTTTCAATGGTGATTTTAGCACTGAGAACCAAAATTGGACTGAAGAAGGAACTGACAAACCTAGACAATGCAATTATTTTGTCAAAAGATCATGCATGAGCCAAGAAGGAGTAATCAAGAAATTCAAAATGGCTGGATACTTTGCAGACTGTCTGAGGAATCCCCAGATTTTTTTCTAATTCTGAAACTGTTAATCCCTGATTTAATTTTATTGCAGCACAGACATGTTCAACATCTCCAATGTTCTGCTTCTGATTTGATTTTTTTTTACAACTTATAAACCCTTTTTTTAACTGTGGTTCACCCTCTACAAGGCTCATGGAACACTTGAGGTAGAGGGTTACATTAAGAGGTAGTTTACACAGATAGGAGGGGAAGATAACATTCAACCCTAGACTTTATAGGTTAAGAATGTAGTAATAGGAGAAACATCCTCTTTGGAGTCAGTTCTACAGAGCAGCTGTTCACAGGAAGAAGTTGCTTGAGTGGAACAATTCTCACCAATGAAATACAGAGGGAATGTGGGTGGTTTGCTACAATGTAAGTGGCACGATGGGCCCTAGCCATGAAAGTTAGGACTGGTGGAACCAAGGAGTATAGTTCATCTGAGCACTTTCCATGAAAGTAGTGATAAAGCAATGAGAGGCTTGCCACAACCTTCCTGTCAGAGAAAAGTTGGAAGGTGGAAAATAATGTCGCCCACAAGGACTCAGAGACACTTTTGTACTCTATGAAGACTGGAAAGTGAGGACTGCGCAGCTTGCACCCAAATATGACAACAGTACTCAATTCTCGGCCTAATTTGGTTCTTGTAAAGGTAGAGGATAGCATAAGGTGTCAGGTACTTACTAGAGCGGTACAGGGTTATTTAAAGCTGAAACATATTTTGGATTGGATGAAAATTTTTTTTGTGAGGGAATATTGTATTAAGAATTTCTTTTGACAATAACAATGATTTTTCCAGATATAAGTCATACTATTTAATCCATAGTTGGGATCTATGTCTTGAAAACCTTCCAGAATGTAGATCACTTTAAATAAATTTCCAGTCAAGTTTGAATTGTCAGTATGAAAATTTTATTTTGTCTTCACTGAATTATCCTCAAAAACTTTCTTAATCATCTGAATAGTTTCCATTGATGAATGCCCAAATTTCAAGAAAAAAACTTGATACATATTTTATGGGAATACAATGGTCACACAATACACAGACTAACACAATGGTCTCAAACTACTGAGTAACCCCATAAGAGAACATCTGTTCATGCATACACAGTCAAGTTCTTCTCAGTAGTTGCTAAATTACACTAAGGCTGCATAACTGGTTCTTGAAATATTCAAAATGGCTAGATAATTTCCAAACAAGCCATGTATTTTTACAAAAGTAAAAAAAAAAAAATAGAAATTTTAAAAAAGCAATATTTACGTGTGTATCTCAGGTTGTTGTAACATTCGTTCAATACTGAAATTTAAAATAAGATCAAACTTTAATAAGTACATAATTAATAAAATCTATATTCTGTAGCTTACAGAAAAGCCTACCAAACAGTTTTGTATAGCTTTATACCAATTCTTATTAACAATCCTTCTTTAAAATGGTGAATGTTAGTTGTTTATTTACATATTTCAATGATGACATAAAATGCAATGAAAAATGCATCATATTTTGATAATGGCCAGAAGTGTGATCAAAAGCACTAATTCCTAAATATCTGGATGATACAAATCCAGACATATTCACTTGTACATGAACAAGAAATGTTAAACAATTTTTAAAGAATTCCTTCTTTAATCAAACATGTGTTAGTGAAGGACTGTAGCCTAAATAGACATGCACACATATACATGAAAGCCCACAAACACACAAATCTCCAACATTATAATGAAAAGATGTTTCCTTTACTGAAATGCATAAAAACTTATAAAATACACACAGGCTTTTATAAGCCATTGACACCAAACCAATATTCCCATTGCATTGCTTATTTTTTAGCTATTAAGACAGATATACCAATATACATGTTCATATCTTTCTACTTAGCAAAAAATGCAGATAAACTGTCACTTATTTCAAAAGAACTTTCAATGTAAAATTAGTCAAAAGACTTTCTCAGGAAAAATTGGTCAAAGACATTTTCCTTCTCTTTTCATGTTCTATCATGGTTTGCAACAGGGTTTGTTTGATTGATTTGCTTTTTATGACTTATCAATCTTTTGCAGGTTATTTAATGTCAGAAAATATTTTTAGATTACAAGTCTTGTTATTTAATCCATAGCTAGGAGAAGAGGTGAATTCATATCTTTCCTAAGAGTATTTGCACGTAACAAACCCAACTGAAATTTGAACTTGATTTTCTGATTTCTAATTTATCCATTACACCACCCACACATCAAATATTACAGCACCTGATATTCCCCTGCAGTCACCCTTCTAGGTATTGACCAGATTCAAGTTTGCTTAGCTTCAGTGATTGGACAAAAACCAGTGTTTCAATGTGATATGGTCATAAGCCACTGAATTGTAGTGATTGGGGAAACATCCTCTTGAGAATCAGTTTCACAAAGTAGCAGTTCATGGGAAGAAACTGCAAGAGTGAAACTTACATCTCACCAATGGATTACGAAGGGAATGAGGATGGTTTACTACAATGTCCATGATATGGCAAGTCTTAACTGCAAAGGTTAGAACCGGTAGGACTAAGGAACGTAGATTGTCTGAACACTTTCTATGGAAATAGTGATAGAACATTGACGCTTGTAATTTTTTGTCTGTAGGAAAGGGGTTGTAGGGTGGAAAATACATCATTACCTACAAGGACACGGAGACACTTTTAGAATGGAAACTGAAGACTGGGCAGTTCCTACCCATATATGATTTCAGTACTCCATTTTTGACCTGAACTGGTTCTTGTAAAGGTACAGGATAGCAAGAGGAGTTAGACAATTACTGGAGTGGCACAGGTACGATTTTTTCCAGCATCTTTTATGTATGAGTACCATTTGAGGTCTAGGTTGAGCTTAAGTCCCATTAGGCACTCAAGTCTACTGTTCATTGGGATAGGCAAAAATTCAGTCTCCACTTGGTGATGATGGAATGTCACTAGATTTTCATAAAGTGAACTTATTGAATTACCAAAATAAAAATAAGAAACAAGGATTCATTCACCAGGCATTAATCTCTGTCTGGGAAAGCTAGAATAATGTTAGAAATCAAGTACAGTTGATTTGAAAAAGGAAATGCTGTTGATATATTAATAGAAAACTAAAACCAATGTTTGACAAAGAATGTTATTTTGGAATTACAAAGCCCACTACTGAAAAAAATCCTAAATTTATTGAAAAGTGCTAAAATGAACAATTTCTAGCTAGAAAAAGAAATTAAACTTGACAAGTCTGTCGAGTGATTTTTGCATGAAGTCTAAAAATGCCAATCCTCATCCTATTGTAAATATTTCTTTGGCAGCAAAATCTAATGAAACAATCTGTATGGATTTAAAAATTTAGGAGAAACTGTATTTTTTAATTATTGTTGAGCTTGCCATCAGATTTTGTGAAACTTGAAGCTTTCATTTTTTTTGTGCTGTCAAACAACCTTTGACACTTCTAAAAAATTGTTGGCAGACAATGGTTGTTGGGAATTTGTTAAAACCTCAATCAACTTTGATCTTCAAAAATTTAAATGCAATGACAATCATCTTCTGTCTCTTTAATTCCTCTTCTTCTATTATTTTCTCTCCTTAATAATGTTTTTTTTCTCATATTCTTTCACACTCAGTAACCCTTTGCATCTTAGTGGTTTTATCACTTTGATTGGGGTAAAATAATAAATAAAAAACACGAATTTTGAATCATAAACAAAAACAAAGGAAAAGAACCAAGACATTACCTTTCTTTGATGATAAAAAGAGCTCCAAGTTGGGCTAACATGGTGCTGGCAAAGACAGCAAGAACCACAAATCGGTCATAGCTAAACATAAAGAAAATTGTAAACATGAAACAACTTTAACCACACTAATAAATGTAGTTGTAAACAGAATAAAGGGAAGCACTTTGTATTGAAACAGAAAGTTTAAAAAAAAATTATTTCATATTTTCACTGAAGATTTTACTTTTTTAATGAAGTCAATTTCAGATATTAATTAGTCACTGTCTTCAGGGGAAGACTTCTTCAAAGTACACTGTACTTAATTCTTGTGCACAGCAGCCCAGTATAATTTGATTTGTGTTTTATGAAATCCCACCCCACTGGACAAAAGATCTCAAAATTTAATTATTAGAAATGTCTCACAATTCAGTCAGACAGTTACATGATACACGCTTAGACAATCAGGCATCTTTCGATACATGACTGACAAGGCAGATTTTTTTCCCACAGTAGGTTGCCATTTTTTTCTGTGGTAGACCAGTTGTCATCCAAGGCTATAGAACTAGGTCTGTCCTGCTATTTACTCATAGCTGGAGGGAGAGGAAGAGGACTCATACCTTTCCCAAGGGTATTAGCACATAAGTGAATGTGATGGATTTGACTGGAATTCAAACTCAGCTCTCTGATTCCTCAATCTGAACTGCTATCCATTATGCCATCATACCTCCATCTCACAATTCAAAATTCATTATTCTTGTATTATCTTCCTATATACAGTATAAGAATATAAAATATTCAAACAATTCCTGGAAATTTTCTTCATGGTAATTAATGTAGAAAACAAATATTTAAACTATTTATTCAAATAAGACTTATATATTTACTTACAAATTAAAACAAAGAAAAAATACTTAAATAAAAGGAGAGCTGTGAATAACCCAAGAAGATGTTGATGTCATTAAATCTACTAATGTAACAATGAGAAAGAGTACTGTTTACATGTCCCATTTTCTGTTATATTATGCTGGTGCACAGGATTATGATACTGTTGTAGAGTAGTGTCACAGTGGAGGCTTGTATTTCACTAAGTCGGTCCTAAAAAGGTTTGACGTACAAAACGTTAGGAACTTGATATAATAGGTAATGATGCAGAGAAATCTAGTGGTGGTCGCTGATACTCTTAGTGTCCAACATCAACTGACTGACCGACTGACTTAGCGACTCGTTACTATTACTACTACTACTACTACTACTACTTATTATAGGTGGGAGAGTCTATTAACTATAGAATAGGTGTGTTCCAGTATAACAGATACAAAGTTTAGGTGAAACACATTAAGGTGTTGATGTACCAGACAATTAAATTTATATCGAAATAAAGGAAAATAAAATGGTATTTGCTTACCCAAAAGAGAAAGTAGATGATGATTTTTGAGACTGGACCCACAATGTCAGAAGACACGTAAGTAAACTGCAATTGAGAATCAGATATTTTGACAAATGAAGAAAGGCTTTAAAAACTGCAAGTGTTCTGTTAATGAACTGAAAACTTTTTTCACAAATAAAAAAGAATAAAATAATAAAAGTGAGCAAATACAAAAAAAGAAGGAAATTTAAAAACCAAAGACAAGTTGGTATTTTGATTTTTTTACAGATTCAACTGCTGTATTGTTAAAGCATTGTTGTTTGGCTTTGCTGGTCCATTTGGGGAAAAATAGGAAATTGCTATTTATTGAAAATAAATGATACTGACAGTGATTTCTCATGTATGTTGCCATTTTGGTTTTGAAATAGTACTCAACAGTACAACTAACTAGACCACTTGTGGCAATGTCCCCATTTGTTATCATAGGGAGTTTGGATGCATATAGATGAGGAGACACAAAGCACTACCTTGCAGTTTCCATCTGAATCTGAATAATTATGTCTCATCCATTATACAGTATGAAAAATCTGTTTTTGACTGATATCATTGTAGTTCAGTGCAACAAATCTAGTCTGTTAGATTCTGCCATTGACCACATCCAATATCTTACTGCTAATGTCTTCACCATAATCCTGGCTGGGGTGGCTTCTGGATGTCATGCCAAAAGAAACCTATGATTTGGTCCCAGGACCACATATGGTTTTCAGTCCAGTGTTTTCATTTTCCAAGACTGATTGCCAAACACAGCGAGAGAGCCCAGACTGCCCTTCTATTTAGCCCATATCTGGGGGGAAGAGATGGATTCATACCATTCTACAATATAAATTAAGCTAAACTACACCTCCAACAAAATATAATAAAAATATTTCACAAAACAGTGCCATATTGTATGCTTCTATATGTTTACACTGGCTTGGAAAATGCACTAAGCACTAGTTTATAGTGTCTTTAATATATATATATATATATATATATATATATATATATATATATATATATATATATATATATATATATTATCCCTCACCAGTAGCATGACTCAGAGTTTCAAGCACAACATAAGCTTCAGGTGTTGGATAGAGAGTAAAAAGTGACTATTACATAATTTAAATTTTAATAAAAATATCTGGTTAACATAATGCTTGTGCCATCCATATATTATACAGGGATTACAGTTTTTTTATTTTAAAAATATATGTTGCATTTAAAATAGGATTTATATTTCATATATATATATATATATATTTTAAGACATTTTATGTTTATACATTCTTTTTATAGATACAAATATTAAAAATGTCTTAAAATAATTGTCGGACTTTGTCCATTTCATAATGTGTGACGTCATTTGTTTACATTTGATACGCCATGAGCAGATATAAATGTACTTGAGAGATTCATGGAAGATTGAAGTTTAAAGACAGTAAATTCGACCTTACTAACCGAACGCGCATCTGTGGCTAAATTGGTAAAGGCACGTCAAGCTAAATGACGGTTCCATATAGGATACAGGTTCAAATCCTTTCAGAGGACGAATATTTCCTGTGAAAATTTCTCGGACATTCATGCCGGTAAATGTTGTTTAATACTGTTTATTATAAACTTAAATTTACTTAAATATTTGTATCTATAAAAAGAATGTATAAACATAAAAATGTCTTAAAATAATTGTCGGACTTTGTCCATTTCATAATGTGTGACGTTATATATATATATATATATAAAATAAAGAGAGATAAATATTTTATTTTATATTTAAACTAAACACAGAATAATGGTATTTATTAAAAAAAAAATTAATTAAAATAGACAAATCTAAAACTATAACACCAGCACTCTATGTGTGATATTTTATATTTATATCTATATAATAAATATGAATGTCAGTGTGTCACACTTTTTCAACTTTACTCTTAGAGGCTGCAGCCCAACATATCATAGCCATTTTGGAATCAGGCCAACTCTGTGAGGAAATTAAAAACATTCAGGGCCAGATTTGGATCTGCAGTCCCTAAATTTTGGATTCCCAAATTTTCATTACTGTGATTGTTTTTGGAAATTTTTTTTATGTGATTTTTTTTGTACAATAACAATTTTTATAACTTGGGAATAATCAAAATTAATTGCTAAATCCAGCAAAAGTCACCCATGAAATAAAAATAATTGTTTGTACAGAAAGTAAGAACCTAAGTACATAAAAATGTCTTTAAATTAAGTGACGGCAGAAGAATTATTGTTGAACTTTTAAAAAGTAAGCTTAAATATTAATGTAATACTTAAATGCAGCTATCAATCTTAAGTTCTTCTGTAGTTTATTGTTGCCTATCACATCTACTCCGCCCTACTTATTGTGATGAAGACCTAATCAAGAGCCACAGGAGATACCTTAAATGCTATGAATTATGTTAAAACAAATGTGTAAAAGATTTTATTTCATCATTCAGCAAGAGAGCGATAGATATAGAGAATGAAAATTTGTTTTTGATATCCTTTGAAAGAAAGAAGTCTTTTTTTATAAAACATTTTATGAGAAGCTAGTGTGGCTTTTAAACTAGTATATATATGTGTGTGTGTGTGTGTGTGTGTGTGTGTGGATATTGTGGTCAACACCCAGCAGCAACAGTTTCTTTGATGCTTAAATGCTAGTCCAGGTCATGAAGATTGTGTTTAAGCATGAAACAGATTCACACTTTTGGGTGTTGACCTCAATGCCCACTTTCATATTTACAAATGCCCTATCCCTGATATTGAGCACTTAACCCATAAATATAGCATATCTTAAAACTATATGTGTGTGTGTGTGTGTGTGTGTGTGAACAGCAAGCAATATAAGTTTCATATTTTCATAAAGATGTATAAGTACATCCACAGCAGCTGAAGTGTTAATTATTGAAATTGTTGTCAAATTAACATTCCTCCAAAAATGATGAGATTCCTTTTGCACATTTCTTTCTTTGATGTTTGAGGCAGATAGACTTGAAGTTTTAAATATCACTTGGCTATTTTGTTATATATTTGTTTCTGTTTTTACTTATAGACATTACACCATAGAAAACACAGGGGAAAAACTCAATCACTTACCTGAATATATCAAATATTGTCAAATAAGTATAAGCCGTGAGAGCTGCAAAGAGAAGGAGTTTCGATATAAGTAAATCAGAATACAAACAGCATTTTATTATAATATTTAACAAAATTGTTTGTGTAATATGTGTCCCACCCCAGATCACGTTAGAATAGATTCATTGTTTTTCAGAAAAGCCAAGTGAAGGGTTAAGCTTGTTGAGTGCTGATCCACATGATTTGCCCAGCTGTGTGAGTGTAGGAAAAAAACTGTATGACAGGTAAATATATAAACATCAACCCAAGAACTTTCATACAATTCCACTTTCATAGTAGTCCCTAAAGCCATACACACTCACTGGCTAACAGTATTTTGACAAAGACCAGAGTTGAATAAAATATGTTATATGTGAGAAATTTAGTCTCATGTTTTCATGAGTAATAGGCAAAGATAATATTACACATTGTTAAATCTGATTTTTGCACAGTTTCCATTAAATCACCATTCCACCCCAGTCAACCTTTATACTCCTCAATTCTTCTTCTTCATGTGCTGTGTCTCATCAGGATGAGTCACAGCAATTTCCTGTCTACAATTTCCTGCCTATTGTAGCTCTTAATAAATTATCTTTAATCTTTTTGTTATTTCTTCTAAACCCTGATCCACCATCCATTTACTCAAACTCACTAAGTATGTTATACATTGTTTTTGTCTGTCCCTCAATCTGTCATATGAGTAGTAGATTTTTCCATTCTTTTCTTCATTATGTACTCCCAGAAGTTTTAACTGTCTCTTCCTGATGTTAATGTTAAGTATAAGTATCCTTTTTGTTGCCATTGTCTCTAGAACTTTGTCATTGCTCAAATGTTAGTTCATGGTATCCTCAGCATCCTTCAGTAGAACTACATCTCTGTTGCTTCAAGTCTCTTCATCTTTGAGTAGATTGTCCAGCATTTACTGCCATACAGGAAGACAGATATCACATAACAGTTCAGTACTTTTTTCTTTGTTTCTAACAAAGTTTTTCTCTTTCATAATACTATGCTTAGCTCTTGAAATGCATCTTTGGCCATCCTAATGAGTCATCGGATATGTTGATTTACTATAGGATTTACATTTTTTCTCTCTGCCTCTACATAGTTTACATTTGCTATTTTTCTGTCTTTGTGTCATGTTAATTTTGGCTTTAATAAATTGTGTACAGAAGTTTCCAAACTACCTAATTAAAAAAAAATATAAAAAACTTATTTCCTTTGTATTTCATTAGTAAGGAGTAATTTTGACTTGGATAGCTTCTATCCAAGAACTGTTGCTTTGTGGAACAGAATCCCAGAATGCTTTACCAACTAGTACCATCTTTTAAGGTCTAGGGTTAAATGTTATCTTTCACACAAATTCTCATCCAGTTTAAAGATGATAGTAGAAACCATAGATGGAGTTACAATAGTGACTTGGTTCTAAGTGGAAAGTCAAGCAAAGATACTCCAGATGAGTCGAGAGTGGAATTTGAAGAGAATTTATCAGCAGATGTTAAAACCTCAAAGAACAAAGAGAAGAGCGATAGAAGACTTACTCTTATTTAACATGTAGTGAGCCTTGATAAAAATAAAATATATAAACAAAAATAAAAAGAATTCAAATTAAGACATTTGCGCTTTACTTTAAAATCCATATCTCTTTCTTTCTCTCTCTATACTTCTTTCAACCTATGAGAAGGCAACCCCCAAATAAAGAGAGGAAGAAAAGACTGAGCCTGGTCAAAACACTGGAAGTTTGCAGAAGCAGAGCTTACTTATTTGTGAGTGAAAAATACCAAAAATCAGACAGGCTCCATGCATAACTTCCATTATAAAAAAAAAATGAAAAAGAAAGGAACACCAGAAAATAAAATAATTTAACTAATCAAAAAAATTGACACAAAGAGATTTTTTGATGATTAACTGAAACCAAAGTTACCGCCACAAACTCTGAGCCTATTCAAAAGGATATAAACCAATATCTCTTGGCTTGTGGCAGATGGAACAACAGAAGAGGACAGAACAAAAGAATGCTACTGCATAGAAACTAGCCATGTATGATACATGAAGAAGCAGTTAAGATGTCATCTGCTACTGACATTTCTGTCCTGTTCAGGGCTGATAAAAAATACAGTAGATTGACACTGGCCTACTTTTGCCCTACTCTTGGTATGATGATAAACTATATCCATGTCCTGGGTGAGACGATGAACTACATCTGGCAGTGGGGCCTCTGGTCAGGAGGTTTTGAGGAGCATGGAGCCACCTCTTGGTTGCTGGTGTTCCTAGGTCCACCCTGGCCCAGGGTGGTGGCACCTGTTGGGGTACCAACTATGGGTAAGTGGTTAGCCCCCAAACTGGGGTCAGAGCACTGTGTAATGTGGTGATGGGTTTTAATACCAGAAATACTTTGTAAAAAATATTTATTACCAGCAATACATTTTTGAAAGAAGGTATGTATACATTTTTGAGGAAAAAATATTACCAGAAACAAAAATTGTCAGCATTAAATAACCCATTGAGGTTGATATGCTGTAAAACAAACCAAACCAAACTATCTTATCAGGGTCTTACTTCAAAACAACCACTAATGCACATTTCTCCAGACTATCTGCCTGATGAACAAAATGTTGCGACCAAAGGACTCACTTATCACTCTAAAATAAATAAAAAATATATTATTTATTTTTACCCTTGAGTCAGTTTATTCCAAATGTCCCTGTAAAGAAAATCCTATCCAACCACCTATCCACACTGGTGACTTTCTGATGTGAATACACATTATTAAAGAGCCACCAGTAGTCCTGAGATCCAAACATATTAGAGGCTGTATGGTACATCATTCTGTCAGGAAGCAAAAAACTTAGCCTCTTTGAGGACATGTTTACAATTATTATGAGCAAATATAAATGATGAGAACTATCACACAGGTACACCTGGAGAAAGTGATTCCTGTGGGCTATAGCAGCTGAACAGGCCAGTGTGAACCAAGGAGAAGATTGTGGTTTCACTTGGTATTTCTGAGAAAGTACAAAATCATTGATGCTGGCTTTAACCCAAGAAGAAACCTCTATGACACAATTTTCAATAGGAAGATTAAGAATATTAATCCAAGGAACATTTCAAAGAAAGTCACAAAATTAATCCCAATCAGTATACAGGTAACAGAAAGAAGTCTTGTAAATAGGAGGCTCCTATCTAATAGATGACACACAAGAAATACCAACAGATACTACAGCATGATCCGAATTGCCAAGAGGATAGAGTTGTGATGCTCAAAAAGAGCTAGGAGAGCAACAAATCATGTAAAGAAGAATGTTGATCAGAATTATTAAAGAAACAAGTAGGGAAATCCACTATTTGACTGAGCAAAAGAAAAAGTGAAAGTCTAAATACTGGTAATATCAGTTACATTAGAAAAATTAAGCCATCTGACATGATGAGCATTATTAACTATTTGACTGAGTGACTGAGCAAAAGAAAAAGTGAAAGTCTAAATACTGGTAATATCAGTTACATTAGAAAAATTAAGCCATCTGACATGATGAGCATTATTAACTATTTGACTGAGTGACTGAGCAAAAGAAAAAGTGAAAGTCTAAATACTGGTAATATCTGTTACATTAGAAAAATTAAGCCATCTGACATGATGAGCATTAAAATAACTGTTGTGGTAAACCCTCTTACAGTATAATGAACTCTTCCTTCTCTCATAAATACAAACTGTGAGAGTCAGACGGGAGCGAAGAGTGTGAAGTGGAATGGAGTAGTAGATCCAGTGCTAATCTACTTATTACTAACACTATTGTTTTGTATATATCTTCAGTATACTTCTTCAACCTACCTTCATCTTCCGTGTCTTTCTTTCTGGCCCCTAAACAGGCCACAACAATAACCAAATACAAAAATTATCACAGATGAATGTAGAGAGAGAGAGCCATTTCTGTAGTGTCAGATATTTTATCTAATATGTCCTGAGAAGAAGGAGAGCAATAAAGGAAAAGGAGATAGCTAACAGTGTGCAATAAAGAAAGATGAAAGTACATGAAAGAATCATGTGGGGACTCAAGAGACAATTCCCTTTCTGTTGGAAGATTTTCCCAGGTGTAAATATCAAGGCTATGCTAGAATCTTTTCAACAAAGAGAAAGATAGCCAGGAACAGAAAATTAATTGGTAATGATAAAAGAATTTAAATTAGTTTCCCAAAATTCAAAGATATCTGGAGAACATTTCCAGAGAAAAGATTTGACATTATAGAAATTGGTCCAAATACCATGAATATTGGAGAAAGGAAGACTGAGTGGGTAGGTGAGTTTTTGTTTATTGGTTTACTCATATTTCTTTTAATTGTATCTATCATAAGATTATATTTTGAGAAGGAAAAGGCCAAGATAATTATACATATCCATCATCTTTGGCAATGCAAACTATACAGAAGGTGGCTCAGACTAAATTATAATGTGACTTCAGGGTTGCCCACCAGAAATACATGCAGGGTCACCTTTTTATGTGCAATATGGCACTACAAATACCTCGATATGATGTGACTGTTTATTAGAGCAACCTCTCTAAGCACTACCAACGAGTTCAGGCTCCTTACCACCAATGAGATGTGGCAACCAGAAAACTGCCAATTTGGTACCCGCATAATGAAAAGTCAAAGCCACTGATCAGTCAGATCACCTAAAAATTAAGACAGTTAAACCATTATGGCCACAGAAGAAAAAACTGTATACCATATTCTAAACAGAAAACAAGGCATAAATCTCTACTCCTGTTCAATAAACATAGAAGGAGCATTGACTGAACAATAGGTGAACCTATCTACTCCTATTAACCTGTCGCCAGCACAGGAGGCAGGGTACTTTTATAGAGACACCATCTTTAGGAAGGTTGCCAAATAAAGCTCTAGACCCCTTCCAGGCCAAGCGGGAATTACTAAATTATTGAAACCTCCCTTAAAGTTATCCTAAGAGTTAAAATCAAAGTAATATTAACATAAAACTAGATTACTTAATATATTACAATCCTGTGAAGGAGTATAATGATAAAGGAAAAAGAGATAGCTAACAGAGGGCAATAACTGCTTATCTAGCTTGTTAACCATCACTCTAGACCAGACATCCACCAAATTAACATGTGTATACCATCATTACTATCTTCAAAATAGGTCTATTGCTTTGGAGCTATAATAGTAGCATTAGTGAAAAGTTAATGATGATGATGATGCATTTCTTGTGTTGTGATGAATTCCATTATTAGTTTCAGTTTGGTTGGCATCCTGGGTAAGACAATAAACAATGTCCAACAGCAAGGTTCCTGGTCAGCAGGTTTAGAGGAGCATGGTTCCCAGGCACACTATGATCCGAGGTGGTAGCACCTGTTAGGGACCCAGTTATGGGTAAATAGCTAACTCCTAAAACACTATAAAAGTGTAAAATAGATTTTAATACCAGAAATACTTTGCAAAAAATTATTACCAGCAATACATTTTTGAAAAAAAATATTGCCAGCTATAAAAATCTTGTCAGCATTAAATAACTGGTTGAAGTTGATATACTGTAAAACAAACAAAACCAAACCAGCTATACATTTTTTGAATAGATTTTTGAAGAAATAAAAATATTACCAGCAATACATTTTTGAAGAGAAAAAAATTAACAGCAATAAATATCTTGTTGACATTAAATGACCCATTAAGATTGATATGCCATAAAACAAAACAGTTTGGTTGGAGCTTCCGAGCAAAAATCTGAAAATTAAAGACAAGATGTTGCTCACCTATGCTACCAGTTGTATGGCACCAGAACAACAAGATGATGGTTCCAAATATATTAATGGCACCAAACAGGAGAATTTTCTGGGCCTGAAATTATAAAACAGAATTAAAAAATACAAGTAAAAAGAAGATATAAATAGAATGAAAACAGAATTTTTTTTAAATTTCACCAACAAATTAATTCTTTAAAATTAAACAGTTACTCTTTGCACAGACAAGAACACAGATAAACAACCTTACTCACTGGTAGAGTTCATATCAAACTCCGCCTGAAAATGGTTAAACATTAAATTCCATCTCATAATATCAAAATAACTGTACCAAAGATAATCTGGAATCAAAACACAGTAGCAGAATGATTAGGGATAAAAATACAGATATATTATGACAGTTTTTGTAATGCAAAAGGGTTTTTTTGGTTTTTTTACATGGAATAGTAAATTCCCAAGAGCTCTTCTTTCATTATGTGTCATGCATGATACACGCTTAGGCAATCATGTATCTTTTGATAGATGACTGACGAGGCAGATTTTTTCTCACAGTAGGTTGCTATTTCTTTCTGCAGTTGATCATTTGCCATCCAAGGCTATAGAACCCAGTCTGGCTTGCTATTTTACCCACAGCTAGCAGGAGAAGAAGAGGATACATACCTTTCTTAAGGGTATTAGCATGTAAGTAAATGTATTGGATTCGAATGTTATTCCTTGTTCTGATTTCTTGCAAGTTAACAACTGGAGGATATTCTTCAGCAGAAAGGTCCAGTTCACACTCCTCCCCAATCATAGAGGATTATACTTTGTTTCCAATTTAGGATTGGTTTTCTGGTCCCTTCTAAAGTCTACTTCAACTCTATACTTCTAACGTCTCTTGCCTAAACTTTGAAATTTTATTTACTATTTATTTCTTTTATTTTTTTTCTTCACTAGGAATGGATAGATTTGCCTATCAACAGGTTCATACTACTCCCTGGTCTTTTAAACATAAGTGTTTCCTGTTTAGGACAGGGTTTCCAGTTCCTTCTAAAGTATTTACATTCTCTTTCACTTCACTTCTCTTGCATCTTAGAGGCATTATCAGCTTGCTTGGGGTGAATTGATTAAAAAAAAAAAGAAAGAAAAAAATGTTCCCGTTAGCATGTAGGCAATCATAAATAATTTCAACAGCTGTTCATTACCTCTTTTATCTTCATGATGTCTGATATTTCTTTGAAGAAAACATCTGGAAGAGAATGCTGGGTTGCTGAGAATGGATAAATGGTCCCCTGTAAAGAAAAAAGAATAGAGAAAATAATAATGATACCAGAAACTCAAAATTTAATTTCAGAGGATCTAACTTTTAAATTCTGACAATAGTTCTATTAGAAGCTCATTGTAAAAACAATAACTTATTCTATAAATTTGTTTGTTCATATCTACTTAAAGTCAGATTGACTTAAAATGTTGATATTCCTGTATTCTTCAACAAATATTGACTTCTGTAAGGTTTTATCTTACTGCCCACCAATCTATTAATGATCCTATCAGGATGCTGAGTAATTTCTTTTTGTGGCAACTCTCAAAGCAATGGCACCAGCACAAGAAGCAATTATTATAATCAGACACCCATGATAGATTGCCTTACAAGCCAAATAACACTAACTAATCTACTATTCAGCTATAGCTAAGGGAAAAAGGTCCCATGCCTTTCTAAAGAGTACTAATGCAAAGTGAATGCAAATTGTTCCAACACAGACAAATGCAAACTTTTAATATGACTTATCAGAACTTCTGGAATGACTGATTCAATTTTGTCAAGACTAGCAATGAAGGTAACAGCTTTGCAATTACTGTCTGGGCAGTAATTAGAGTGTAGTTTGCTAAAGTTTACTCAGCCATTCTTTTCTCCATTGATCAATGTGACATGCCAGTGACAAGACATTTTGTCTTGATATCTGCTAAAACTGCAGATAGCATGGAGAAGTAAATTCATGCCATTTCCAAAGACACAGTTATAAACTGAATATCAACAGCATCAAATTTGGCTCACTAATCCTGTTTTCTGTACCAATGTTACACCACCCGGCACCTCCATTCTGAAACAAAATAAGCTCATTTGTCAGAGTTTGTTTTTAGTTGTTAATTTATTTACAATTAAAATCTGTTTTAACCATGTTCCAATTTTCCCTCCTCATTTGTTATTTACTAATGTGTCTTTGATTGTTTCCTGCTGCTCACCAACATTCACCTTTTGAGAAATTGTTGGCTGAAAGTGTTTCCTCAAGGTGAAATAATGACGTCCACTCTATTTAAATCTATTTTCTTCTTCTGTGGGTAAAAGTCTTTGTTTATATATATATATATATATATATATATATATATATATAAAAGAATAATAGATCTCAGAATCACTATTAAAAAATAGTTGCCAATTTTGAAAAATCTCTAAGCATGAAACAGCACTGTAAATGGGCAAATAAAACAAAACAGTTATTTTTTATGTGCATAAAGAAGTTCTTTTAAAAGTATTTAAAACAGAACTCTCATATACATAAGAAAAGAAACATAGAAATATATATGCACAAATGAACATGTATGTATGTATGTATTGATGGTTGTGCTATCAGAAAGCCACAAGTAATTTTGACTCAGAGTTTGAGCATGCTCTCGCCGTTCACACTGTTGATCCCAGATTGCGCACTCTCTCTCAGAAACTGTAACTAAGGTCTGCTCAACATAACTGCAGTATAAATCACAGCTGGGATCTGTGTTTGTTGGAGAAACACAAAAGTGAGTGAGCAGGCATCTGCAACAGGAATTAGGTAGCTGCCCTAGCAGACAGGTGTGCTCGGAAATCGAGTAGCCAGCTATCATGTATGTTCATAGTGAGTTTTAGCAACAGTTAGAAAAGTATGATGCATGCATCATTTAAGGTTCCCCAATTAAAAAGTTAAAAAAAATCTTAGGTTAACTATATTTAAAAAAAAAAAAAAGAAAACATGGAGAAGGTAGCACAAGATATGAGTCATAAATCTATAACATAATATACAATAGAAATTGCTTTTAAGACATTTGATATTTTATGGAAATCATATATCATACTTATTATAAAACCCAGGTTGTGTGTGTGTGTGTCTGTACGTTTATATATTGGATCGGATTTCCTACATTTTTCAACCGATTTCAACAAAACTTCACAGGACTACATAAAATTACCTTGCAGTGGTTCTGACAGCGCCAAAAATTGGAAAAACACAATTGTTTTTGCATGAAATCAATTTGAAAACACAATTAAGAGGCATCGCGAGAATGAAAGAGGGACAACTCATATCAAGTTATAGTTATTATAAAACCCAGGTTGGCTGTGTGTGTGTGTGTGTGTGTTCCTTTATATATGGGATCAGATTTCCTACACTTTTCAACCGACTTCAACAAAACATCACTTTTTTTTGGCAGGTAGTGTTTCTTATTGTCTTGCACACTTTTTTCTTATTTTTACATTCAGAATGCTTTAAAAATTCCATTTACAAGACAATTGTTTATAATAAAATTCTATTCAATCGGTAGAGACTCATAACGATTGAAAACAATGTTTTTGTTTGAGTTTGGGTTTGACCAATTCATAAAAAAAAAAAAATAAAACAAAAAAAATAACTAATTAAGACATGTGTGTCTGTCAACCTTCAACAATAATCTTTGTCAATTTTATTTTTCAGTCTTTATGATGGTCGATACTTGATCTATCTCTTACTGTTGCAACGCCGGGCTCTACTGCTAGTTAGTGAATAAATGAATCAATTAAATTGATTTTTGCTTTTACACTAGATCCACATAGGTATCTGTCATAAAAGCAGTGATTTAGCAAAGGTTATTGACTATATTTACCAGATTCGGAGTTCAATCCTAACTTGGTATACAGTTTCTGACTTGTGCTATAAGCTAAACTTAGTAAATATCTTTTTTTATATAAATTACACAGTGCTTGCTTGACATAGAACAATGAATCTCACACTAGTTTCCTTTTTTCTGTTACTTGTATGTAACAAAGTGTGATCCTAATGTAATAGTGAGTTGTTGTTATAAGATAAAGATTATACTTACCAAAGATTGATACTTTGGACTTCGAGAAACAGAGGCTTCTATATTACCTAATTAAGAAAGACAGAAAAGGTATTTAAATGTTGTATTTACTAGCATTTAAGAACTCCCCATCTATTTACCTCCAATATTAAGAATCCATGACAAAAGCAGTGGACAAAATCCCAGGCTCTTATCTCAAAAGGGGACAAAATCCCAGTTTCATATAAGATTAATTAATAAGATTAGTTATAAAGGCCTGTTATCATATTAAATTAAGATAATATATATATTGTCAGTATTACTTTTATTGTAGTATCTTGCTACTCTGTTCAATTTGTATTAGTCCAAGGCATTTGATAGTGTCGGCAATCGGTATCCGGCTGCTTCCTGTAGACCACCAGATTCAAACCCGACTTCTGACAGTGGATTAGTCTCCTGTATTGCTCCCCCAGTGCTGTGAAGCAGGTGAACGGAAAGCTGTTGTGTGCTTCTGCGCTATCTCAGTTGGGTCATCATGGTCACCTGTTGTTGCCCCTACTTTATGCTTTGGCACTGGAGCCCCTCGCTGTTCCTGGTGGGGCTCGAGCCAGAGTTTTCAAGTATGCCAATGACATGCCAACTTTTGTGTTGTCCTGCAGTGATATTGAGGTAATGCTGAAGGTGTTCAAATGGTACAAAAAGGTGACAGGGACCAAGATTAACTGTGATAAGACTTCCAGTTTGCAGTTAGGTGCCTGGAAGAGGGTCAATCTTCCGTTGGTTGGACAGACAAGCCCATCCACATTCTCAAAGTGTGGTTCGGACCTGGACTCCAGTAGGAGAAAAATTAGAATGAAGTGCAGGCAAAGGTCAGAATGTCAGTCCAGATTTGGCACCAGAGGTGGTTGTCCTTGAAAGGGAGAGCTGAGGTGTGTGCCACTTACGTCTTTCCTCTCAACCTTTACTGGCTGTCTGTACTTCCTCTCTGTAAGGAACATAAAGTGATCAAGTGCTTACTGTCCTCCTGTTTGTAGGGTGGATGTAAGCATCATGTGGATAGAGATGTCTGTGCCCAACGTCCATGTCATGGGAATCTGGGAATGCCACACTTGGTGATTCACTGATACACCTCGAGACTGACTTTCCTATGCCGTGCATTGACAAAGGATTTGATCTTGAAGGGGAGTATAAGGGCTGTATTTCCTTGGCTTACCATCACTCCTGTTTCTGTCGCTGAGTGCCATCTTAAGCCTCAGTATCAGTTTGATTTCCTTGAGTGTCATTTGGCCTTGAGGATCATTCCTTAGTCTAGTGACTTTTCTCAGCCGAGGAGTATTGAGAATTAGTGGAGAGGGTCGCAAAGGACCTGCTTTGCAACCAGTTCAGTTTGTTGGTGACTGAGTTGCGCTCTTTCTGGTCTTTAGCTCCAGTGACAAATTATCTCAACAACCCTGAGTTTTCGCTTACCTGGCAATTGGTTTGGAATCGACTAGCTCTCAGTGACATAGCTTTCAAATGGGGTTTGGCGAATTTGCTAGACTATCAGCTGTGTGACCTTTGGCTTAGAAGAAATGGCTTCACACGCCTTCTATCATTGTTCTTGTGTCTGCCCCTTTTGGGACTATGTTGGCGAGTTGCCGACTTGTACTGCTCCCGAAAAGCTCATGCTCATTGATCGCATATACGCATGTGACAATATGTTGTCCCCATATTCTGGATTGTAACAGATGGTGTTTCTGATGCTGCTGGCCATGGCTCAAATGGTGATTTGGATGACGCAGATGGAGGAAACCTTGACATGTGATCACTATTTTCATCAGGATCTGTCAGCATCCACTAAGAATGAAGATTAGAATTGTTAGAAAGCAGTTGGTATTGACAGGTGGATAACTGTGGCAAGTCTTGTTCACATGAACAGGCTAGCCTTGATTTTCCTTTTTAAGTCTATCCTAAATCACAATCAGGCGGTTTTCCTGAGGAGCCCTCTCCTAGTTAAAATAGGTTCTTCTAAGTGTACCTAGTTAATGTGTCATTCCTGGCTTGTTATCAGCTTTCTCTTTGGTTATGATCCAAGTTGAGATTCCCTACCTCCCCAGTTTGCTTTGGTCCGCCTTTTTTATCTTGACTGGATCAGTCTTTTGATTTTTTTTTTTAATGCCCATATTTTTTATCTTTTTTTCCTCCCTTAGCCTCTTGATTTTGTCAGAAGACAGCAGTCACTCTTATTTTTGTAGGGTGGACAGGTCCTACTAACATCTTTCCTTTTTCAGGATCATTCATCCTCATCATTTCATTTCATTGATTAATGTGGCATGTTGGAGTAATGGGTAACAGCTCAGATTGAGGAATCAGAGAGCCAAGTTCAAATCAGGTCGAATCCATTACATTCACTTACATGCTAATACCCTTGGGAAAGACATGAATCTTCTTCTCCCCTTAGCTATGGATAAATAGCAGGACAGACTGGGTTCTATAGCCTTAGATGGCAACTGGTCTACCACAGAAAAAAATGGCAACCTACTGTGGGAAAAAATCTGCCTAGTCATTCATGTACCGAAAGATATATGATCGCTTAAGTGTGTATCACACAACTAAATTAATATGTATATATTTGTTTTGCATAGCTAAATTTTTAACTCATAGGGTAGTTTTTACTCAGTATGTGCTCTGTGTGTGTGAGGAATTTGGGTGTATGAAGGAGCAAATGTTGACATAAATTCTTATGGTGAATGAGTATATTGTAACGAATGAATGGGTCACAAATCCAATTAGCTAGGTATAAGATAGCTAGCGATGACCAATAGTATAATATACCAATCATTACAATTTCTTCATCAGCAGTGCTTTTTTTTCTCCAATCTATTTTTGCACATGAGAAATGAACATTTCTCATTACTAGATTTCAAATTCCCAATCGCAGCTTTTCATCTGATTTCTTGGAACTCTTTTCAACATCTACCTTTTACATTTTCTTTCTTGGAATTGTATTTTGTATTTACGAAAAATAAATTTTGGCATATTTATTTGAATTACACGTTTTTGTTGTCCTTGCTTTTGAGATCATTGTGTTTATTATTAAATGTTAGTGGGTACCATCTGAATGAACTAACCCAGAAACATGTGTACAGCTACACTTTTCTTCATTCAACTGTACATTTATTTCAAGTCATTATTCATTATGTAGCATAAATTTGGGAGTACAAAATATTGGATAATATGTTTATTGTCCAAATTTGACATTAGTGTATATATTGAATATTGTACATAAAAAGTGTATATATTGGAATTGGGTATTTGTCTCAATCTGACATTAAGATTTGAATTAAAAAAGTTCCTTGAATTTTCAATGTTAAATTAATTTTTTTTTATACGAATCTTTTTATATATTTTATTTATTTATTTATGGCAGTTACTGAGATTTTATCGACTTTTTGAAGTGGAAGAGGCTGGGATTTTGTCCCGTTACCCAAAATTGAGTTAGACTAAAAAAAAAAAACAATAACTGGGTAAATTAGCTTCGCTTTAACATCGCATAGAAGACTGAGAAGATTTTTTTTTTTTTTTTTTAGATATTTTTACGGAAAAAAGGGCGTGGGGGGTCATAAGCATGTATATTTTCACAAAAGAGCCCTTACTTTTTTTTCCTTGGGATTATCAGTGTAACTGATGAAAATCTGTATATTCACTGGTTTACGATATTTATTTTTTAATCTTTAACGTGCAGCATAATCTACGGCAGATAGCCACTGCGATGTATGTTAAAAAAAAAACTTAAGTTTTGAATTTGACGAACGAAAAAAACAAATTGTTTACCTCCTGTATGTCCCCCACTGTTCAGATCGATACTAACACTGCTACTTATGAGGTCTGGCATTATGTTATGGTTGTGGCTGTGACTGTGGCCATGATTATGACCGCTCATTTTGGTAATTCTCACAATTTCTTTCCAGAAAAAAAAAATTCCCAATAAGAAAATGACGGGAAAAAGAAGTGCCACGAACAAAGTTATTTTGTATTTCATACATTGAAGAGTTCATTTGTTCACGCGATCGTGGGAGTTGTCTCCCTTGCACCTAATGCCAACCTAAACCAAAGAAAGAAAGCCACTTAGAGTGACATCAAAGGTTAGCGTCCTGTCTCCTACGCTCGCTAAGAGTAGTTGATGAATACTTCAGAAATTATTGATTTTTTTTTTTACTATGTCCTGCAATAGAATCTATGTAAGTCGATGGTTGAGAAGCAAAATTTTTACTACTAGTTAGTTAATGAGCTCGGTCCTCACCAAGAAGTGCTTCACTTTCTTTCTTTTTTTTTTTTTATGAAGCTAAACTGAGCTAAGTTTTGTACGTATGTGTGTGGAGGGGAAAATGAAACACTGGTGTAATAAATATATTCCTTGTCATATTGTTATGGCCAGTTCATCCTTAAAATATCTGAAGTTTGTCAAAAAAAAAAAATCATATATGATCTTTTGCAATACTCACAAACAAGTAAGAAATTGGTTAATCACATATATGAAGCCACATGATTAAAGATCATCTGACAAAGTTTGGTGACATTGTGAGGTACTGTTGAAATATCCTAGTTTAGAGGTAATATTAATAACCTTCCAATCCCCAACTCCTGCCTAACTATAGGGCCATCATCTCAAGAACGAAGCAGCACTAGCTATTTTTAGTTCAGAGTAGGAAAAAAAACTTTCCTAGATTTTCCCGTGTCTATGTTATTGTCTGCTTTGTATTATCAGCAAATTCTATTTCAGCTCTCCATCAGAATCAATTTGTTTAAAAACCCATTAAAAGTGACTCAGAACGAAATTTATTTATCTCAAATCAATCCAAGTACCCAACAATCCATCAAATCGGCTCCGGACGAGAAGTAACTAAAAAAACGCTTTCTGATTGACTAATAAACAACAACAACAACAAAAAACATCATAATTTCGTACGTTCTCAACTACGTACGCATCATATTGCTTTAATGTGTGTTCTAAGCAGATACAAATTTGCGCCAAATTTTTTGGAGCCTCCTACGTGACTTGAAACACCAATGAATACGAAACAGACATGAAACAAAGATATCCATCGTCAAAAGCTCTATAATCACTGAGTATGGCTCATGTGAGCCGAAAGCTTAGGACCAAATTAATTAAAAATATATTCAAATGTTGGACAATTTTTGTCTTTATTTTCACCAGAAATTAAAGCAAACATTGAAACATTAGAACCGCTCATGATCAGACATAATACATTGTCTGTTATGTTTAAATAATGATCTGCTGCTCTAACACGTTATGCATACACACACTCCTGGTCAAAATCTTAAGACCAGATACAAAAGGGTTAAAAAATAAAATACTGTTACTTTAATCAAAATATATTTGCGAAACATTTACATTTAATTAAAAAAATGTAGTTTATCAACAAACAAATGAAAATTTTAAGTTTTTAACTGATTAATATTTTAAACATTGAAAAAAGGATTTTTTTGGTTGGTCATAAAGATGTAAATAAAAACAGCAAATACAGAACAAATAAGTCACAACGACAATTTAATTCTCAGTATATCCTCCATTTTTGCGAATTACTTCGTAAATTCGCGTTGGCATACTCATTATTAACTTGTGCATGAGAGTGCTTGGGATGCTCGCCCAGGATGCAGCACGAAAAGCATCCACTGTTTCAAATTGCGATCCATGTTTCTAAATATCCTTTGCCATCCATCCCCGAACATTCTCGATTTGGTTTCGATCTGGAGAGCGTTGTGGATTGCAGCATGGTCCTGCTGGAAAATCCAGTTTTCTCCACATAGATGAGGGCCTTCACTGATTAGCGATGCCTTTCTTAACATGTCAATGTAACTAGTAGCTGTTTGACGACCTTTTACCTCTTGTAACACAAGAGTTCCATTGTACGAAAATGAATCCCAGACCATAATTGATCCACCTCCACTGTGTCGTGTGAGAAAATTTCTTTTGGGACATGCCAGTAACGCTGAAAACCGTCTGGGCCATCAAGATCGAACTTTTTATTGTCTGAAAACAAAACTTTCTTCCATTATCCACATCCCAAGTTTGAAAATCGGAGCCAAATTGTAAACAAGTTTTATATGGCGAAGAAGAAGGCGAGGCCTCTGCAGCCGTTTCAAGGTCTTAAATCCTTTCTTATCTAAATGCCGTCGAATTGTTCGAGAGCTGCATTCAGCATCTTTATTCGCTTTTATCTGATTTGATGTTAGGATTGACTCTCTCTTAATTTCTCGCCTAATGAGTCTGTCTAGAGATGGTGAGACTTTATGGGGCGACCGCTTGATTTTTTAGAAGCATACGAATCCGGATTTTTAATGAAGTTAAGAATAACAGTTTTGCTACGGACAATTTCATTTGCAATGTCTCATTGCGAGAGACCACGTCTTTGAAGTTCAACAATCCTGCCCTGTTCGAACTTTGTTAAAATTTTACTCTTAGCCATTTTAAAATCTGAAATTGAGCTACGTAGATGTCTACACGCCTGAAGCTATGAGCACACTGAGTAGTTCTAAAATTTTTGTCCAGTAATTTGTTTGTTTGTTTTTTTTTTCACACACGGTCTTTTCTTTTTGACCAACCAAAAAAAAAATCCTTTTTTCAATGTCTGTTTAAATTAATCAATTAAAAACTTTAAATTTTCACTTGTTTGTTGCATAAATGTTTCGTAAATATATTTTGATTAAAGTAACAGTATTTCATTTTTTTTTTTTTTTTTAACTCTTTTGTATGCGGTCTTAAGATTATGACCAGGGGTGCGTATATATATATATATATATATATATATACACACACACACACACACATTTTTATTATTATTAATACATTCATTAACATATTTATACTTATTACAAGCTAATCACATTGACAATCAACAGCCATTCTTTTGTCTACATAAAAAGGTTTCTTAGATTTTTTTTTAAGCAAAGTTTCAAGGGCTTTTCTTTTTCCAGGATTCCTTTTTCTTTGTTGCATCTTTTAAATTCTGCATTTTCACTTTTTTCTTAGTATTTACGAACCTATTTCTGCTTTTATCTTTATTAAGTATTTACTGTGCGTTTCCTTTTATTTTTGCTATTTCCATTTAAAATGTGTGTTTGCGTCTCTGCCGCATACTTGGTTTTTGAATAAAATTTAAAAAAAAAAAAAACCTTGTTCGTCAAGGGAGACAACTGTTGATTGTTTGGCGCCATTCGTGTGGGCCAAACGAGAATGTTGAGCGATGGCCGACGTTTATTCTTTACTTTTAATCACCGTTCTCCATCTATACAATGGTTGTTGGCCACTCTTTCCTGTGGCACAGCCCTCGGACTTTTATTGCAGAAACTCCAAGGTATATAAACTAATTCATAACCTATCACGTTCCGGCTGACAACAAACATTTTTTTAATCCTTACCTAATTCAATTGTGTTTTTTTTTTTTAATTATAAAAATTATTTTTTGCATTAAAACTTGAATGTTAAAAATAAAATATTATTTAGAGAATCATTAGGCAAGTAAAAAAAAAAAAAAAAAATAGTGTTTAACTGTTTAATGACAGCTTTTTAAACACTTTTTTATTACCTGCTAGCTATCACTGAGTACGTTTTTATCACTTTAATTTAGTCATGTGACCCAACTGATTTGTAATCAGTACTTCATGAATCCGATATTTTTTTTTTTTTTTAGTAAATTGTTATCTTTTTGTTAAAGGTTTCTCTTTTTTTACATAGCATAATGAAAAAAAAGTCGATTTTTGCTCTTTTTATACTTTTTTTTTTAATTTATTTTTTATTCTTTTTAAATATTACATTCACGTTCGGTTATTTTAATTTTCTATGAATTTAATTTTTTTTAAAACAAAAAAATCTTTTACACACAGTTACACATAAAGTTAAATTTCTGTTTATTTTGTTTTAAGTTTTTTTAGGCATAGAAATTATACGAGAACATAAAAACATGTCTTGGAAACTGGTTCACCACTCGTTCTTAAAAATATGAAAAAAAAAAAACATTCGGGGAATAATTTTTAGATAGGTACCTCCACGAAATTGCAAAAAAATTTTAGACCTTCCTCGAGCCATATTTGTCAGACTCGAAAAGTATTGATTTAGTTTTTATTGATTTAGTTTTAGAAAGAGGATTTTGTTTGTTCATGATATCGATACAGTTAAAAATCGATCCCAGTTTTTTACAGAGTTATTGAACCTAGTTGTTATTTACAAAAATAAAGTTTAAAAAAAACTGTCTACACCCTCTACACTACAGTTTTTTCATTGATACTTGCATGTTTTGGTGGGAAGGGGATAGGATTTTTTTTCAGAAACACGTGCACAAACATTGTTTTGGGAGGATAATGATTCAGTCAGTCAGTTATGTGCCATGCATAATACACGCTTAGGCGATCATGTATCTTTCGATACATGACTGACGAGGCAGATTTTTTTTCCCGCAGTAGGTTGCTATTTCTTTCTGTGGTAGACCAGTTGCCATCCAAGGCTATAGAACCCAGGCTGTCCTGCTATTTACCCATAGCTGGGGGAGAAGAGGAGGATTCATACTTTTCCCAAGGTTATTAGCACACCAGTGAATGTAATAGATTTGACGGGAATTCGAACTCGACTCTCCAATTCTTCAATCCAAACCACTATCCATTGCTCCACTGTGTGTCCTTAATAATAATTAAATGAGGAAAATACGGATATGTTACTTTTATTAATTTTTATGTACATTTTTGTTCTTTAATTAAAATGTAGCCGTTTCTTGATTTAAAACTAATTTTTTTTTAAAGGCTGTTTTCATGTCCAGAATAGTTAAGTTCAGATAACTTTGTAAAAAGTTAGGAATTGAGTACACTGTATCGATATTATGACAGCCACTAAATTATAAAATGATAAAAATAGATATTTAAATGTTGCTCCTTGAATGCTAGTCTACAAAAATTATTTACCCCAAAAAATATTTCCCTATTTCTTTTTACAAGTGGACCACTCTACTTAAGTGGCGTCAAAGTCTTAAAAAAAGTAAGCAGTTGATGGTTTTATATATATATTATATATATATATTATATATATATATATATATATATATATATATTCAAAAATTATAACATAAATATGTTATAAAATCACTACATAAATAACCATTTTGTTTCAACACTTCTGATGTCTTATTTCAACACTATCACTTGATTAGACACCAGAAGCATTGAAACAAAATGGCTATTTTTGTAGTGATTTTATGACATTTATGTTACAATTTTCGAATAAATAATTATATTTGCTCTACTCTGTATTGAGCACACTTTAAAGAATAGTATTTGCTGGTTATTGGAATTTATTCCGTATACACTAATCCTATACTTGTGTGTGTGTGTGTGTGTATATATATATATATATATAATTAATAAAAGTTTCATGACGACTCTACTCATAATGGCTAGAGGATCAGATAAGTCTATTGCATTATTGTGTGATAGATTTATTAACTATTCTCACGGTAATTCCATTCAGTTCAGTTTATTGATAAAAATTCTGCTCTCCTTGGAATCATTTTCTAATAATTTTATGTATTTTGATGTTATTGATTTGTAATATTAATATATATACAAGATGTGATGGATAAATTGTCTAAATCATGTAAATTCAGTTCATTTTTGGTGTTACAGGGAGTTTTGTTGGTCTCATGCTCAACTACGCCTCACACATAATAATCAAGGGGGTTGAAATCTGGGGAGTGAGGTAGCCAGATGTAAGGGGTGATGTGGCTGCAGAAATTGTCTGACAAGGCACTTGATGTAGGCTCTACCAACAAATTCAGGATTTCTTATCAGAATGGTCAGAGTGAGTTTTTCAAGCTGCCGTACCTTCATAATCACCATTAGACTCATCCAACTCTTTCTGAATCTTCTGTGCTGTCCTTTGATTGACACCCAAACACTTTAAAATGTTCATATTGTTACTTCTGGTATGAATGCCAAGCAGTACAGCATGCTGTTTCCAAATTCCTGGCAGAGTGAATTGTGTCATGGTGCTCTTTTTCTCACAGATGGTGCCCAACTGACCCAACTATACTGTGCAGTTGACAAAATCAAAAACAAGGTGCATGCATGAATTTAAAAATATAAAATGCTGTTAAGTGATTTATATGATTGGCTACAATGAAAGTGGATCTAGTAAATGTATTTATCTACTTTCATTTTTTAATCTTTATTTTTTCTTTTTCTAATGTTGGGTATATTCTGAAGATCATGTTTTGAGCTGGAAATTATTTCTCTGATGGGTCTTTGTTGGTTTTTAATTTCCATTGTTGTAAGCCATCAGGGATATTTTTTATTATGGCTTTGATAATTGCATAGTATTCAATATGGAAAACATAAATTTGACATGTTTATTATTATTATCATCTTCGTTTTTTCCAAATATTCTAAACCCACTTTATGATTTCTTAGTTCCAAAGCTCTTATATATTTAACTTTAACATTATCAAATATTTCCTTAATGGTGGAGTTGGTGGATAATCTAACTTGGACTGAATATTTAGATTGTGATTTTTTAAAAATTTTAAGTTTTTTTCTCACTTGGTCTCTATTATGATGGCTAGTTTGTGAACAGTGAGGGATAATATTTATATTTATTAATATATACTTAATAGCTCTATTGTATTATATCAAGCACTGTTTTATTAACACCAACACTTTATATGCAATATAAGTGACCATATTTATATGGAAGGTGTTTCTAGATATAAGCAATGTGAATTTACAAATGAACACTGCCAGTCAACATGTAGGATTCATTTTGATGCCTACACTATATATTTTTAATCATTTTTTAGTGGAATGTATCAATTGAAAAAGGGAAAAATTAAATTTAGCCTTAAAGTCAGCAAAAATCAAAGAAAGTGGCAACCTTAACTTGTCAACTGCAGTGTTCAGGTGAGGAGTGTCTTGGGGTTGTGTTGAGGAAATATGATATTAGTCACCTATTCCTATCTCTACCATCAGTGACTTGATAACCAGGCTATAAAACAATAAAAAGTAGAAAGGGGGCAATAAACAGACAACTTATATATCAAAGACTTTGTCCTCACCATTTTTTCTTACATATGTCAGGGTGGGGGGAATTTTTTCAAATAAATGTTTAGTTTCATAGAATTATTACAATTAATATTAAAATACTAAAATGTGTTTTTTTTTAATTTCATGGACAGAGATTTTTAAATATAATATATTTTAGTTAGAGTAAAGGCTAAAACAAAATTTTGTACCGCTAAGAAAATAATGATATATGAGAGAGAGAGAGAGTAATGGATAGTAGCTTTGACTGAAGAATCAGAAAGCCAAGTTCAGTCTCAATTGAGTTCATTACATTACATATAGGAAAGATATGAACCCAGCCTTTCTTCACCCCCTCCAGATATGGGTAAATAGCATTCCAGACAGGATCTTATAGCCTTTGGTAGCAACTCTGAATTCAAAACCTCATGAATATTGACAAATTCTTTGGGAGCTTTTTTTTTTTTTTTTTTTTTTTGCTCTAGATTTTGTGGTTTTCCTTTTTTCTTTTTTGTTATTGTAGTTATCTTAAAAACAAAAAAAGAAAGTGGTAATAACATTGCTTTATTTTTCTCCTTTTTTGTTCTAGTGTTTGAGGCAAATCGAATGCAGCAGCAATTGTTGTTTGAAAACTTTATTTTGATGAAAACATTCTTCTCAGCTGTTGTCAGTGGTAAGTATTGTGGTGATGAAACTACACTCAATTGCTTTACACAGGTGGAGGGGTGGCTTTAATAATTGTAGACATCAGAATTTTTCTTCATATGCAATAAACAGAAGAAGTTTCAATAAAATGGGAGGGATTGAAAATCATTTAAAGGTTCAAAAGTGTAAAATTTATAAACAGAGTAGTGGAAGATTTCTTTTAAAAAAAAAATTACTGATTTATTATGCACCTAACTGTATAAGTTACTGATTTATTATGCACCTAACTGTATAAGTTAGACAATGTACTCTTATCTGAAATTCTGAAAACTGAAATTTTTTTGCATGGAAAAATTGTTTGATGAAACATATGCCAGTGATTATAAAATTCCTGTCCGAATTTCTAATATTAGGAGTTATTATTTAAATTTGGACTATTACATTATCAATAATCATGTTTTGAGACAAAAAGGCAAGTATTTTCTCTTGAATGAATTTTTCACATAAATATATATACATAAAACCTTACACACATCCATACATCACTACTCACTGGAAAATGATTTGTGAAACTAACTTGATAACATTACACCATGATGGGATAGCAACAAGTTTCATGCATAAGTTCATATTACTTTTAAATCAGTACCTCCAAAGATTTTCTAAAAAAGAGCATACCATGATGAAGAAAGGCTCCAAACTAGATGAAAACAAAGTTTTTATCATCAAAATGTTTGTTATTAATAAGAGGAAAGACCAAAGTATTTTTTGATTGTTTTATTAAATTTTTTAATGTTAAAAATCTTGTTTTCTTGCGTCAGATTAGTATTAAGATTTTTATCTTTTTTTTGGCATTAAAAACACATTTGTTTTGGAAATTCTGGCAAAAATCAAATAGTTGTTGGATTTTAATGAAATTTTCATGACTTATTCACAAATGAATGAATTTTTTTTTTGTTACATAAGTTACCGCCCTTTACTTAATTTTATGAAAATTTTGAGAAATTAAAATTTCAGCCATTTGTATTTATATTGGTTAAAAGCAGGACCCTTTGGAGAATTTAAATTATCACTTTGCTATTGTTAAACAAAAACAACATCTATTAAAAATTTGCTCTGAATCATACAATAAAAAACGCAATAAAACTATCACATTATTTAATTAGAAAAGCTTTTAATTGCTTTTATAAATAAGATACATTAAGGACACTATTGTCTTAAGAAAAAAAATTTCAGTTAATAATAAAGTTTTACAAGAATTGATTTCATTTTTTTTTTTGTAAAAATTTATTAAGTTTTAATTTTTTTAAAATTCTTTATTAATTTCAGTCTTTTAGATGATATTATTAAGTGAAAATTATATTAACTAATCATAAATGGAAAAGCTTAATACAAATCATCAAGCACCAATATTTTCTTTTTTTTATATGTATAAATGTGCCCATTTTTGTAAGTATGGCATTATCAGAAAATAAGTGATGACCATAGTAAATTTAAAGTCAGCATTTTTAAAATTTAATAAAGCATTAGATTACAGAGAATATTTTCCTAAATGTTTAAGATTAAGGCTCTCATTTTCTTAAATTATGTTTTACAGATAAAGTCTCCATAGAACAACATTAGACTTGTCACCAGGCTTTCAGCATGTCAAAACAGTTACTATCAGGTTAAAAAATGCATTTTTGTGATATTTTAAACTTAAAGTAAATAATATTTGTTTCAAATCAGGTTAATTATACTTTAATTCAGCTAATATTCCTCAAATAAAGTTTCAGAAAAGTATATTTTTGTTTTTGGAAAATTTTCTCGTAAAGAGAATTACATTGCGATGAAAGATGATTAAAAAATGGCGCTAACCAGCTATTTTAGGGAAAAAAAACCTTCCAGTCAATTTAAATTAGTTTTTGAAATACTGCAAAATATTTTGCTTATTGGAAATATTAAATTTAATCTATTAGCTTAAAACTAAAATAAAAGCTCAAAGAAAGATTCTTCATTTTTAAAACTTCATTTTAAACCTTACATTTTTTTGTTTTTTTGGAGGCTGGGGAGGGCATTTTTGGAAGTACCTACTCTTAAAATATATTCCTGATATACAATAGGACAAATTGCATTTAAAACAAAACCATTCATAAGTATCTACTTTAAATATTTTTATAAAAGTTGAAATCCTTTTCTTATTGATTTCCATGTACATTTTCCTATTTTCTGTTCAATCAGAAATAATAATTGATTTCTATTAATAAGTAGCGTTTTTAATTATCAATTATAAGTAATTTCCATTTTTGGGAACCAATTGTAATGACGAATGTATCATCCTAATTACTAATCATACGTGGCAGGTGTGAATAAATTTGGAGTACATTAACACCTGGCAAAGGCAGCATAAACACTAGATCAAAGGAAAAATATTGTTCTCCGTGACAATACAAGACTACATACCACAAAAATAACATTGAAAAAAGAATTTGGAGCATTTCTGGCCTGTTCTGCCCCCACCTACCATATTCACTTAACCTTGCATGGTTAGACCTGGTGGAACTAAGGAATGTAATTCATCTGAAGACTTTTCATGGTCTGTGATCATAAGTAAATAATAACATGCTGATCTGGCTTAAAAACAATGGAAAAGGACATAAGGTAGAAAAATCATGCTTATTCAATAATCTATCTCAGAAACAAACAAGTTTTATTAAAATCAGTTTCCATTTGAATGTACCTGATTTTTATAAATTGGTATTGTAGTGTGCTAATTACAATCTTAAACTCAATTTTAATTATATATATATATATATATATATAAATCACAGATTATTTCTCTATCAAATGAATATTTTTCTTTTTCAAATTCTCACAGTAACAGATGCACATTTCATCTTATTTATTCTTAGTATTTATTTTGTCTTACTTGTTTTACTACTTCTGTAACTTTTTGAAGTTATGACATTGTGGTATAGATTATCGCCCCTTATACGTATTCTGTATTCTCCATTCTAAGTTGAATAAAGCTACAGATAAGATTATGAACTGTATAATTTTTTACTTGTAGAACCTTAATAATTTTAAGTTGTCTAAATTTCTAGGTGAAATATCAAGATTTTCACTATTTTTCCTTTTGGTCTCATTTTTAGTGCCTTTTCTGTTTTTAAATCATAACACTCAATTTTCCATTCTACAAAAATTCATCTTATTCTTTATTTCAAATCTATGCTTGCTTAACAGACAGATATTACTCCTTGTGAAATATAATGCCATGGACCACATTGTGATATTTGTATATTATTTTTATGGCAACAAACTGTCCAGATCACACTCCTCCCCCAGTCTTTTGAATCAGAGTAGAGGTTTATACATTGTTTTCCTGTTTAGTTCCTTAAAGTCTATTTCAATCTCTTTTGCTCTTAGTAGCTTCTTGCATCTTAGTGAGATAATTGCTTGGAGTGAATTGATTAAAAAAAAAAAAAAAGAATTCCAGACTTTTTTTACCACTATCCTAGAACAGTCCCCAAAACAACTTTAATCAATCAAAAAAAAGTTTAAACTTTCCTGAAATCAAAATGTTTTTGTTTTTTTTACATTATCATTTATAGTTGTTTATAGCATAAAAACATTAAAATAATTAGGAAATACATTTTAAAAAAAGATAAAATGCTAATGTTTGAAAAAGGAATAAATAAAAAACAAAACGAATTCATTAAATTTTTAATATTTTTATTCATTATATTTTTCATAAAAATTATAACTATTTTGCTTGAATATTTTGGATAAATCACCTTAAATAAGTTTACACAAAAAATGTTCTTATTTAATTTTCCACCTGAGAATAAATCTTATTTTAGTGAAACACCCTACCCATATATTTTTAATTGGTTGTATTCTCTTATCCAGTATGCCTGTTTTTATAGGGATGAATCATGCAGCTGGTGTACTTAGGACAATCCTTTAAGCAAATAAGCTCATCCTCATGGGGGATACCCATGGCCAAGGGATGGCCTCAGTTTGGTTTTGAAATTTCAGATAGATACTTACTATCTTGTAAAATTTTGAATTACTGGTTGAGTTTGATTTATAAACATGAATTGTTGTCTAAGTACACATTACCAACTGTTTCTTTATTTCATATTTTTCAGGAAGGTAGGTCTCTTCAACTTTTATGAGTTTTTTTAATCTTAAACAGAAATTTCAAATGACCATGACCATGGCTCATTTTGTTTCGGCATTAAACGTACTATTTTCTGGCTGTTTCTAGTAATGCAAATACAGTTGTGTATATGGTTGTGGTTAGAACCAATCTTGATTGTGTCTCCCATAGTATGTTGCTTTTTATAGTGTCATCTTTCCTTTCATCCCTCCCACAAGAAAAATCTTACTTTTTTTTATTTATTTGATTGTTTATATTGAATTTATTTCCTTTATTTTGATTGACAAATAACAAAAAATAAAAACATGGAAAATTTTTGGTATTTTAGTACACATGTACCAAAATACTTTCAGAATTTTAATAGACACCAGCACAGTATTAAACCTCATAACATCTTGAAATGCCCCCCTCCCACACACACAATCAGATAAAAAAAAATTTTCATCAAATTTTATTTTTATCTTCTCCTTTTTTTTTTTTTTTTTTTTTTTTTTTATTAATTTGAACTTTTTCTGTTGAATTCTTAAAATCATTTTCAAACTACCAATAAAGGTTTATGTTTGTCTTTTTTCTTTTTCTTTTGTTGTTTTTGTTTATATTTTGCTGTTAGGAAATATATTTTGCCAGGAAGCTTTAGTTTCTAAAGTGAAACTGGTTGGCATGGAAGAAGTTTTACTGTATGTAATTTCAACTGTACACAATATAGCAAATATTAACCAAACACTAACTTGTACTAATTGAGACTGTATTAATTTCTAATTTGTACTTGATTTCATACTAATCAAGGCCATTCTATATTTTGTTCCTTTCTCTAGGAATCTTTGTCTGCAGCATTTTAAGCATGTTGCCACACACCAACCAGATGCTGAGGGCAACTATGGCCTGGTACCCACTGAATTTTGAAAACAGAAGTTACACTTCTTGTGCCCTGGGTGGAACACTTTTGGGTTCAGGAATGGCACTTTCAGGCGCAGTAAGTAAAATAAAGAAATAAAAACAATTTGGCATTTATTAAAAATATTTTTAACCTTTTTAAATCTAGTGATCCCAGCATTGATTACAAACCAGACTTCCTTCTCTTTCTCAAATTTCTACTACAAACAAATATTTACAAATATCTAACTACCCTCCTCCTCCTTTTCCTCCTTCTTTTTTTCTTTTCCCCCCTCCATTCTTCTTTTTCTCCATTTATCTGATTTTCTTTCCCCACTCCTTCACAGTGGGCTAGGTCCAGACAGCAATTTTTGAAGTTGCTACTTTTAAGCTAGCTAAGGGCATATCTTGGAGGCATAGTGAAGTAATGGATAGTGGCTCGGATTGAGAAATCTAAGAACTGAGTTCAAATTCCAGTCAAATCCATTACATTCACTTACCCTTGGGAAAGGTATGAATCCTCTACTTCTCCCTTCAGCTATGGGTAAATAGCAGGACAGACCAGGTTCTATAGCCTTGGATGGCAACTGGTCTACCGCAGAAAGAAATGGCTACCTACTGCAGGAAAAAATCTGCGTTGTCTGTCTTGTATTGAAAGATACATGATTGCCTACACATGTATCACGCATGGCACATAACTGAAGGGCATATATAAATCTGGAGAACAGTTGCTTTCTTTTACATTTTGTTCATATAATAAAATTCCCAGAACAATTCTGTGGATAAGACAAGTTGGTTTAAGAATGACAATAGAAAAAAATCTTGGTTTTTTGTCGCCACATTCCATCTTTTGACTTTATCAAGGCAAAACTGAAGCAAAATGTTTTTTTAAATAGTTACATTAAAATCCAAAATTTAAAAAGAGAGACACTTTTGCATAAGCCTCTTTCTGGCTAATGTTAACTTCCTTTAGACTAAGAGTTTTTGTGTTTTTTTTTTTCTTCCATGTTGACAATAGAATAACATTCCCAGAAGTTAACATAAGCCAAAAAGGGGCTTACACAAAAGCATCTCTCTCTTTTTAAATTTTTGATTTTAATGTAACTATGTATATAAAAACATTTCATTTCAATTTTGCCTTGATAAAGTCAGAAGACAAAATGCATCAACAAAAAATAAGATATTTTTCCTATTGTCATTCTTATACTATTTTGTTCATATTACCCAGTCAAAAGTTATTGCTTTAAAAGTTAAGTGTTTTTTTTTGTTTTTTTTTTTTAAAAAACCATCACCCAAATTTTCTATGCTTTTCTCAGAACATTGAATGAACGTCTTGAAAATGTCACATTTTATGTTTTCATTTATCACTCACTTAAACTGAAATCACCCAGAAAATAACCATGCTGATTTTTACCCCAAAACAACATCTTTGAACGTCAATAGAAAATAGACCCCCTCCACGAGGCAGAACATGCTACACACACACACACACATATATATAAAAGTAGAAATTATATACAACACTTTTCTAGAGGTTTCATGCTGTTTTATCTCAGTTATTTGAACAATTGTCGTTTTTAATATTTTGCCTTTCACATGCATAAAAATGTTTGTCCCTTCTGGTTTGTTCATAAATTCAATCCTCTCCTGTTGACAGTCTCATCTAGATGCTGTAAAACCTGCTGCTTTTGCTTTAGTCATTATCTGTCTTTGTTCAAATGCAATTTTGAAAAATTTGTCACTTTCACAATAGTGTGAATTCAAATTCAAACAAGCCCTCAGCCACTTCCCTAAAAATTATTTTTGCTTAAATTCTTTCAATTTTTTGGTTTTGGGGCCCAAATGACCAAATGTGAAAATTTTGCCCCAGATCCCCCAGGTTTGGGAAAAAATTAAATATTTTATCCCTTTTCTGAATGGTCTTGCCAATACGATTTTAACAAACCTTTAACCACCCTCAAAGCATATTTATTTTGCAAAGTTATGATCAAATGTCTGTAATAACCCACTGTACCCTCCCTTTTCTCTTTTTTTTCTGTTTATCTCCACCCCCTCCTCCTATCTTTTTTCTGTCTTCCCTGTCTATATTCTCACTTTTTTTTTTTCTAATGATGATTTTTTTTTAATTTCAGCATTGTCCAAGTTTTCTTCTATGTGCCATGTCTCTTCAGTACATGAGCGATCGTGATTCTCTACAACTTCCTATCACTTGTAACTCTTAAGATTTGTCTTTTTGCTATCTCTTCTAATCCCTGCCAACCATTTTGCACAAGCTTGTTAGATAGGTTATTCGCTGGATTGCTCTGTCCCTCTTGCCTTCAACATGTCTTGTGAGTGTTAAATTTTCCAAGTACTCTTTCTTCATTATGTGCCATATAAATTTCAATTGTCTCTTTCTGATTCTATGTCTTTTTGTTTCCATTTTCTCTAAAATTTCATCATTGCTTACATGTTCAGTCCATAGTATTCTCAGCATCCTTCTGTAGAATCACATTTCTATTATCTCAAATCTCTTTTTCATCTGTAAGGAGATTGTCTAGCATTCACTGACAGATAGGAGGACCAATATTACATAACAGTTCAGCACTCTTTTCTTTTGTTTCTTATGAAATTTTCCTGGTTCTTAATACTTTGCTTAATTTTTAGAAGGCATCTTTTGCTATTCCAGTGTTCCTTCAGATTTCAGTGTCGCATTTTCCATCATCTGTTAAAACACTTCTCAGATATTTAAATTTTTGTATTTGCTTGATTTTGGTGACTCCAATTTGTAGTTTGCATTTCAGGTTGCTTCATTTACATATCATACCACACAAACAGCTAGTCAGATACTGTGAAACACTGCACAGACTGGGAAAAGTTGTTCATCAAATAAGGCTAGTACATTTATGTAATGGTGCCAACCTATCACATGGCAATACCAATCCACACATTACCAATCTAACAAGAGTGACTCTAGCTATATGGTTGGGATCTTTTATTACATCCACCGCATAGTCCTGACTTGGTTCCTTCAGATTATTATCTGTTTGGACATATCAAACAACATCTATCGAACAAGTGGTTCTACTATGGATGTTGTTGTAGATGTGCAAGGTTGGCTCCAATTACTTAACACCAATTTTATTCCAGTAGAATATTCACGTGTGTGTGCACTGACAAAACAATCAAACTTAATGATGACTACATGGGAAAATAACATAGTATCACTGGTAACATTAGCATGATATTTTATTTGTATAGTAATAAACATGTTGGATTAGAAAATGTTTGTATCTTACTTTTATAAAGGTTAATTTAAACTTAATGTTTATATTAGAAGTTTCAAAGTTGAACAACAACTTCTTTTTATTTTATCAATGCAAATTGTAAGCCATTGTTATTAGCTCAACTTCAGTAAACCTGACCCACATACTCCTGAAGTCAGTTTAAATTGATGCTTTCTTTTTTCCATATATTGCTACCAGTTCATTTTTTTTTCTTAATTACAGATGAAAATTTTCCAAGATTTCAGTGAAATTTTCACTTTTTAAAATTATAATTATTTAGCTACATGGAAAAAAAAGTGTCGCTTTAAACTAATGCCAGGAGGATATATAACACTTGGTAAAATAGGTGGTAAAGCGTTGGTGAGTTTGTTAGTTAAGATAATTAAAGAAGTTTATGCAGTTAGGGAGGGTGTAATAAATAACTAGGGACTAAAATTTTGACTTGGCATATGTATTTGTTTATTAGGACATTTAACTCTACCCTGAATAGTCTGGTAGAGTCCTAGAGAGTTCTTTGTAGAAATTATTGATTTGGTTATATAGTTCAATGTCTTCTGATGATGATGATGATGACTATTTATCTCTTGTCTGGTGGTTTTATGGTGATGTTGTTATCTTGAATAGATTTTATCACCTTACATTCATGTTTCATAAAATTGTTTATGTTATTTATATGCAGATTGTCTTCCATATGTTATTTATATGCAAGTTGTCTTCCATATTGAACACAATCTGTCTGGACTGAATTTGCTTCAGACACAGAGAGCATGAAAGACTCTGGTCTTGTTGCAAAAAAGACAGAAATTGAAATCTATGGAAGTAGTTTCCTTTCTTTAATTTTCAATATTAAAATTTTGTTTTCTTCCAACTTTCCACTTTCTGTTAAAAAGATTGCCTTCCAGCCCAAACCATTTTCTTGTTTATTAATATGATAGGCTTCAAATTCTTTAGTGAATGACACAAGTGCTGTTCCAGACAGTTTTTCTCATCAGAATCCATCTTGCATATTTATAAAGCTACCATTCAACCATGCATTGAATATTGCTGCCATATCTGGTCTGGTGCTCCGGCCATAAATCTTAAAATTCTCGACAAAATCTAAAGAATGGTCTGTATTGTAATCAGTTCTGACCTGGCATCTTGACTTCAGTTACTTTTCCATCACTCTGATGTGGTTTCCCTTCTGTTTTTTTTGTATAAATATTTTCATGGCAATCGTTCTAATGAGCTCTCCTCCTTGGTACTTCAACAATGTGAATTTAAGTGCAGTACTAGATTGGCAAGTAGGTCTCATCATGTGTTCTATTCTAATAGTTTCTTTTCTCACACTTCTCCCTTCTGTAATTCTCTTCCAGTTTCTTGTTTCCCTGTCACCTACAAACTTCAAAAATTTAAATGCAACATCAATTGCCATCTTCTGTCTTCCTGAATCCTGTTCTTTTATTCTTTCTCCTCTTTAAAGTCTTCTCACTCAATTCCACTTTCAGTAACCCCCTTGCATCTTAGTGGCATTATCACCTTGCTTAGGATGAAAAGATTAAAATAAAAATTTAGTTAAAAATAATGAATTAGAGCTCATTTAAAGAATTAGTTGTATGGGGAGAGAGCTATTGTGATGTAATTTGAAATGGATGATTTTTTTTTTTTTTTTTGCATTACAAGTGCCATTAAGGTCCTAGGGACATCACATGTACTGCAACTATAGCAGCAGTGTTGTGTCTAGGACAAGATAACCAACCAGAGGAGAGAAGGGCCCTATCAGGCTTTCAGAGTTTTCTTTCTAGGCTGGTTGCCACATCAAGGCAAAAGAGCCCAGTCACTCTTGTTATTTAACTCATAATTTTGAAGAAATAGATTTATAAATCTTTCTCAAGTGTACTTATGCAAAACTGAACATAACAAACTTGGGTGAAATTCGAACTCAACTCACCAATTTCTCTTTCTGAGTTACTAATTCTTACAGTACCCCAGCATCTATGATGTACTAAATTTTATTTACTTGTTTGGAATTGCTTTAACAAAAAAAAAAATCATTTTCATGCTGACAAACCTGCCTGCTTTCAGCTCCATCTTTAAAAACTGTGTATTAAATACATACGACAATATAATTCCTGAGAAAAACATTTCATATCAAAACCAAAAAATGACTTGATCATTTGTAATTTCCAGTGTCCAACCACTTTGTTTGTTCAGCTTGGTTCAGGTGTTCCCAATGCAGGTGAGTAACTGTCTTTCTTTGCTTTTCTTCTTTTGGGTATTTCATCTATTTTGCTTCTTCCTACAATGTGTGTCCTCTCAAAGATATACAAGATCTTTGAAAGTGTTCAATCATTTAACATTAACAAAATAATAGCCAACCTAGGAAAATACCACCTTAGTCCTCTTCAAAGCACTGAAGGGCTTCATGCACCCACCCCAGCATCCCTTGCTCTTTTTAAAATGCTCTGCAAAATTCTTTTTTGGGTTTGCCATCAGCTACTTCACCACCTTCTCCTTAATCATAACCATTATCTAAAATCTACCTTTCATAGATGATTTTAGCTTTGGGAAAAGTCTGAAGTCTGAGAGAATCAAATAATGCCCTTGGTAAAGGTATAAATTCCTTCCTCTTTGACATCTATTGATTTTCATGGTGATATTTCATATTTTCAAGATTTCTATTTTGCTTAAATGAAAGAAAGTGAATCAGCATTCTTCTGTTGTTTTTTTTTTTTTTTTTTTTTTTTTGTTCTCCAAATAAATGTTAATCAAATGATAAGTACAATATTCCTTAACACTTTAGCATTCAACCCACCTTATAAATATCAGTTCTCTATGTTCAACCTACCATATATACTCTGCTGTGTATTCTGGAAAAAAAAGAAAAAATAGTTTTTAGTAGGTTTCAAAGGCCTTAAACTAATATTAGATTAATCTGCATAATAACTTCAGTCAATTCATTTTCTTAAATTCCAAATATCACAAAATATAACCATTAAAAGTGGCTAAAAATCTAGTTAAAGATTTTACCCAGTTTAAATTTGACAAATATTGGTTCTGGAATTTTTGAGTTATTGAAGTTTTTGGGATTTACATAATAACTTCAGATGGGCTGTAGATGGTGCATTGGTATGAGTGCAAATACATTGAAAGATTTATTAGAATATCTATTAGCCCCTAGCATGCATTTACTGTATCCAAATCAAAATCAATATCATCCGTCAGGTTGCAGTGTTTTTTGTTTTTGTTTTCTGTTAATGTAATTTTTAGTTTGTGTCACTGCACGTTGCAAATGAAGCTGAAGCAAGCAGATATAGGCTCATAGATGTCCCAACAAGAAACATGCTTTTGTTAAATAGGTAATTCAAAACTTGCCTTGCCAGGCTGGTATCTGCTGCTGAACTGGTAGACACACTTTGGCTCAGTGGATTTCCCTGATGAAAAGAAATGAGGTGCAGGTTCGATTCCTGTTGGAGAGACTTTTTTTTTTTTTGTTAGTAGGATTTCTCAATTTAGGCCAATTGTTATTAATTTCACTGTTTAATAAAATAAAAGAAAAACAGGGCTAGCAACTCAAACACATGTACCCACTGAAAATAATGTTTATAATAACAGAGGTTTGTATAAACTATATTCATTCTGAAAAATCCAGGGAAATTTTTCAACATTTCTGTTCGAAAAAGTAGGGTATTTGATGATCCAGAAAAGGTTATGTGTGATGAATCTGGGTACATATGTCCATTTCCCCTACTGTATTCTGGCAGAAATCAAATTTTCTGGTCCCCCCGCTACCCACATGTAGTGGCGAGAGTAAATGACTATCTCTGTACCATGATAGTTGTTACATTTTGATATTAAATAATAATAGTGGGTTACTTTATGAGTACACCCATCTACTCAAGTGGTTAACTAATCTTTGTAGCAGATGTCTGCTCAGGCACATTTGTGTTTCTTCAACAACCACAGAACCAGTCTGTGGTTTAAACTGCAACTATTCTGACCTTAGTTACCAGTTCTGGGAGAAAGTGCATAATCTGGTATGATCAACAGTTAAAAAAAGCCAATCCTCTCAAACACTCGGTCACAGTGACTTGTAAATTTGTGCTTCAACAACTATTTATGACTTCCAAACATTTTCGTCTCCCCAATTTCCCTCACAGGGCTTAGGTCAACCATAATATTTCCAACAGTGCCACATGTTGTGATCACCACCCCAGGCTGATAACATCAAAAAATCACCTCTCTAATAAATTGGCCAATGTGAGATGCAAAACCCAGTTCTCATGAATGGTACTTCAATGTTCTAACCTCTTAGCCATACCCTAAATGTAACAAGTATTTATGGACAGAGGTAGTACATTGCTATATTCTTATTGTTTTGCTCACTCTCAATTGATTGAAAATGAACTTTTTATATTGTTAGAATATAGTACACTAGCAGGAGAGCCCGGCATTGCCTGGGGATGTAACAGTAAGAGATAGATCAAGTATCGACCATCATAAAGACTGAAAAATAAAATTGACAAAGATTATTGTTTAAGGTTGACGGACACGCATGTCTTAATTAGTTTTTTTTTTTTTTTTTTTTTTTTTTTTAATTGGTCAAACCCAAACTCAAACAAAAACATTGTTTTCAATCATTATGAGTCTACCAACTGAATATAATTTTATTATAAACAATTGTCTTGTAAATGGAATTTTTAAAGTATTCTGAATGTAAAAAATAAAGAAAAAAGTGTGCAAGACAATAAGAAACACAAAGTGAAGTTTTGTTGAAATCGGTTGAAAAATGTAGGAAATCCGATCCAATATATACACACACACACAAACAACCTGGGTTTTATAATAAGTATAACTCGATATGAGTTGTCCCCCTTTCATTAATGCCTCTTAATTGTGTTTTCAAAATGATTTTGTGCAAAAACAATTGTTTTTCCAATTTTTGGCACTGTCAGAACCACTGCAAGGTAATTTTACGCAGTCCTGTGAAGTTTTGTTGAAATCGGTTGAAAAATGTAGGAAATCCGATCCAATATATAAACGAACACACACACACAACCTTGGTTTTATAATAAGTATGATTTAATCTATATAATAAATTCCAATGTCAGTGTGTCACCCTTTTTCAATTAAAGGGACACAACTCTCAATAGCTCATCTTCCTGTACTTTTAAAAAGTAAACTTAAATATTAATGCAATACTTAAATGCAGCAATCAATTTTGAGTTCTTCTATAGTTTATTATTGCCTATTGAATCTACTCCTCCCCATCTATTATGATGAAGGCCCAATCAAGAGCCCTATACAGTAGCTAGCTTAAATGCCACCTGATAGTGCGGCTTTTAGACTAGTAATAAATAATTTCTTGTTTCTGTCCCAAAATAAAATAATCATTTTTTTATCTTGAATTTGGATTGTAATCTTGTTATTTCTTTCACAGTCTGGGTGCTTGCTGGAGGATATTGTGCTACAGTCACCTTTGACATTCTCAGACCAGTCATCAGTAACTGCTTATTCCGGAGAAAATGTCTTGTACCTTTTTAGTAAGATTCTTTTGAATTTTCCCCTGTTATCACAATGTAGCATTTGGAATGATTCTGTAAGAAAATATTCTCATATCTTTGTGTGTGTCAGGCTTACTACAGGTGAGTGCTGCAAAGTTCTTTCCAAACCTGCCTAAATAACATTTTGTTTTTTAATGAATCCCTCTTAAGTTAGACAAAGAACTTTGCAGTGCAAACTCATAGAAACAATTTGATTGGTATTTTTAAAATTTTGTCATGAAAAGAGTTTTATGGATAGATCTAAAATAATCTTGGTTGGTTGGTTGGTTGGTTGGTCCCATAACCTGGAAGTTGTTGATGTCATGCAAGATTTTTGCTGTTCATAACATTTTATAATTTACATAAAATATCTCACAGCTACCAAATAATATATTGCAAATTATTTCTAATAAAAACAGATATAAATTGAAATTCACATGACAGAATTTTGAACATGCTAGAAAGGATTAAAAAGCTTAAAATAATGAAAATAAAAATATTTGGTCTTTCCTCTTAATAATAACATAAACATTTTGATGATAAAATTTTGTTTTTATCAAGTTTGGGGCGTTTTTTTCATCATATAAACACGATACAAAAAACACGATACCTAAAGTTCAAAATGAATTTTTGAAAATGAAAAATCTTTCTTGAAGCTTTTATTTTAATTTTAATTTCAAGTTAAAAGATAAAATTTATTATGTCCAATAAGTTGTACTTCAAAAACTAATTTAAATTGACTGGAAGGAGTTTTTTGGGTTTTTTTTCTGAAATAGCTGATTAGTACCTTTTATAGCAATGTAAGTCTCTAGAAAAATCTTCCAAAAATAAAACATACTTTTCTGGAACTTTATTTGAGGAATATTAGCTGATTTAAAGTATAATTAACCTGATTTGAAACAAATATTATTTACTTCAAGTTTAAAATATCACAGAAATGCATTTTTTTGACCCAATAGTAGTTGTTTAGGCATTGACAGCCTGATGACAGATATAATGTTGTTCTATGGAGACTTTATCTGTAACTATATTTGAAGAAAATGATATGAGTGCTTTTTTTTAAGCACTTTGTAATCTTTTTTAAGCACTTTGTAATCTTAAAAATTTAGGAAAATATCCCTCATAATCTAATGCTTTATTGAATTTTAGAAATGTTGGATTTAAATTTGCTATAGTTATTCTTCTTATTTTCTGATAATATTGTGTATGGTTGACTGTACTTAGAAAAATTGGTACATTTATACACATACAAAAAAATTCAAAATCCTTGTAAAAATTTTGATGTTTGATGTTTTGTATAAAGCTTTTACGTTTATGATTAGTAAATATAGTTTTAACTTAATAATAATATCATCTAAAAGGCTGATATTAATACAGAATTTTAAAAGATTTCAAACATAATAAATTTTTATAATTAAAATTTTAAAAAAATGAAAACAATTCTTTTAAAAATTCCTTATTCATTGAAAACTTTTTCTTAAGACAATAGTGTCCTTAATATATCTTATTTATAAAAGCAATTAAAAGCTTTTCTAATTAAATAGTGTTATAGTTTTATTGCATTTTTTATTTTACAATTCCGAGCAGATGTTTCTGTTTGGCAAAAGCAAATTGATGATTTAAATTCTCTAAGGAGTCCTGCTTTTAACTGATATAAATTTGAAGAGGCTGAAAATTTAATTTTTGGAAATTTCATATCCTTAAATGGGGATAACGGAGTTAAAAAAAAAAAAAAAAAAAATTTCAAAAGTAATTCATTTGTGAATAAGTCATAAAAATTTATAACAATTTTTATTTGATTTTTTGCAAGAATTTCCAAAACAATGTTTTTTAATGACAAAAAAAAAAAAAATGCTAAAATTACCAATACTAGTCTTTGGCTCACCTGTTGGCACAAAAAAAAAAAAAACAAGATTTTTAACCAAAATTTTGAACATGCTAGAAAGGATTAAAAAGCTTAAAATAATGAAAAAAAAATACTTTGGTCTTTCCTCTTAATAATAACATAAACATTTTGATGATAAAATTTTGTTTTTATCAAGTTTGGGGCATTTTTTTCATCATATAAAGCAGTCAACAATTTTCATTGGAGTTTTTTTTTTTTTTTTTTTTTCCCCATAAGGTGGGGGGGGGCAACCCTTAAAACACATGACTTTTTATTAATAGTTTTATCAGTTTGTACATCAATATTTCAGAAATTCTGCATCGATATACATATATAAAAACAAATCAAAATTCTTTTAAAATAGTCGGGATATTCAGATTGTAATAATCTTTAAAATGTATGATTAGTAAATATAGTTTTACTTAATAACAATATTCCATAAAAATTATCTCATTGAAATTGAACTTTAAAAGATGCAAAAAACTTTGTAAATTATTCAATTTTAAATTGTAAAAAAATTGTAAAAAATGAAAACAAATCTTGTAAAAATTCATTTTTCTTCGAAAATTTTTTTTTTCTTCAGACAATATTGTCTTTAATATATATTATTCATAAAAGCAATTAAAAGCTTCTCTAATTAAAGTCTTAGTTTTATTGCATTTTTTATTTTCCAATTCAGAGCAGGTTTTCAGTAAGACCAGGACCGATTTTGCAAAATAAAATCAGTGATTTAAGTTCTTAATAAAATTTTGCTTTTAACTAATATAGTCACTGAAAATTATTTTGATGAATTTCTGAAGCTTTCATAAAGTTAAGTAAAGGGTAGAAACACGTAAAGAAAAAAAAGATTATTTTTACCAAGATTTTTCTAATAAAAAAAAATAGTTAAAAATAATTCAATTCATTTGTGCATAACTCCTGAAAATTTCATTAAAATCTGATAATTATTTAATTAATGTGTCTGTCATTGCAAAAAACGGGTGAAAATTTGCTATGCTAAAAGTTAGTACAACTGTTGACGCAAGAAAAACAAATGAAAAAATCTCAAATGTTCTAAAAAGGAGCAAAAAATTAATTAAAAAAATACTTTGCTCCTTCCTCTTAATAATAACATAATGATTTTGATGATAAAACTATGTTTTCATTACATTTGGAGAATGTTTTCATCATGGTATGCAGATTTTTGAGCGTTTTCTGGAGGTACCTAATTTTAACTCTTAGATGGCGGGGAAAGGTTGTATAAACTTGTTTGCCGAATACATAAAAAAGGTAGTTTTTATGCATAATTTCACTTTAATTCTTTAGATTATGAAAAATAAAGAAAAAATATAAATAAAACAAGTTAGGTTCCTAAATGTAATATTTATTAACAGTATGATAATCCTTGAAGAGTTATGTATTCACTGCACCAAACTATCATCATTTTTTTTGCCTTTTTTTCTCTTCAAGGAATATGAATGCAGACATAGTATTGTCTTTGACTTGTTCTTCCAACTTTATTTACAGGCAGATATTCCAGGAAATGATGTAACCTCATGAATCCAAAACTTGCTCATAAATCATTTAAACGTGAATAATGAATGATGTTCCTATCATTGGGAAAAAGAGGTTTAAAACATCAATTGATGATATTAACTGATCTCCAAGGAAACATCAATTGATGATACCAGCCATTTAATGATTAACAGATTAGTGACAGTTATTGAATTATCAAAAATATGGTTCAACATGACAGCGATCAATACACATTTTGAAGCATTTGGATAGTATCTCACACTATTCGATTAGGCTTGGGCAGTATTTCACCCTACCTGATTAGCTTTAGGCAGTATCTCACCCTATACGATTAGCCTTGGGCAGTATCTCACAAAGATAAATTTTATTTTATACCTATTTTTTCCAGCTTACATCGATGGATGATGACACCCTATTTTAATGTTTCCCTTCCAATTGCTGTTATGCTGGCCACTGCAACGTTTTCCTTGGAACTCTGGAAACCTAAAGAATCTCATCCAGTGAGTGAAATAATTTAATTTCTATTCTGCATGCAAATAGGGTCCACCATCTAAAGCGTGTTTATCTGCTGTAATCAAACACAAATAGTCTACATATTTCTGCAAATGTAATTCTTATGTAAATGTCAAGCTCTCTAATTTTAGTTTTAAAAGAAAAATATATCCATATAAATTATATAATATTAGGCAAATGAAAGACAAAATGGGGAAAAACACATTTGTCCTTCATAGAGGATAGATCAAATTACACAGAATCTTTTCTACTTTGTCATTCATTTGCCTAACATTGGCCTTATATATAAAAATTAATATATCATATTCTTCAATAATATATTTAAATAACATAATCATATTTTTTAATCATTTCACTCCACACAAGGGGTTACTGAGTGTGAAAGAATATAAAAAAAAAAAAATAAAGAACATTAAGGAGAGAGCACAATAACAATAAAAGAACATGAATTAAGAAAACAGAAGATTATGATTAACATTGCATTTAAACTTTTGAAGATCAAAGTTGACTGGGAGGCAAGAATCCAGAAGAGAGTTCCACAAGTGAGAAGTGCAAGAGAAGAACATAGAATTAGGGTTACATCTCGACATTTCAACTGTAAAATGGTGAAACCTAGCTGCCAATCTAGTACTGCACTTAAATTCATAAAGTCTAAGTACCGTAGTGGAAAGTTCATCAGAACAATTGCTGTGAAAATATTTATAGAAAAGACACAGGGAAACTACATTACAGCAATGGTAAAGTGACTGGAGCTGAAATTCCAGATCAGGACAGATAACATTGAAGATTCTTTGGATTTTATCAAAGATCTCAAAATATATAACAGAAGCACCAGACCATAGGTGACACTAATATCCAAAATATAGACAAATGGCAGGCTTATAAATATGTAATATAGATTTGGGCGAGAAAAATTGTTTTGCACAACACAGTGAACCAACTTTCCTAGCAGTAGACCTAGCAACTGATTCAGTATAAACTTTCCACTTCCTGCCAGCAAAAAACATTAGCCCAAGAAGAGACAATGAGTACTCGCATGGAGGTTAGCGTCAGCTAAGCTGATGTAAAGCAAAAAAAGTTCTCTAGGACAATTAGACGAGAGCAGTTAAAATTAACAAGCTATTTCTAACCCCAGTTAACAAGATAGGTCATTTTTTAGTTCAGCTGCCAATTTGGCCGTATCAAACCAAGTAGACTTACCATTAAGACAGGAGTAGATAGTTGTGTCATTAGCATAGATATGAAGCTGACATTGGGAAGGTGGTTAATGAAAATTAGGAATAGCAAAGGTTCAAGGATAGCCCTGGGGACATGCCTGTTAATGCAAAAGTATCTAGAAGCATAGCCGTCCAAGACAACTTTTATTTTGTGATTTGATAAGAAAGATTGAATCAGATCAAAAATTCATCCAGAAATACAATAACCTTTCAACTTGTGAAGAAGACCATGTCAAACCCTGTAAAATGCCTTCAAGATATCCAAAGCAACATCCAGAGCTTCACCATTCTTATCTAAAACTTGATAGATTCTTTATGCAATAAGTGTTAACACATCAGCAATTGACGAGAGAAGCAAAAGCCATATTGCTTGTCTGAAAGAAGAATCTATGAAGTAAGATGCTTAACCAATTCAGAGTTGATTAGAGGCTGTAGTACTTTGCCAAAAAGAGGTAAAAGTCTAATAGGCCGAGAGTTTCCAACAAGCAGGAAAGCAAGAAGTAGCAAGACATTTATTGTAGTTTAGAGAGATCAGGTGCCAGTTTAAGAGCACATTTTTTTTAAGAACTATTGCAGGGATACTATCAAGTCCACATACTTTGTGAGGATCCAGTTTAGAGATGACAGCAGAAACCATGGACAGAGTTGTATGTATATCATACAGAAGAGATTCAGTTCTAAGCATAAAATCAGGCAAAGATACTCCAGATGAGATGAGAGTAGAATTGGAAGAGAATTTACAAGCAAAACAGTTTGCTTTATCAGCAGATGTCAACACCTCAAATTGAGTGAAGAGGGGAAGAATAGAAGACTTACTCTTATTTAATACACTATTACAGAGCTACCAAAAGTCACGTGAACCAAACTTGTTAGAGGTTGTCAACAAGATATATATATATATATATATATATATATATATATATATATATATATTGAATTGGGATCAAATATGTATCAGAATCTAAGAGAATGATAGGATAAAAAGCAAATAGGAAATGTTTATAAATCTAACATGTTTCACTTTTATTAAAGCTTCATATGAGAAAGAAAGAAATTTTGGTATTTTTATTTTTGCATTGTTTGATTTTCAGTTGTTAAGCAGTGTTAATATAAGTTATGGTGTTTTGAACTCAAAGAGAGATTATGTATCCTTTCAATTCTCCCAAAAAGTAATGGATACCAAGCTTAACTGAAGAAAGAAATGTAAACATTGATTTATGTATGTAAGTGTATCATAAATCTAGTTTATCTATGTGATAAAGTGATAAAATCTGTCGGTTTAATAAATGAATAAACAAAAAAATATCTATTACTTCTTATATACAAAATTTATTACATGTGTAGCAGCAATGTGTTGAAGTGCATATAACAAACCATTTAATGCCATTTTGCATTTCTACTAATTTCTGGTCAGCTCCCTTATATTGGGGAGCTTGTTTTAACAAGGATCATTATAAAATAGACATAATCTTACTTATTATAAAACGCAGATTGTGTGTGTGTGTCTGTACGTTTATATATTGGATTTCCTACATTTTTCAACCGATTTCAACAAAACTTCACAGGACTACGTAAAATTACCTTGCGGTTGCAGTATTTCTAACAGCGCCAAAAATTGGAAAAACACAATTGTTTTTGCATGAAATCAATTTGAAAACTCGATAAAACACGATTCTGTCACCAGAATGAAAGGGGGACAACTCATATCGAGTTATACTTATTATAAAACCCAGGTTGTTTGTGTGTGTGTTTGTTTATATATGGGATCGAATTTCCTACATTTTTTAACCGATTTCAACAAAACATCACTTTTTTTTGGCAGGTAGTGTTTCTTATTGTCTTGCACACTTTTTTTTTTATTTTTACATTCAGAATGCTTTAAAATTCCATTTACAAGACAATTGTTTATAATAAAATTCTATTCAATCGATAGACTCATAATGATTGAAAACAATGTTTTTGTTTGAGTTTGGGGCTTGACCAATTTGTAAAAAAAAAAAAACACAAAACAAAACAAAAAAAATAATTAAGACATGCGTGTCCGTCAGCCTTAAATATTAATCTATGTCAATTTTATTTTTCAGTCTTTAGGATGGTCGATACTTGATCTATCTCTTACTGTTACATCCCCAGGCAACGCCGGGCTCTACTGCTTGTATGTCTATATTATTCAATGAAATATATATAATCATGGCATTCTTTATTAAAGTCCAAGTCACAGTGCATCTCTCACCCAGAGACCAATCTGAAATCTCATTGTTTTTTGAGAGGGAAGATTTTTAGTTTCAATTTGGGTTTGCTTCTGTAGTTAGCTTAAGAAACTTGAAGAAAAAAAGTAGAGTTCAAAAAACATAATTTGGCTGGAAAAGTTAATCCTCTTTATCATGGTATATGTTTCTTCACTAACATTTTATTACAATTAATATAGAATTTAACAGATCTTCAGATCCATCACTTCCCACTTCATTAACAAGGGTATAAAAAAATGTTTTATACATTTTAATCTTTGAATTAATTATCCACATTAAAACAGTTTTAATGAAACAAAAATGACTTTGAAACTATGAACTCTGGAACAAAAATATGACCTGAAACAAAATAAACATGAAAGTAATTTCTTATTTTATTGTTTTGAAATAAAGTAACTATTGTTATGCTAACTTATATTGTCATAACTATACTTTTTTTATGATTATAGAAGTAGAAAAATATTGACTCTAAAAATGTGGTTTAGCAGCAGGGTTAGGGTTAATGTTTTGTACAGCTCATTTGCAATATCTAACAATATCAGATCAAATTTATTAAATTTAATTATAACATTAACATTACATAATGTAATTTAAGTCCATTGATTTTGTAATATTATGTTTACTCCTATTTTATGCTTTTAACTAAACTAAAATTCAACATACTTTTTTAAAAAAATAACTTTTAGAAAGAAAATCACAAATTACTCATAAAAAATTAAATTTTATCATCAATATATTTGTTTCTAACAACATCATAGATGCTATATTAATTTTGATTTATACATCAAACTCTCTCATTAAAATGATTTGAACTGGAAAAGTTTTATTTTGTCCATAATGTTTTACAGAGGAATTTCAAGAATCTTTGTATTTTATTGTCTATCCTGGGATTTAAATTTTACAGCCATTTTATAATCCCCCTGCCATCCTTGAAAAAAGTACTAGTACTCCTGTGTATTCACAGCACTCTGCTTGAACGCACTACTCTCCAGAATGACTGCATCTTTCAATGCTGGAAAAAAATTTTACTCTGAAATAAATGCTTGGATAACCAGTGACATGACTCCATAGTGTGTGTGAATGGCCAAAATAATTTGAAATGGCCACATTGTCTTTCAGGGTAACAAAAGTAAAAAATTAATGAAACATGTGAAAACTTCTATGTGTTATGTCCCTTCAGGATTTTATTGATCATGACCCTCCATAACTTCCTATCCTTTATAGCTCTTAGTAACATTTGTCTTTATACCAGTCTTTCCAATACCCCCTCTCCTTCATTCTGCCATTCATTCCCACAAGTTGGTCAGGTAGGTGGCCTGCTGCCTTTCCCCATCCCTTTAGCCTTTGGTATGTCCTGTGTGTATCAAATTTTCTAACTCTTCTTTCCTCATTATGTGTCTAAGAAATTTATGTTCTTTCTGTTTCCTTTTTCCATAAAATTTCTGCATTACTTATGCACACCATCCATCATATTCACACATGAAAACTAATGAAATAAAATAAAAATTTATAAAAAAGCAATTAACTATTTTAATGTTTATTATAATTATTTTTTTTTATTTTTTACATGAAGGTCCTTGTCCAAGAATTACAACCAACTCCAGTTGCATGGTCCCCATATATTGTTGGAATCTTAATTTCATTGCTTCACTTGTCCTTGATTGGAATTTTTTACAGATTTATCAGTAAGTCTTTTTCTTTAGACACTTTCAAGAACATTCTGTTTATAAACTTTTCCTCCAAACTGACTACTCCATTCAGGATAATTGTTTTCAAGTTCATCAGTATCGGCTGATTTTATTTAAAATGATTCACTTTAAACATTGCTAATAATAAAACATTCATTGAAAGAAGAAAGTAAATTTAATAAATAGACATCATGATTCAAATTAACATTTCACTGTTCACTTTGAAATTTGCTCATTTTGAGTAAAATAACTAAAAGTTTTCATGTATAATCTGATGAGAATTAATATAATCCAAGATTTCTCACAGGATTAACCAGTGATTTTTCCAATATGAATGAGGATATGCAGGTGGTTGTAATAGATATTGGCTCAGAATGAGAAGCATCCTGGGCATGATGATTAACTACATCCAGCAGCAAGACCTCTGATTGGGAAGTTTTGAGGAGCATGGAACCACCTCTTAATTGCTGTTGTCCACCAGGTCCACCCTGACCTGAAATGGTAGCACCTGTTAGTGTTCCATCTATGGGCAAATAGTTAACCCCCAAACTGGGGTCAAAACACTATGAAAGTATAAAAATATATTTTTATAGTAAAAATTCTAGCAATACATTATTGAAAAAAAAAAATACCAGCAATACATGTTTGAAAAAAATATATATTACCAGCAATACATTTGACTCAAAAAAAATAAATTAACTTACTATGAATGCACACATAAAAACGGCTAAATGTAATAATAATCAACAACAAATAATTAAGTAATCAATAATAAATGATGAGTAAAAGTTAAGAAACCAAGCTATAAAATAACTACAAATAACCATATTCAAATCTACAATTATTCCAACTGAATAGCCTCTAGAATAATTTGAAGCATAGCTGTCACTACCTACACACTCACATTAGTAAATGCATGTGTCTGAATAGACATCTGTTTGTTTTTTAAGTGTAAATTTACATCTACCAACCTGTGCATTCAAGAGACTCCTTATTAATGTTCTCAATTGCACAAGCCAGTAAATGTAAATTTATACTGTTTAAAAACAGGGATATCTACTCAAACATGTGTAGCCACAAAATATAATGTTTAACCCTAGAACACTAACCATGGGTATATAGTACTCAGCGCAAATTTTCCTATTTTTAATTACAATTTTCAGTACCTGATTTTTTTTACCTAAATAATGTTTTTCAGTTCCTATTAATGTTAACTTAAAGTACAAAGTTTGAAGTGCCTGCATGTAAAATATTTCAAATAAAGATTTATATTTAATATTTTTTTTTTATATTTTCAAAATTGTGTATGATATACCTATGGTTAGTAATAGTGTAACTTTAATTGATGGTTAGTGTTCTAGGGTTAAAACAACGTTTTCATTACCGCTTCTCTAATACACCCTGAAAGGTAGCCAGATGTGCCCCAAGTTAACAGAAGAGTAATTTATGAATTTTTATATTTAGAAAATCTTTATTTTAAAAAGCTAGAGACAGCAAGCACATGGCTTCCATCTCTTTGTCAAGTCTTTGTCAATTGATGTCTTAAACTGGATGCTAAATTCTTTAAGGATAATTCTTTCCCTTTTACCTTTTTGTTATCAGCCTGTAACAGAAAAATATAATTTACACATAGAGATAACAAATTTACACAATTATTACAAAACATATATCTCTAACTAAACACCAATTTTCATTTAAGTCACATAAACACTGTACTCTACTCAAAACAAATTTTAAAAGAAACACAAATGTATCAGACTGTGTTGTAGTTTTCACAGTGGAGGCTTGTCGGTCCTAAAAAGAGTCCGACATACAAAACGTTAGGAACTTGAAATAAGAGTTAACGACGCAGCAATCTAGTTGTGATGGTTGATGCTTCAATTTCCGACATCGACTGACTCACTCAACACCACTGAGCTCAACTGGCCACTGCTACTACTACTTATTATCTGTGGGAGAGCCTATTATAATAGAATAGGTGATGTTCTGGTATAACAGACTGCTAGCCATTATTGAGGCAAATCTTGTTTGCCATAAATGCTTTCGACTACGTCCGTGTGTTTCCCTTATATAGGCTATAAGAAACTGAACAGTAGCACACCAACAGAAAGCAGAGTGAGAGATTTTACACACAGATGGCTGCCTTTCCAACCATTGGGCTTTGTAAGCAGTCTCCTGTAAACACAGTAAATGAATAGAGCCTATCAATGCAATAAGCATAAATCAATAACTACCAAGCAGTCAGCTATGGTTAAACATATTGCTTTTTCACGCCCTCACTTCACACCTAGTGTACTACACATTCGACCTGCTACAGTATACCACAAGAGACATTTTTATAACTTGTATATAAAAATAAATATTTAGTCATTTATCTAAATGAACATCCAAGTTTGTTTCTTCTATTTCAACCAACATCCAACCCCAAAATCAACAGGCCTCTCTCTCTTAAAAAAAGAGCAGTTTCTTTATAAATCCCTTTAAATGAAAACTGCTAATCTTCTTTGGGAATGCTAAACCAAAATTTCATGCTTTCAAATTTTGTGATTAATTTTTCCTTATTAAAATTTAAAGTGCACCCCCAGTGTTTTTGTTATTCTACAAGTGCACCCTAAAGTAAAAAAGGTTGAGAAACACTGTTTTAAAGTATAAGAAATAATATCAGAATAAATAAAATACAATGATTCCTTAGAAATATATATATATATATATATATCCAAGTATAGGATTGGTGTAGATGGAATAAATTCCAATAACCAAAAACACTATTCTTAAAAGAGTGCTTAATACAGAGTAGAGCAAATATTTATTCAAAAATTATAACATAAACATATTATAATATCACTACAAAAATAGCCATCTTGTTTCAAGACTTCTGGCTATTTTTGTAGTGATGTTATTACATGTTTGTTATAATTTTTGAGTAAATAAAAATTATATGCAAACATCTACATGTATGCACCCACATATATATACCTAGATAAAATCTCTTAATGTATTTTCTTTCTTTTCAGCCAACAGTGATGTATTTACAATTGTCAATGATTCATTTCTCTACCTGCTGAAAAACAGACGGCTCCCATCTAACATCTTTCCTGTAAGTCCGCCTGTTCATTTCACTAAGCATTTAGTAGACTGATCACTGAACAGAATTCTTTGCCTTTTAAAGTCTTGTTCGGCATCAACATGACCATTTCAACATTTTGTGATATTTGAAAGGAACTTTATACTATTTTATATATATATATATATATATATATATATATATTTAAAAACTTTTAATTCGAGGTTGTTGAACATGAATAAATACCTAAAACTTCCAGGTCAGGAGAGTCTACTTTGAAAATCAGAATTTTAAATCCTGACTTTTACCTGGAGTTGAACATCTAACAGTTATTTGCTAGTATGTATAGCAAGCCAAATGGCTGTTAGCATAAAAGTTACATCTAGCCATTTCAACTGTAAAATTTTGGGACCTTGCCACCAATCTAGTACTGTGTGTAAATTCATAAAGTTTAGTTACCATAGAGAAAAGCTCATTAAAACAATCACTGTGAAAAAAAGGAAAGCCACAGGAAAGCTATGTTATGGTGGTGGGAAAATGACTGAAGCCGAGATACCAAGTCAGAACCAATATCATTGCAGATTCTTCTTTGTATTTTATCAAGAATCTCTAAATATATAACAGAAGCACCAGGTCAGATGTGGCAGCAATATTCAATGCATGGACAAATGGTAGACTTATAACATTGTAAGAGATTCTGGCAAGAAAAATTGTCTAACACAACACAGTGAACCAAATTTTGTAGCAACATCCTAGCAATTGATACAGTATAAGCTTTCAACATTAGTCCAAGAAGGTGCAATGAGTCATTCTCTGAAGGTTAGCATCAGCCATGCTGATGGAAGGCAAAAATGATTCTCAGACAATTAAGAGAGCAGTTTTGTTTTCTTGCCCCATTTTGTAATTTTTGAAATCAATGATTCATTGTTTAAAAAAAAAAATGCTGACAAAGTATAGTCAACTCATTTGATTGTATTCATTTTAGATATTTAAGAATTATTTTTGTGAGTACACCTGTTTAAGAAGACACTGTTAATACTTTATTATTATTTCTTATTTTAAACAATCTGAATTGTCTATCAATCATTTGAGAAACTTTATAAAGAAAATATACCAGAGTATATTGTCTTTATTACTTCTTTGTTTAAAATAATAATAAAAAAATATGTCGGGTTCTAATCAAATCTGTGTATTCACAAAAATAAGAAATAATGTTGAATTAAAAAATTTAAAAATTATTTTGTTTACATTTCATATATCTAAGTTGTACATTGTAGCGTAATAGATATTGGCTCGGAATGAGAGAGCCGAGTCCAAATTCTAGTCGAGTTTGTTATATTTACTTACGCACAAATACCCTTGGGAAAGGTATGAATCCATCTCTTCTCCTCTCAGCTATGGGTTAAATAGCAGGACAGACTGGTTTCTTTTGTCTTGGTCGGCAAACAGTCTACAACAGGAAGAAATGGCAACCTAGCGTGGGGAAAATCTGCTTTGTCAGTCATGTATCAAAAGATACATGATCACCCAAGTGTATATCACGTATGGCACTTAACTGATTGAAGTATATTTAGAAATGCAGCTGGACCAACTACTTCTGCTCAGTCATATAAAGCAAGTTTGATTATTTTCACTTGACCTGTCATAGCCCCCGGTTTGTAGGGTGGGAATAAACATTAAAAAGTGTTTAGTAACCTGCCTGAAATCAGTTGAGGGCTGGAGATAAAGGTCAGGAAAAAACAATGTTGACCTGTGGATTTTTATTCTCCCACTTGACTCTTAAGAATTTATTTACCTATCAATTTTCCCATGTTATGAGGGGGGTGGTAGCATAATTAACTTTAATTCTTTTGTCCTAGAGAGAATGTTCATGTGCCAATCTCACGGCTTCTTTGTAATGAATGAATGATGATGATGATGATGATGATCCTCAGCATGTGGTGATTTTATATTAGGTTGAGTCCTGAATTATTTGCGTTTTTGTTGATCAGGCTTAGGCTTAGGCCTACTACTGGCCACATGGACGGGTGGTTGGCATCTAAACAAGCCTTCCCCCACCTCTACACACACTAGCTTTTCTGCTGGTGGGGTGAGTGGCATGTCACCCCACAGAATGGAAAACAAGGTCTGTCAAAGGGTGGATTTGCTTTTTATAGGAGCCACCACATATGTTGACTCCTATAAAAAGCTATTGTGTAAAACTGATACATTAGTGTCTTCCAAATTTATTCTTAATTGCCATGTATGATTAGTAGTTCAGATGATATATTCATTACAATTGATTCTGAAAAACAGTAATTACTTATGACTCAACCTAACAGAAACTGTCTTCTAACTGTGAATGAAAATTTCAATGACTGGTGAAATTAATGGGGAGTAGTCAAATTTGAAACTTTGATTATAAAGCCCTACTTTTACAAAAATCAGTTTGGAAGAAATGATGCTTTTATACATTGTAATGAAACTTTACTTTCAGATTTTCTTCAATTTGGGAGTCACTCTTGGAGCATATTTATCATCATTCTTCTCTTCTCAACCAGCAGTTTGGGAAATTCCTTCGTGGTACCAGTCTTTCTTTGGAGGAATGTCTGTTTTCTTTGGTTCCAAACTTGCAGCAGGTTGTTCTGTGTAAGTAACTCACATTTTATTTCTTAAATCTTCAAATATTAACTTGTTTATCTGCAGTATCATAGCTAGAGGGAGGGGGGGTCCACATTTTTAGGACTATTGTATAAGCTGATATTGAAATAAAAGTGGTTTTAATGTCAGGACACTACTCACAGTTGAAGGACCTTTTCAATTTAGAGTAATTTAAACTATGGCATATGTATTCAAGCAATTGTTATCTTGGTCAAACAATAAACATTATTCAGATGTATTCAGGTCTGTTTTATCATTGTTAACAATGTGAAACCTGTGAACAGACACAGGATGCATTCTTTTAATGCCACAACATTGCTGTGTGATTATATAAATTTCAGTTATTTTCCTTGACAGAAGTTTGATGGTATGTGTTGCTCTATTTTTTGCATTTTGTACCTGTTAGTTGTGTGTGTGTGCATAAAAATGTGTGTGGTATGAGGGAGTCATTGTGCAAAATGTTGTATTTGGGGAGGTGGGGGTACACACTCTAGCTATGCCAGTGTGTGTAATATAATTCTCATAGATGTTAGCAGAATCAAACCTATTCTAAGATGAAAGTTAGAAATTTGCAGCTATTATAACTTAAATTTTCATAATGTTATGATGGTTCTTGGCGGGGAGATCATAAACTTCCAGAAAATGTATAGTTCATGTTCTTTGTGAGCTTGATACTCCACAAACATGGATAAATTGAATAGTTTGAATTTCAATTTATGTTGACTTTGGCCATAAATAAACGAGACTTATTGTTGTGGTCAAAGCAAAATGAATTAAATTTATTTGATTAATGGTAACGTTAGCTATTTGCTTATTAGGAAACTTTTTGCACTCATTGACTGTCATTTTAAGTTTATAAAATCTTTCTCTTAAAACAATACATTTTTCAAGTCCAGTAACTGTTATTGCTCTTTCTAGTAGTGATAGGTGTTTCTAACATTTTCTTTGAAGTAGTGTCAAACATCAACATCTTGATGTCATTATTTTCTCATTGAGTTATGTTTTATTAATTTTAGTAGTTGCTACTGTTGAAAATCTTCAAGTGATGTGGTTTTTGTCATTTGGTATAATTCTTTGTGATTCTGTAGTGCCAGTCCAGATGTCTTCATTAAGACTTACAGGCTTCATTTGCTTGAAGCCACATTTAACCATCAATCGGTTGTACTTGCTTACAACAAAGTATTTTATATTACAAATATTTTCTTAAAATTTAACTGGCCATATCATATTGAAACACCGGTTCTTGTGCAATCACCAAAGTTAAGCAACGTCAAGTCTGGTCAGTACCTAGATGGAATACCTTGTGTTGTAATCTTGGATGTGCAGGTGGTGTAATGAATAATGGTTCAGAATTGGAGAACATATTAACTGATATATTCACTTAGACATAAATACCCTTGGGAAAGATATTAAATGTACTTCTTGGTTAATTAGTAGGACTTGTATTAGTAAAATTATCACCTGCAAAGAGTTGATAAGCTATAAAAAAAAAAAAAAAATAACCACACACACACAATCTTAGAATTTAACTGATGTTCTCATTTATCAGAGAATTCATCTCTTAAGCCTTTTGCACAATTTTTTATATTGAGTTCATGTGATCTTCAGTAAGCACTACTCTAGATTGGTGGTCCCAGATTTTTCTTACATAGTGCACTTTGTATATAAATTTCTTGTAGCTGATTCTTAACACATGAACTTCATTACAAATTTCAATTCATATTAAAAACATTTTGAAATATAATCTTGCACTTTCTGTGGAGGGAAAGTTATTAAAATTTAAACTGAAAATGCTGGTTAATTCTGTAACTAATTTTTGTTTTGTTTTCTTTTCTTTTCAGTGGTCATGGTGTGTCTGGGATGATGGCCCTATCAAAACTGTCTTTGTTTGTGATTCCATTTTTTTGGTTAGGAGGATTCTTCATGGCTTCTTTCCTCACAGCCACAATCTAAAATCTCATTAGTTCTTTGGACACTAATTCAAATTTACTTACAGCACCTCACCTTCACTATAAATTCTTCAAAATATTCCAATTGGAGATAATACTCAAATATCACCCTCCAGAAGAAAGACCAAACTATTAATCTACTCCCTACACTTTCTGAAAAAAAGGCAAAGTTGAGCCTGAACTTCTCAAATCTTTTAGGCTTCAGTTTATCAGTTAAAATGAAGTGTAAGGAAGAGCTTATGGCCACATCACATTAAGACATTGGTTCCCGTATGATCACTGAAGTTAAGCAACGTCGAGTCTGGTCAATAGCTAGAAGGATGACTTCTTGGGAATACCAGATGCTGTTAGCTTGGATGTGCAGGTGGTGTAATGATAATGGCTTAGAACCGTTAATCGGAGAGCTGAGTTCCAATTCTTATTGTGTTCGTTATAATCACTTACATGCAAATACCCTCTTCTCCCCCAGTTATGGGTTAATTAGTAAGACTTGTATCACTAAATCATTATCCCCCCCCCATGCAAAAAATAATTCTTAATCTAAAAATATTTTCTGGCTTTAAATAACCTGCAAATGGTTGATAAGCCATTCAAAACAATTTAAAAAATAAAAAATAAAATAAAATCAGCAAACTTCATTTGCAAATTTGGCTGTTGTCAGAAGAATTAAAATAGGAAGTACATGGAACCTTACAGTACGAACACTTCTTGAATCACGTTCAACAAATGAACTGCCAGAGATTGGATTCTGTGTATTGAGTGGAGAGAATTTTTCTTTTTAACACAAGAAATAATGACTTTTTTTCTGTGAAAAATCAAATTATTCTAATTTTTACCTAACATCTTATTGAGCACAATAATATTATTAAAAAAAATGATTCCATTTTCTAAACCAAGCCTTGTTTTTTTTTGTTTTTCCTACACTTAAAATATGAACGAGGATAATCAGTTTTATATTTTAGGAAGATAAAAATCTCTTTAGCAACAAAGTTCCAGGTCAAAACTCAAATGATTTAAAGGATGCTCTCTTAACCCTGTAAAAAAGAAAAAATATCTGGTATCCTGAAATTAAATGCAAACCAGCTGAACTATTCATGGTGATATGTTATTTCAAATTGAAACTCACAGCCTTAACAACACAAATTCTATAATTGATTTTGTTCTGTCAGTTTTCTCAACTAGTTTCAAACCTATTGCTGTTGTAATATCTCACAAAATATATCTGATTTTACCTATTATAATTTAATGAATATTTATGAGGAGACTTTACACACCCACAACTCTAAGAATATACTCAATGTATAGAAACTTTTGCTGCTGATCGGTAAGTACCATATGTTGTGTTCTTACTGCACCAGCTTTTCTAGCTGCAAGTACTGAAATTTACCCAGCTTAGTGGTGACAAGATGAAAGAAGGGTAAGAAGTTACCCAGGTGGATAAATATAAACATTTAATTCTAACCTCATTTTGCAACCTAATGACTTCTATATTATAGTTCACATTACAGTAAGGAATATTTGGTTGGATTGTTGTTGCTAAAAGATATAAAAAGATATTTCTATATGCTGGAGTTGTTCAAATTAATATAAAAAAAAAAAAAAAAATGTATTTGGGGGGAAAAAAATTTATTTTTCTTTTGACTTAAATGATTTGGTGGTTTTTTTTTTTTTTTTTTTTTTTACAATGTGGGAAGCAGCAACTCGACTTAAAAAAAAAAAAAAAAAATGTAAGTTTTTGGTTGTAAAGGCCAAAATAATTGATATGACGCACGCAAAAAAAAAAAAATGCTGCGGGTGAAATTTCTCGTTTTCTATACTAATTGGACAATAACCATTCATATTCAACAACATGGATTATTATTATATTTTTTATACATATATAATATGTATCATAATAATATACAACATGTGAGACCTGTTGTTAAATATGTTGTGTAAATTGCTCAGTTAGTAGTCATGGTAGTGGTTAAAGCGAATGATTGATCTCTTGAGTGTTGGTTTGTTGGTAGCCAAGTCCCTGTCGTCGTGGCAACATTAATGCCTGGATGGGGTGAGTGATGCCATCTTCATGAAGGCCAAGACCTTTACCTGGTTTCCAGCCCATATTCTGGAGAATACGACTGCCGATGTGGGACTCTGGAATGGGTTCAGTATCATCCCCAACAAGAAAACCTGGTCAATGAAAAATAAAAATGGGTTTTATATGATGTGTGGGCTGTAGCAATAGTTAACAAGCTTGTCCATGGCAGGCACTTTTAAAAATAGATTAAGTGTCTCATGCCTTTATAAAGTAGTGATAAGTCATGTGGGGGAACCAAGTTTAAATTCCCTGTTGGAAAAGAGCTAGAAAAATAGTACCAGCCTCTTTGTCAATGAAAGAAATCCATTAAATCACAAAAACATTGTTCAACTCATCTACTGTGAGCTGAAACATCAGATTTCTGGAAATTACTTATTGCTTCAAAGAAGCTGGAACTGGGAATACCTGAGATTTCATAGTCATATTTTTAAACCCTAACTACTGACAAAATAAACCTGGTTTAACCTTTATCACTCTGCATTTGACTTCATTTGCTGTACAAAAAGTTTCTCCTGCCACTGAAGGTGACTGATCCTGAACAATAGTGTGTTTGAATTTCATAGATGTGTTGTCATATCCTGCTATGGCAACAGAAAACAACTTTGAGTCAGATTAACAGTAAAAATACTGCAATTGAGAGACCTTGAAAAAGAATGCAGTGGAAAGGGAAGTAATATTAATAATGTAGAGTTGTAAAGGTTAAAACATGACTTAAAAAGAGAAAGCGAATGAATTACAACTGAATATCGTAAAAAATTAGCAATACTTTTCTTATTTTGATAGAAATTCTAACTGTCCTTAACAGCAACATTAAAATTTGTCATAAAAAAAAAAAAAAAACAAAGGCTTTATTTATATAATGAGATTAGTTATAAAGTTCCAGGAAATTTCCAGCCATCGATTTGAAAAGAAAAAAAAAGAGGGAAATCTTTGCTAAATAAAAAGCAAGTTTCTCTTATTTTCCTCACCTTCACAAGAACTTGAAGAATTTAATTTTCTTTGTCGTTTATGGTCGCAAGATTCATGTCCGTTCAAAGAAGGACGATATCGCATTTGCAAAGCTGTCCATTTTTGTTGCTCTTGTAGGAATCGAGACATTGAGTAACCAGGAATCTATAGGGGAAGAAAAAAAAAAAAAAAGTATATGTCTTTCTCTATGACCATCATTTTTATTGATCAATATACTGTGAACACATGAACCATCACAACAGCTTTCTTATTCATTCTCCATAGAGGAATGAAGAAATAAAATAGTTAAAATGACATGGGGATTTTATAAAGGACTTCATAAAATGATAGATATCTCTAATTTCAGATGAAATTTATAAGGTGTTTACTGTTTCATATTAAGACTCTTGAAACTTAAAAAAAAAAAGTTTCTACAGAGATGTCTAAATGGACAATGTTTAAAAAAGGAAAAATACCCAGCATAATAAAAATATTTGTAATTGTAACAATTCCAAAAGGAGCATTAATAACAGACAAAGTTCAGAGAATGACAAAACGAACGAAGCTTATAGAGTAGTAATTTCATTGTTTTGGAAAATGTCTCACTTTGAGCTTTCCAAACTGATGTGGCTCAAGTAGAATTAATTGCCAGCTCTTTAATCATTAACTGAATTGAATTTCTATATACAGGGGGCCCACAGGAAAGAAAAAAAAAAAAAACAGAAAATTTGGTACAGTTTATTTAATTGTTGGAATTTTTGTTAGTTATCTGAAACAAGAGCAAAAGATGGAAATTTAGTAGCTTAAACCAAAACAAGATCTGGTGTTCAAACTGAAAGTTTTTTTTTTTTTTCCCTGTTGCATTTGTATATCTATCTCTGATATGATTCTGAGCATAAATATTACATTTCTTGTTCCAGTGTCTTTAATGAACCCACAATGTTCTTGTCTTAATCCTGGTTTAATTCTGCTGCATTCTATTCATCTAAATCCAGATGTTTTGTTACGTGGCTGATTGTGCAATGGAGTTCACATTCTTTTGCACCTGGTTTCTTAGGCAGCGCTATGAAAATGGATCTCCTTAAATCTTCCAGTATATCACCACTGTTATATATTTTATTTATTATTTCTGTAATCTTGCCATTGTGAAAATTATGTGAGACTACCAGCATCTCTATTACAGTTTCATCTGGTCCTGCTGCTTTGTTCCTGTTCAATTTGGCCAGTGTTGATTACACTTCAGATTTTAATATTTCTGGTCCTAAAATATTTCTGTATATTGCCAGTTGTCCTCTTACACACACAAAAATACCTCTTTAACCATGTAAGCCTGGTATCAACATAATTATTATCAAACGTTACATTTACAGTAATTGGATTTTTTAAACTTACTCGTAAACTAGTTATGCATAAGTAATGATGACTGGATTGGCTTCTAAATAGATTAATACTATAGATTAAATTTAATTTTTAAACAATATTAAATAGTAATCTTAACTTATTTTGGCTGAAGACCAACATCTTTTTCATCAGCAGGAAATTCAAAGTCAATGGAAAAAGTGCTGATTTATTTTTTTCAAAAGAGATTGTGGGTCTAAAATTAAAATATATTAATTATTAATTCATCTCAGCCTGAAAAGGTCATCTAATCCTAAAGTGGCAGAGAATTACTCCTTTAAATTCAATATGCAAAATCTGAATTTATTCACATACCTTTGTTTCTAGTTACTGTATTTGATTTCAAATGGTTTATATTTGCACAGCCTAAGCAAAGCAGGATTTTAACCACATTTACCAGGGAAATAAGAGAAAAAAAATCTGTTAATCCAGCTGGAGATAATTAGGAAAAATTTTTTATTAGTTTTTCTTTCATGTTTTTATTATTTTTTTTTTTTTTAACCAAATTCTTATACAATAATTAAGCAAACAGCAAGAATCTGGAAAAAAAAAAAAAAAACACAATCTGACAAGATTTGAATTTCTGTCCTTGTAAACCAGTCTGGCATAAACAATATCTTACTAAGTTGACCACAGCAAAACTTCAGAATGTGAAATTCAAATTTCATCATAGTTACAGTCTATATTCAACCACAGAGCATTACAAAAATTAGAAAATGACTACAGAAATAAGATGAAAGGAAAATTAGTTAAAATTGTACAAGAGCCAAAGCTTCTTTATAATTCAATCCAATTCAAACAAAATACAGTGTAACCCGGATATAAGAGAGATTTTCTCTGGTCCCGTCCTCCCCGATATAAGAGAGTTCGTTTTGAGTGACAGTGTGATGTCGTAAATCGGTCAAACAGAGGTCAGTTAGAGAGAGAGTGAAGTTCAATGACTTAATCTTGACTAGTCTAGAGACACGGTGTGTCCAATCTGTGTCTGTAGGAGACACCCTCTACCTTATGATTTTGCTTTGTGTCTAAGGGTAGCGCCACCTGCTTTTTTTGCCGACTTTGCTTGTCGTTGCATTTACTGGACAGCACTTTCACTTTACCCACTGTTCTGTTGAGTCAGAAGTTTGTCTGTTAATTTTGCCACTGAAAACCGTTTGCTTGCAATCATTGCGATTAGTGATGTCAGTGTCTCAACGAAACGTTTGGAGCTCATCGACGATGTCAAAATGAAGAAACTCAAACTGGCCGCTGCAGCCAAAAAGTACGGAATCGGTTATTCAACAGCAGCAAAAATTCTCAAGAAAGAAGACGATCTCAGATCTTGCATGCAAATGAACAGAAACACTAATCGCAAACGAAAGCGCCAATCCATGCACAAGGATGTTAATGAAGCGCCATACAATGGTTTACGCAAGCATGTGCTCATGGAGCTACCGTCACCGATCACGTCATCATGCAGAAAGCATCACAACTGGGTCAGAATCTTGAAGTTGATTTTGAACCGAGCAATGGCTGGCTCATGCACTGGAAGCAGGCCAATAACGTTTCGTTCAAAAAAATTTCACGGCGAATCAACGTCAGCATATCACGGTTCTGCCAACGAAGGCTGACAAACATTTTGCCACAACTTTTTCATGGATATGATCCAAAAGATGTTTGGAACTGTGATGAAACAGGAATTTTCTACAAAGCCATGCCGTCTGGATCTTTGCGATTTGTCGGTGACGAACAGTCAAATGGGACAAAAGTTCCCAAAGACAGACTCACGATGCTTCAGTTCACAAACATGGACGGCAGTGAAAAGCAAGCTGTAGTTGTTGGTAAGTCGGCAAAACCACGCTGCTTTAAAAATGTCAAAAATCTGCCGTTTTCTTACTTCGCTAATCGTAAAGCCTGGATGACTAGTCAGCTGTTTACTGACGTTATGAAAACGCTTGATTGAAAAATGATTGCTCAAAATTGAAAGATTATTCTGTTTTTGGACAATGCAACTTGTCATAACTTACTGCCGGGTACAAATCTGTCAAACATCAAATTGTCGTGCATGCCACCAAACACCACCAGTCTCATTCAACCTTTGGATCAAGGCATCATTCGTTCATTCAAAGCATATTATCATCGGGAACTTGTTCAAATGCAAATCGCAGAGATCGATGCTACACCGCCAGTGCCGCTGTCTGAGGTGGCCAAGCAGATAACTGTTTTGAAGGCCATGCACATGATGAAGCGAGCACTTTTCATGGTCAAACCGTCAACAATTCAAAATTGTTTTAAAAAGGCCGGCTTTGTCATTGAATCACAGGCTGAAGTGGAAGAAATACTCGACGAAAATGATCAAGTTTCTCCACCATCGGGCATGGAGCAAACAGATTTTGAATTTATCAGCTTCGACAACCGTCACAATGTTATGGAGAACTGACTGACACGGACATCACACGTGGTATAAAATCGGATGATCAAGATTTTGACAAAGATGATGATGCTGAAAGCGTAAGTTCTGAAGTTTCTGAAAGTGACAAACCAGTGCCAAATTCTCTGGCTGCATTGAATGCGCTTTGAAACTGACAGCCTACTTTGAAGCAAAAAGCAGTAATCCTGATGGCGCATTGAAAATGATTTACAGACTGTATGAAAGTGTTCATGTTAACAAAGAGATTTCTGTACAATCAAAAATGACTGACTTTTAAGAAAAAGTAATTTTTGATTGAATTATTTTGAAAACTGATTTGTATTTTTGTCTGTGTTTTTTATGTCTATAACTGTTAAATAAACTAGTGTTCTGTACATAAAAAGCATTATATGAAGTGTTCCCATACTTACCTAAATAAAATAGACCAAACCCGTATATAAGAGAAACCCGGATATAAGAGAAACCCGGATATAAGAGACTTCTTCTCCAGTCCCAACAACTCTCTTATATCCGGGTTACACTGTATAACAAATTATTTTTAATGCATTTCTTGAATAGATCATTTCTAATGCCTTTTGACAAGAGAAAGTTCCAGTAATAAAAAAAAAAAAAAATCCTGCAGAATTGTTGCCATTCCAAAATGTATGGTATAGTCTAAAAATTAATTGTCCCACAATTGTGGGAAAATTATGAAAATAATTTTTCTTACTTTTCCTTTTAATTTTCTTCTCCCAGATCGAATTTGTCTTCCACACTAGAAATAAAAACAAAAATTTCTATTAAGACAAATAAACTCAATTTGCTTGAGACTCAAAACTAATGACAGTTAAAAAAAAGAAATTTAAATAAAACTTAAAAAGGTGCTCATTTAAAAAGTATCAATGTATAACACCCTCTGGCAACAGCATCACATCCTTCGTCATGGTCACCAATTAATATAACGCCTTTTGCTGTCACCTATACCTGGTGGTGTAGCTATGTTTAGTGGTCCAACCCTCAGGGTCTTAGGATGACGCTTTAACAATAGACTAATTCTGCACTGATCAATGTTGACACTGGTCCAAACTCGTTGGTCATTGGCTGCTTCGATCCACACAGATTCTGCCCATGATGTGTTCTTGAACTCAGAGCAGTGGAAGATCAAATGTTGTTGTAATGGCAGTGCTGGTGCAAGCTGTGGCAGGTGCTATATTAATGAAGAAAAATATCTTCACAACAACAAAAAATAAAACGAGATTCATGGGGCTAATCTTCGTTTGGTTTATATAGCTCTTGATACAACAAAAATTAACCCTTCCCACATCAATCTCTATAGTAACACTGGGCCTTGTCTAAACTTCTGGAAGGCTGGGTTCAAAATCTTGGAATTGAAAATTCTGGTGGCAGCTGACATGGATTTCAGAGGTACTCAATGTGGTTTCTCAGCCCAAAGTCTATGAGCTCCCCAAAGTCATCTGCTTATATGAACTTCAGCCCAAAATTGGCACGGGGCTGAAGGGTTCTTGGGATTCATTGATTCTATAATTTTCACATTAATTCTAATAAGTGTTTTCTTTGTTCCCTATTTCTGCTTTCTTAATCAACTTTCCAAATTTGGAAAATTATCCACCTTCCTTTGGAGTAGTCAAAGAGATTGCTTTTCCCTTAATTCTGCCACTTCCTTCTCAGCGCACATAACCATCTTTGTGCCAAATCTAATTTTTAAAATGCGTAGGAGAAAGGATGTAGTTTATTCTCATTAATTTCAATTCTCTGTCTCCTTTTGTACAAACCAGAACACCTTGACAGGATTGATGTTCATAACATCGACCCTAAGAAAAAGGGTTCGTTCCTTGTTTTCGTTAATGAAAATAATTCACATCTGATTCTCTTTCCGTTAATAATATGTACGTGTTTTCCTAATTTCTCCAGAAAGTGATAAAATTATTTCCCAATTTGTTTTCATCAATGAAAATATGTTTGCTTACCTAAATTCTCAACAAAGCAACTGTTTTCCATTCCTGGACCGGTCAGCATCTCAGTGAAAACACAGGCCATATCACCTGCCTGTTATGACTGATTGATTTTCATAATCTTAACCTTTGCAGCAGGTTTATTCTGTTTTTATTTTTCAATTCATTTTCACTAATAAAAATATAATTTTTATTTGCTTTTCCGTTTGCCAGTGACATGTGTTTTCCTAATTTCCCGGAAAAAAAAAAAAAAAAATTGTTCCCGAAATTTGTTTTCATCCACATGCCAAACTCTTGACAAATAAGAAAAATAAACTTTAGGAGAGAAGAAAACCAGATGATCCCATTTTCACCAATGTCCTCTCTCTCTCTCTCCTTCAGCCAATATTACATTTTGGGCTTAACCCCCTGCCTTCTGCTTAGAATTAATGTTTAACCACCTCTGTGTCACAAATCTTAATACCAAAAGCTGAAACACAATGCGATCCTTAATTCCATCCCTCTCAAGATTGGGATCAGGGGTAATCAGTTTAGTCATTTGGTAGACAATGTACATCACTTACCATAAGTTTTTTCACTCTGGCATTGTAACTGAGTTGAGATGATCTTGGAAGATGTTCAAATGTGCCAGTAAGAATCTTCTGGAATTCTGGGTCTTTGTCACCCTCATCAATTTTGTCCGTCTCCCACCAAGGAATGATTTCAGGGATTCCACAAGCTGGGTCTGCCTCATGGAAGAAATCACTGTGCTCATCATCAGCTGAAAAAAAAAAAAAAAAAAAAAAGAAAAGGTAATTCCAGTTTTAAATAAATTTAGCAAAGCCATTTTTTTTTTTGTTCAAGCATGTTTGGTTGAATAATATTGACAAGTCCTGTCTATCAAATTCTTATTAAATTTTTCAAATTAGTTGTTTTATATTATCAGTAAATTTGCCAAAGTTCATATTTTTTTCTGAGTACTTTTGAAAGTTGCCATATTCATTTTCAAGGATTGTGTTTTGTGTATATTTACACAACTGTTTTTGTTTAATTCCAGCATTATTATATATATATATATATATATATATATATATATATATATACACACCTTTTCTTATGTATAAAGTAATGCACTATTTGAAAGAGCTTTTTAATACACAAAAAAATACATATAACTTAATAGATAAGTAAAACAAAAATGTTATCTGTATCTTTGTCAGAAGATTGCACTGAAGCATGAACTTGATAGTTAGCATGCAGCATTGATCCCTATGTCCAAACAGCTTCATTGTAGAGCAGACAACTGACAGGATATTTTCTCAATCACTACAATCTTGACCTTTTCAAGTCTAGAGTTAACTGTTATCTTTTCTACATAATCTCTTACACTCATACACCACAGTAAATTAAATTACCTTCTCTTGATTCATCGTTTGTGATGAGACCTCCTTCACTCTCACTACTGCTTAGGGAACTGCTTGTTTCACTGAGGAAAGAAAAAAGAGAGAAACATTTAAATTGAATATGTACATATGTTGAGGTTTCCTTTAAGCTATGAAGAAAAATTCTATTTGAGTATTTTCAGATTTAAAAAAAAAAAAAAAAAAAAATTCCTGAAAGGATACAATTAAAAAAAAGTCTTTCAGAACATTTCTGTCAGTGCTTCTCTGAAATATGTTTGATAAATTACTGATCAAAAACCTTTCTTCCATGGCCCAAGTTTCTTTTTTCATAACTATATGCAACTGATATCTCTTTCCATCTGTTAGTTTACTCCCTTTCATTACCCTCTCTGTGAACACATTTTTGCACAACTTAAAAATATTTAATACAGCTTAAAAGCTGCACTTTCAGGCAGCATTTAAGCTAGCTCCTGCAGAGGGCTCTTGATTGGACCTTTATCACAATAGGTTTGGAGGAGTCATTTTTCAGGATCTTCATTAGCTGCCTTTCGTGTTCTTTTTAAATTTGTCCAGTTTCAATGGCAATTTTAGATTTGGTAAAAGCCAGAGCACCAAATCTGGGTAACGGATGGAGGAGGTGACTTGATAGGCAATGTTTTGCCAAAAACCCTGCATCTGACACAAGGAATCTACTCAGTCATTATGAGATATCGCAGTACACAAGTTTACTCAATCTCATCTCACTCCTGACTGAGTAACCCCATGAGAGAGTGTTATTTCGCATATGCATTAAGGTCCCTTCTTATTTATTACCAAGTTATATCAACACCACACAACTGGTTCTTCAAAATGGCTGGATATAGTTCAAACAGTGGTAGAAAGGATCAAGACAACAGAAAACAAAACATATTTGTAGGCACTGTATCTGCTGAATATAAATCACAGAAATTCAGCACCGTTAACTCAGATTTAGATCAGATGAATCAACCCACCTGTCAAATAAATCACACCCGAATTCATTAAACTGTCATCTTCAGGGGGAGTTTAAATCGACTGATATGACCCACAAGGACAGATATTATGCTACACAAAAGCCACCACTGGAAACAAAATCTAAACACATTACAAGTTTTAATTGTTTACCAATGGTTTGCTGGAAGAGAAAACTTATCAGAGAAAACATCTTCTGCTCATGTTTGACTACTATATTATCAGTTCCTTGACCTAGTCTGTTTTTTTTATATCATCATATCAGTCAGTTATGTGCCATGCATGATACACACTTAAGCAATCATGTATTTTTCAATACATGACTGACAAGGCAGATTTTTTTCCTGCAGTAGGTTGCCATTTCTTTCTGCAGTAGACCAGTTGTCATCCAAGGCTATAGAACCAGTCTGTCCTACTATTTACCCATAGCTGGGGGGAAAAGAGGATTCATACCTTTCCCAAGGGCATTAACACAAAATTGAAGGATTCAGCTTGAATTCAAACTCGGCTCTCTGATTCTTCAATCCAAGATACTTTTTAATATTAGAATTCAACCAATACAAGGCTCCAGAGCCACTCAAGGTAGAGGGTTACTGTTAAAATGATTATAATGAATGAGGTGTGATATGAATGAAAGAGAAGGTCGTAGGAAGTGAAGATTATGAGGCTAGATAACAATTGACCCTTGACTTGAAATGGTTAAGATTGTAGTGTTCAGGGAAGCATCCATGCAGGATTTTATTTCCCAAAGTGGCAGTTCTAGAGGAAAAGCAGTCAGTTTGGAACACAGACAAAATGAAGGTGATTCAACTCCATGAAAGTAGTAATTATGGGTCTTAGCTGTAAAGGTCTGAACTGGTGATACTAAAGAATGGAACGCCTCCGAGCATTATTTTTTTCTTTATAGTTTATTTACTATTATTTGGTCCCCCTGGACAGAGTGCAATGCATAAATTGTTGTCTGAATTACGCAAAAATGAAAATAACACTGACATCTCATTCTAACAGATATATTTACCAAAATTACACAAAAATATATTGAGTATATTTATTCAATAAAATCGCCATTGGCTTCAACCACAGCCTCCAGACAACTATTGAATCTCCTGCAACTCTTCTGGATGGTCTCTCTGTTTAATTGGTGAATGCTGCCATAATCCTTGTCTTCAGTTCATCTATGATGTTACAAGGAGTTTTGTTGGTCCCTCACTCAATTGTGCCCCACACATAATAAATCAAGGGTGTTAAGTGGTTAGATGTAAGGAGTGATGTCATTGCAGAAATTGTCTGACAGCCATGACTGGGTTATTCTGCTTGTGTGGCATGGTGCAGAGTCCTGTTGCCAGACTCTATATGTCTTCCAGTAGCCACCCTCTTAACCCAGGGTAGCACTACCTCCTCAAGTTACTTGATGTAGGCCTCTGTGTTGAGTCTGAGGCCCTCACCAACAAACTTGGGAGTTCTTTTAAAAGATCAGAAATGTGTTTTCCAAACTGCTGTACCTTTGTAATCACCATTAGACTCATCCAACTCTTTCTGAATCCTCTGCACTGTCCTCAGATTGACACCTAAACACTCTGAAATGTTCATATCAGAGCTTCCGGCACAAATACTAAGCAGTACAGCATGCCATTTCCAAATTTCTGGCAGAGTGAATTGCATCATGGTGCTCTTTCTCACAGATGGTGCCCAACTGACCCTAATATTGTGTGCAGCTGACAAAATCAAAAACAAAAAATGCAGATATATGAAATTAAAAAAATGGCAACAATTCATCCATTGCACCCTGTATATGTGTAAAATGATGAGGCCTAGCTGCTAAGTACTACACTTAAATTCATTAGTCTGTTCCATAACGTAATAGTTCCCGGGGAAAAAGCTGTCAGAGTGAAATGTTTTCTTTACATTTAGAATACAAGGGAAATGAGGGTGATTCGACTAGATGGAAGTAGCATGGTGTGTCCCAGCTGTAAAGATCTGAACTGGTGGTACGAAAGAATAGAGTTTGTCTGAACATTTACCATGAAAAGAAATGAAAAATTTTAAAATACACATTTGATAAAACTTTCTGAGGATAATATAAATAAAGATCAAAATACAAATTTAACTAGATTTGTTTGTCAATGTTAATCATATATCTAAATCTGTGAAAGGTAAAAAAGTTTATTAGGGCTTCCAAAAATGGGCAATAATTCATTTAAAAATCTGGTTAATTCATATTTAAATTTATTCAAATTTAATTTACTATTTAGTACCATATTTTTGTTCTGTATTCTGTTTCAGGATGTATATTGACAGTATAATAAGTTTGCTCTTGCATTTTGAAACAATATGTTCCTCTACCTCAACATTTATCTTTGCACCAAAGGACACAAATGAAGACATACTGTTGTAGATATGAATGCAGATTTTCTGTTTCAAATTTTCCTTAATTCCTAACCTCTCCTGTTTTCAGTATAGAATTCTTTTTTGCTTCATTATAATACTTAATGAGAAAGTGTAACAATATATAAATGTTATTAAAACAAGAAAATAAAATTATTAAATTTTTTTAAAAAGTCTAATTCATAAAATTTGGCTTTTTGAAATTACAGACTGCATCCCCACCTCTGTCACCATGTGTGATAGGATAAAAGAAAAAGTCAAAATTTTGTTTTGCCCCCATCCCTTTTATTAAATCAAACTTTGTAAAACTTAATTTCTAAATACTGTAGGGAGACAGTAGGTAAGGGGGGTGGGTATTAAAACAAACCAACTTTATCCTTTGATGTCAGAGGAGTGAGTTAGGGAAGTCAAACATAGTAACAAATAGAAATGAAAGTTGCCAAATCTAATTGTTAGTAAAAAAAAAAAAAAAAAAAAAATCACCATTTCCCTTTCAAATAGACCATCCAATTATTCCATTTTCACAGAAAATAAACTCCTCTACAAATGTTTTCCCTGAATTTGACTAAGCTATAGTATTGAAAAAATAATTTATATGTACATGTATGTTCACAACTAATTAAAATTTTAGCAGCAATTGCCACACTCTTTATTAGAACATTTAGATGTATAGGTTAAAATGAGTATTTTGGTTGAATATATATCAAAAATGGATATTTAGAAGTTTAATCTGCCATTGTAAATATTTTAGGATAAGTAAATCAATCTTTCAAACCCCTCCTCTCCTTCACCTGATGTTTAAGAACTTCCTGTTAAAAGTATTTTCACATGAGTAATTAAAATTGCAAAGAAGCATGAGCAAGTAATTTATTTCTGACATCAATCTTAACAGCAAGTAAACAGTACTTACATTCATAATTTAATCTATAAAAAAAAAAAAAAAAAAATCAGTGTTATAAAACCTCTGAAATTTCTATAGGTATAATAAATATATAAAAAAAAAAGTTCGAAGAGAAAGCAAAGATAAAGAAAAGAAAAAAAAAAACTCACTCACTGTAAGGTGGTGTGTCAATAACTATAACAGCAACAAAAAATGAAATAACAAAAAGAGCTAACTAGTTATCACTCATTGTTCGTCAAAATCTTTATATGTTATGTCCTTGATTAGCTCTGAAGAGTGAGGACCAATAACTGGTGAGCCAATTATTTCTGTTGTTGTTATATTTATTGAGTCACCATTTTATGGGGAGTAATTTCTTTTTCCCCTGCTGGCTTCTTCCCTCTCTGTTTTATATATTTTTTGTATATATTTATATATACTTTTAAAATGTCCATTTTTAAAGCTCTAATAATCAAATATAAATGACCCATAAGCACATTGTTAACCGATTCTCTACTTTACTGCCACTTGTAAAATTTAAACAAATTAATTCCATGAAAAGTATATTTTTCAGAATTACTTTCAAAATCCTAATTTCAATCAAATTGACAAGGTTTCAAAGAAACGATCATATTTTATATATTTCCAAAATTATTATTGCTGAATTGTTGTCATTAAGATTTGTTCACAACTTCTTTTAATAACTGCCTAAAATACATTTTGTTTTAATATCTAAACACAAGGTTCAAACACTTGAATTTATTTAGAATTCATAGTTGCTTACATTGTTAGATATTTTTGGGATAAGTTAAGATTTCTTTAAAATTTATCTACCTATCTTTAATTTTCTGTTTTTGTGTAATTATTGTGTATTATAGCAGGCTGATTTAATTATAAATGTAGATTTGATTAGGATTGAAAAGACCTAGTTACTAATGAAATATTTCATTAGCTTTAATTAAATTGTCATTCTGTAATCTTTGAAATTGTAAAATAACTTGTAAGGGTTATCATAAACTTTTTGTCTCTTGGAAGACCATGTTTTGAAAAAATCTTAAGAAGCTTGAATGTATTATGTAATTTTTACTTCAAACTTTTGACAGTCACTGCCACATTTGTGCATTTTCCAAATCATGTATACTTTGAAATATACTTATTTCAAAGTATACATAAAAATTGCTTAAGGTTAAATACAATCATTGACATTTTCTATTTATGGCTGTAATATCTATTGAATATTGATTGTAGACTGTTCATTTTTGATAGGAGTAAGATCTCTTAGTAGAAAACAGGTTGTGATGACCAAGTTAACATTTACTGACCAAACACGCCTAAACCAGCATTTTTGATAGTAACTATTTTTATGTGATCACTTCAATGAAATTGATTTGTATGATAATCCACTTAGGCAGAAAGACATCAGTCATTGATAACCAAACATTAAGTGTATTTAATCTTTACTGTTGATTGAAAGATCTTTAAATTGAATCACTATTTCTCTACAGTATACTGAAACATATTTTTTTTAATAAAAAAGCAAGTGGAGATTTCAATTTCTTGTTGAAAACAGCTTTATAACTGAGGACATTTTTTTCTTAACAAAAAAAAAAAAAAAAAAAATCAATGTTTAAAAATTCTAAAATTTTAGCTGAATGAGAAAAATATGCAGATGTACAAATTCTGCAATTACAATTCCCCAAAAGGTAAGGGGTTTTGGAAAAAATCTATTTTCTAAAAAATAAAGAAACCTTTGAGAATAACCCCATCCAACTTGACAAACTCATCATTAATAATAAAATCCCTTTCCTCAACATTTTTAGTTGACTCTAACAGTCATAATTTTACTACTTTACCATATAAAAAAAATTAATTTAAAAAATTTATGTTTTCGTAATTACACAAGTGAAGGTCCTCACAGATATAAAATAGTTATAAAGACAACCATGTGAAAATAATTTCTTATTTGAACACATCATTTTATAAAGTTGTTTTATCTTGCTTTTATATAGTAACGTAAAACAAACATTAATCAACAATGATTTCCAAAACCATATCATTGACAAACAAATAAAATCAGCCTTATAGAAATTTTTAAAAAATAACATAAGCAATCATCTTGATATGTATACAAAAATTAAGACCTCATTAACTTATTCTATTGTAACCAGATACACCCTATCTATAAACAAGATGTAAAAGCTATTAAAATATAATCCACTGGTAAATATCACTTATTGATCCTAACAAATATTGTAGATTTATCATTTACTATAAAAAGTTAAAAACATCTAATCTAATTATCAAGATCTCAAAAATCCATGCTATATAAAAATAATTGTTTATGAATTCTCATGTCCTTTGGGAGATTGTATCTCCAATACTAATACTCAAAAGAACATTAAATTCTTACATTGGCTACACATGTACCATATCTCATAAATTGACTTGTCAATTGTTGAATTTGTGCACATATCGATCATCACACAGTCACACAGATGGGAGGGGCATGTGCATGTATGTGTGTGAGAGAGAGAAACAAACATGTATGTTCTTTTTTCTTCTTATTCCACAAGTTAACTATATCCAAATGTTTTAGTAAATAATAACTGTAAACTTTATACACAGAAGAATGGATTTAGATGGGTTATTTTACCAGCACACTAACCCAAAAGGTCATTTCATGTCAAATCAGGTAGTTATAAGATTTGTTTTTATTTTACAAAGAAACTCTTTTCTTTTATAAGGCATTATTATATGAGGGTGTAGATGTAATTCGGTTTTAGTTGCATTTTGTAGCTGGGTGTTTAAGGAGAAAGAAAAAATACAAGGCAACATTTGGATGTGACCAGATACAAGAATGCTTCTCTCCACCAAATATCAGCTGAAATTTTGAGATAAAAACTATTATGAAGATACTCATCCAAATAATGTGTAGCATTATATAGAACTTAGATATAGACAAACACATAGGTTGTTGTATTCAAGTTGAACTAATATTCTTGAGATAAACATAAATTCATTTCTCTACCCAGTTCCCAACAGTTAACTATAATTAAAATAGTTGAGCAGACTGGGTGCTTCAGCCTTGGTAGGATCAACCAGTCTAGAAGGACAAAATTAAAACCCCCTGCCAACACATCATAGGCAGTAGGACAGGGTAAAATCCATTAATTCTCATGTCTTGAAGAATGCCTGAGGCTTACAGTGGATGGAGAAAATGGCTGATATAGCTTGTTGCTTGGTTTTTAAAATGGCATGAATTCATTGGTCGCACCAGATTAGACTGAGCCACCATTTTTTGCATCTTATCCTCAGTATGTGAAAGTGGTATAATGGATAGAGGCTTTGAATGAGAAAATCAGAGGGCCATGTTCAAATTTCAGCCGAGGTCATTACGTTCACTTATGTACAAATATCCTTGGGAAAAGTATGAATCCATTTCTTCTTCTCCCAGCTATGGGTTAAATAGTAGGATTATCTAGAAAAATCGTTATCTCCAAAAAATTGTTAATACAATATACACTCACAATCCAAAGTATGCTTTGGTTTTATCTAACCTACAAAAGGTTGATAAGCTATTAAAAAAAAATAAATAAATAAAATCACCCTGAGGATAGTTTGATGGGTAAGTGTAATCATTAACTTCTTTCCAAACAGCATAAAAGCATGAAATAGTGATAATGGAAGGAAAGAATCTTTAATATGATAGAGGACAGTTTACCATGGTATACAAACAACAAGACTATGTTCAGGATAACTGGAAATGAGTTTTCTTTTTTTATCATTTCACTCCAAGTAAGCCAACAATACCACTAAGACGCAAAGGGTTACTGAGAGTGAAAGAGAATAAGATTTCTAGAAAGAACCAGAAACCCAATCCTAAACAGGAAACAAGACATAAACCTCTACTTCTGTTCAAAAAACTGGGACGGAGTGTGAATTGGAGGATAAGTGACACTCAGGTAGAATTAGGTTTATGCCTTTCCCAAGAATTTCCTCCAAAGTAATCAAGCTGAACATACAGAATTCTAAGAAGAAACTTTTCACAAGAATAAAATCTCACTATTTACTACTTTATTACAGTCAAGTATTTTTTTTTTAAAGAGATAATCATTATTATAGCAAAGCATATTGTTTAACCCATATCCTCCTGGCATCAGTTTAAACCAGGGTTTTCCAACCTAAGCGATGATCAACTGAACAGAAAATGGTGGGCGATTGGAAATTTTGAGTATTAAAAATGTATTTCAACATATACTACAAAAAAAATAAATAAATAAATAAAATAAAATAAAAAAAATAAAAAAAAATCCAAAGTAGATATGCAAAGAACCTGTATAAAAAAAAAAAAATAAATAAATAAATAAATAAATAAACAGGAGGATAAATGGGAAAAACTGGATCACCTTCCTAGATAAGATATAAATATATCCCCACAAATGAATATTTTGGTATTTTCTAGTTTTGAGAAGGGTCATTAACATTCGAATAATTATTCAGACAAAATAACATTTATTTTTCCAAATATAAATCAGATAATGGAAGACCAAGAACAAAAAAATATTCTCTGAATTTTTACTTCTTGCTAATAGCGTATTTTCTTTTTAATTTTATAATTACAAACAAAAATCGTTTCATTTTTTGTCAACACTTACAATGCTAATCCTAACCATAAAACTAAATTATATAAAGAGTTTTCAATAGTCAAGTTTGCATCATTTTTTTTTTAATGCAATAGTAGCAGTAATTGCCAACACATCAGTATTATTTGTTACTTTGCTTCAGTATTTTTTTTTTTTTTTTTTACTACATCATGAAGTTAGTTTATGAACCAGTAACAAACTTTTGTCAATTTTGGTATGCTTTTTCAGATTTACTATACAGGTGGGTGGTGGAAAATTTTCCCATGTGAAAGTGGGCAATGACGCAAAAAAGTTTGGGAACCCCTGATTTAAACCACTCTCCAACATATATCTAAACTATAATTTCAGAAAGTTAAAATTTCAGTGGAATAGGTTGAAAAATTTACAAGTTTTCATATGAAATCAAGAAAATATATAAAAAAAAGGTTCCAGTTTAAACTAAAAAGAGGATATGGGATAAAAATTCCGTAAGTTTTGTTATCAAAATATTTGAATGAGCAAAAAGAAGAAAGGGGTAAGAGAAGAAAAAGAAAAAAAAAAAAAGAAGAAAAAGAAAAAAACAAAAAAAAAACAGAAGAAAAAAAAGAAAAAAAACAAAAACAGAAGAAAAAAAAAAAAAAAAAAAAACAGAAGAAAAAAAAAAAAAAAAAAACAGAAGAAAAAAACAAAAAAAACAGAAAAAAAAAAAAAAAAAAAAGAAAAAAAAACAGAAGAAAAAGAAAAAAAAACAGAAGAAAAAGAAAAAAAAACAGAAGAAAAAGAAAAAAAAACAGAAGAAAAGAAAAAAAAAAGAAGAAAAAGAAAAAAAAACAGAAGAAAAAAAAAAAAAACAGAAGAAAAAAAAAAAACAGAAGAAAAAAAAAAAAACAGAAGAAAAAAAAAAAACAGAAGAAAAAAAAAAAACAGAAGAAAAAGAAAAAAAAACAGAAGAAAAAGAAAAAAAAACAGAAGAAAAAGAAAAAAAAACAGAAGAAAAAGAAAAAAAAACAGAAGAAAAAAACAGAAGAAAAAGAATAAAAAAACAAAAAAACAGAAGAAAGAGAACAGAAGAAAAAGGAAAAAAAAACAAAAAACAGAAGAGAAAAAAAAAAAAAAAAGGAGGAAAAAATCAATTTCCATGACTTACTGATTAGAAATTTCCATTTTTCTGCTGTCTTTACTCTTCGTACCATTTGTACAAAAAAAGTCATATTTTCTACTACGTTTTCTTTTGCCTGGCACTATGTTACCAGCGTCATCCGACTCTGCCATATATTTCTCATTCAAGTTGTTATCCCGAAGTAATGCTTTCTGCCGTGACAGGAGGCGCTGGTTACGAAGTTTGCATCGGCTGAGTGCAAAATCCGCACACGGAATTGGATCCACAGTCATGCTCTTGTACCTACGCCGTCTTCTCTGTGTATCAATAGGGGAGAACGTCTCAGGAACGGAGTCGGACTCCACGGGCGGAACAGCTGCAGAGAGAGGAAGGCCGATCTGAGAGAGACGTCGGACCACATCTAAATCGTCAGAGTCACTATGGCGCACAACACTCTGAATGTAATCCTTAAAGGCCTCATCAAGGCTACTCTCTGAGGCTTCACTCAGGTTGCCACTCTCCCAGATCAGGTTGGGGTTTGACCGACGCTTCCTTGGCTTCTTTTTGCGATGATGTCTTCGGACAATTGGTGCCGAGTTTTCTCCACCATTGTTCCTGGAGGTTTCCTCAAGAGCATTTGTTAAGTCTTGCACCAGTTCATCCATCTTCTCTAGGTTACATGTAGACAAAACATGAAGATTTTGGAATTCTTTTACAATGTAATTCTCCATTTGCTGCCTGCTTCCATCACACATACCAAACTGCAAAGAAATGACACCAACTCTTCAACGGCTGACATATTTTGCAAAAGGGAATGACAAGATGGAAACCTCCTTAAAACTAACATATTTGGCAATGTTTAACTTTTGTGCCTGCAAAATAATAGTCAAAATAACAGTTATTCCTCTAACACTGCTATTATTGATTAAAAATACCATCGATTCGTCCACTTTCAATATATTTTTGCCTTAATAAATTAATGTACCTTTTAGTCAAGTGCATTAAGTCAAAATTATGAAGAATTGCAAAAAGAAACTAAGTAATCTACTGACTAATTTATATATTAATATCAGTAACTCCAAAGATTCACTAAAAAAAAATGAACACAAAAAAAAAAGAGAGAGAGACACAAACTTAAAAACAAAGTTTTATTGCCAAAATCCTTATTATTAGGAGGAAAGACCAAAGGATTTATTATTAAATTATTTTTATGTTTTTTAGAACATTTGAAATATTAGTTAAGAATCTCTTTTTTCTTGCGCCAACAGGGGGACCAAAAATTAGCATAGGAAATTTTAGCATCTTTTGTCCGGTGAAAAACACATTGATTTAGAAATTCTTGCTAAAATCTAATAATTGTACCTTTTAGTCAAGTGCATTAAGTCAAAATTATGATGAAGAACTTGCAAAAAGAAGATAGATTAAATAATCTACTGACTAATCTATATATTAATATCAGTAACTTCAAAAGATTCACTAAAAAATAAACATATACGATAAAAAAAAAAAATGACCCAAAACTTAAAAACATAGTTTTATCATTAAAATCTTTGTTAATGCTAAGAGGAAAGACCAAAGGATATTTTGATTATTAAATTATATTTTTGAAACCTTTTTAAAAATTTGTAAAATTTTGGTTAAATAAATTTGAGCATCTTTTTGCAGCGAAAAACACATGTGGAAATTCTTGCAAAAAACAAATAATTGTCAGTTTTTAATAAAACTTTCAGGACATATTTAAAAATAAATTAAATTTAGAAATGTTTTTTTTTTTTTTTTTTTTAAGAAAATCTTGGAAAAACACACACACACATATATATATATATATATATATATATATATATATATATATATATATATATAACATCTGTTACCCACACACAAACACTTATTTAATTTTATAAAATTTTGAGAAATTCGTTTTTGTAAGGCTTAAATGCTTATATTAGTTATAAGCAGAAATCCTTGGAGAATTTAAATTATTCAATTTTTTTTTTTTGTTAAAGAGGACCCCAATTACTAAAAATCAGCTCTGAATTGTAAAAAAAAAATATGCAATAAAACTAATACATTCTTTAATCAGAATAGCTTTTATGGATAAGATATATTACGGAAGTTAGAAAAAATTTTTTCACTGAATAATGAATTTTTACAAGAGATGTTTTCATTTTTTTAAAATTTTAATTATAATAATTTATAAAGTTTTAAATCTTTCAAAATTCTGTATTAACTTTTAACAGTCAGATATTATTATTAAATGAAAATTATATTTACTAATCATAAATGAAAAAGTTTACAATTCAACAACACCCAGTATTTTAAAAAGAATTTATAATTTTTTAGTGCATGTATAAATTTTGTAAATACAGATGTCCATACAGAATATTATCAGAAAATAAGAGTGGCAACTATAGTATATTTAAAGCCAAAGTACCTAAAATTCAATAAGACATGAGATTACTTAGAATATTTTCCTAAACTTTTTAAGATTACTGGGTATTTAAAAATTATATAAAAAAGGCACTCACATTATATTTGTCAAGTAATTTTTACAGATATGTCTCCCATAGAAAAAATTTCCAAATATAAATCTATCAAGATAATTAATCTCATAGACACTCACCTGTGTAAAAAAAAAAAAAATTCTGCAATATTTTAAACAAAAAGTAATATTTGTTTCAAATCAGATTGATTAAACTTTGAATCAGCAAATCTTTCCGAAATAAAATTTCAGAAAAGTATATTTTATTTTTGAGAGATTTTTTAATAAAGAGAATTACATTGTGCTGAGAGATTTCTAAATATGGGTAAAATCAGCCATTTTTAGTGATTTATAAAAAGAAAAAAAAAGAAAATTTATTCCAATTAATTCAAATTCAGTTTGAAATACAGCAAAGTATCTTGATTATTGTAAATATTAAATTTAATCTATCAACTTGAAATTAAAACTAAAATAAAAGCTTCAAGAAAATTTTTCATTATTAAAAATTATTTTTAAACCTTGGTATCGTTTTTCTTTGGAGTACCTATATCATTATGTTAATTCATACTTATGCATATAATGTTTCTTCTATTCTCGCAAAACAAATCATACTGCCCATAGATCTGCTAATGTGTACCAACCTACTTACAGTACATCATACCCAACAGAAGAAAATATTTAGATATACTACTTTCATTGTACTTTCCTGCTCTATTTATGGAATGGGGAAAAATGTTTCAATAGCAATAAATGAGTCAAAGCAGAAAACTTTATCAAGATATGAATATTAGATGCCACAACCAGTATTTAGTGAGAGACTAGTTTATATTGTTTTTTGTTTTGTTTTTGACATTGCCAGGTAATAAACAGAAAAAGAATAAAACAGAAGAGGAGGCAGTGGAAGATTTTTACCTTTCATTTTTTGTTTGTCAAGTTCTTGGCATTAAAGCTATTTTTCCATCATTAAACACACTTCTTAATGGAGAAACAAATGTAAAAAAAAAAAAAAAAAACGATTCCTTTTCTCAGTAGAATAAATATATGATTTACTTCCTGTTATGGTAATTTACCCACGCACTCTCCCAGATATAAATAGGAGCAGGCACTGCCTTTTGAAGAGAGAAGTTTCCAGCAGTCAGCTCTGACAGTCAGACCGAACATTCTTGCAGTAACACTCATTTGTATATGTTTGCATTACTGTTTCTGTTAATATATTTGTTTAACTCAATTCCTCTCTTTGTGTCTTTATTTCTGGCCCTAACAAGACCAAAACACTTTCTTAAATTGAAAATAGACCTATTGGTTAAAATTAAGTCATTTATTTATTAACTTTTTTTTTTTAAGATTAAAAAGGCATTTTCATAGATTGTTTTGTTCTATATTCATGTATTAATTGAACTATTGTTCTCATTTTGGTTGGTATAGAGGTTATTACAGACACACCATTTCAACCAAGTACACTCTGGTCATCATCAGGTGTCCATTGATTGGCTGATATGAGATATCTGTTGATTATTGTGATATTCAGTTATTGTTAGTTCCTACGGAATTGGTGAATCACTACCAGATCCAAGGATTGAACTCATGACAACGATACATGTATAACCAAAATCCAATATCCATTACACCCCCATCCCAAAGGATTGGGTTTTTGGAGTCTTTTATATTCAATGTCAGATGGTCTTTGATATTTGATTATGATGGCGGGTTCATGCTGCTTTTCATAATTGTTCAGGAACGAAAAATAACTGACATTTAATAAAACAGTATTTATTGGAAATTTAATAATTGTTGTCCCAAAGGGTAAAATTTTGTTGCAGCATCAGCCAGATTCCCCTCAATATATGCAAGAATTAATGAGCGATCTGAAACTTATACATTATCAAGACTTCTTAGATGAGATCATTAGATTGTGTAACTTACATCTATAGGCACACAAAAACAGCTCACTTAAATGACATGTTCCTTTTTGTTTTTTCAGGCTACATGGCTAAACATTAAAATTTTAAAACTCCATCATAAGGGGTAAAACTTTTGTTTTTTTTTGGGGGGAGGGTTAAATATTTTTATGAAAAACTTTTTTACAATTGTGAACAAAAATACACTAGTGAAAATAAAAAATCAACTAAGTTAACGATAGAAACTTAAAAGGCAAAAAGTTATTGTGAATTTATGACTGAATAATGCATTTAAACTGGCTTGAATATAACTTGACAATCATACTTAATGATTGTAAAAAATAACAGTAAATGATATATTAGGGTTGAAAATAACAGTAAATGATATATTAGGGTTGAAAATAACAGTAAATATATTTTAGGGTTGAAAATAACAGTAAATATATTTTAGGGTTGAAAATAACTTATAGAGATTCTAAAGTCAATTTTATTAGCTGGATTAACAATTATTACAATGATTTTATTTTTCATTTTTCTATAAACTTTACAATCAAACAAAAACAATTGTTTTGACCTTTCCTGGTAATGGAAGGATTTTTGTAAACACACTTCAAAAGTTTGTTAATGTCATTATTTGTTTACATTAAATCTAAAATCAATAATTTATCTTTTCTGTTATCTCAACAAACAATAAGGCCTTTAAAAAGTAAGAAATTTCTAATATCAATTCAATTCCTCCCTCTTTTTTTCATAAAGCAGAAAAAAAAAAAAAAAAAAAAAAAATGATATGGTGTCACAATAAAAATAAGTTCTTATTGTACACAAATCCCTCAAATAGTGTGGCAATAAAAAAATCAATTTTCAATTACTATGATTAAAATGAAGAATGTTTTACCACATTAATCAAGTATTATGTATGCACTAATTGAATTTTGGTACATAAAAATTTTAGTGCACTAATTGAATGCACATTAATCAACGGATGCTTGTATTTGATAACATATGGTTGCACAGGCATATTAAATGCAATCCAATTTTAACGGCATATTCAGAGAAAAAGGTTTTAGTATATTTGAGTATATAAAGTATAAAGCAAACTAATAGTACAATACAAAACGTTACCAAAGCAGTCCAACTAATGTACATACCACCTTTAAACACACTGACCTCTTTACCAGTTGTTCTTTGGCCGAATCATATGACAGACATATTTCTCTGTGGCTTTAATTTTATGATTTCAAAGTTAGTGTTTTACCATTACTGGCATTTTCAGTTATATCTCCTCCTTCTGTCATTCCCAGCTCGTTAGTAATAGGAGTATGTTGAGGCTTATTTAAGTTTGATGGATCAGCTGGTACTGATGAACATCAGTAATACTTTGATAATCCCTTTTAAAATACCTGTGATGGTATTAATAATATCATTTGAATAAATAATATTATAGAACCTGGTTAGATAGCAGTAAAAATTATAGCCTATGGTAGTAAGCATTAGGAACCGACAGAAGGCCTCAACTTTGTATATAAGACACAGGGTGATTTTTTTTTTTAATAAAAAAAATTGAAAATGCCTTATATACTGCCAAATACGCAGTAATTTCTACCACATTTTTGTCTGTGTGTCTCTCTCAAACCAACGACTTCAATATTTTTGAATATCTATTCTTCCTTACTCAAATACACAAAAAGAACTACATAATGCTAAGATACATAAGGGTACCTCTAAAGATTCGATAATAAAAATAATGAGCTTGTATACATGATGGAAAAAAATTTCCAAAACTAAATAAAAACAAAGTTTTATCATCAAAATCTTTGTTATTATTAAGAGGAAAGACCAAAGGACTTTTTGATTATTAAATTATATTTTTTTAATCCTTTTTAGAACCTTTGAAATTTTGATTAAAAAGTTTGTTTTCTGTAGTCAACAGGTGACCATAAATCAGTATGGGAAATTTGAGTGTCTTTTTGTGGTGAAAAATACATTGAATTGGAAATTCTTGCAAAAATTGAATAACTGTTGGAAACTTTCAGGACTAATTCACAAATAAATTATTTTAGAAATGTTTCCTTTTTAGAAAATCATGGTATTTTTTTTTTTTATACATCTGACCATGCACAACATTCAAAATGTACAAATGGTAACTACAGTAAATTTAAAATTTATTGGTAATTTTCTAACATTTCCTCAACAAGCGTCTTTAAGTACCTAAAAGTCAATAATGTTTATTGTTTACTAAAATATTTTTTTTAGATTACTTGTTAAGTAAAAAAAATTTATTACTCTACCTAAATTTCATATTTAATAATAATAATAGTCAGATTATCAATAGATGTGCCAACACTTCATAGAAACACCCACTCCATCGTGTTCAATACTTTAAAGTTTAAAAAGTTTTGAAATTTAAATGGGTTAAGTAATGTAATATTTGTTTTAATTCAGATTAATTAAACTTTAAATCAGTTACTTTCCCCCCGAATAAAGTTTGAGAAAAGTATATTTTATTCCTGAAAGGTTTTTTTAATAAAGAAGAATAAGGATGTGTATTGTTGACAGATTTGTTAATATGGCTGATTTTAGCGATTTAAAAAACATCATTTCAATCAATTTAAATTCGATTTGAAATACAGCAAAGTATTTTGCTTATAATTTTTAAAAACTAAAATAAAAGTTGCAAGAAAGATATTTTTCGTTTTTAAATGCATTTTTGTAGGTACAGTACACAGACAAAATAAAATGCAATAAATAAAATTACGAATATCCTTTTCCTCCGACAAGATTGGCATGGCTCATTATGACAATTATTAAGCAAACAAGACTATATTCATTTCATTTCAAAGCCTCACGTGGAAATTATCGTTGAATAACAAACTTATTTATTTACTAAGTAACAATGGTTATTTTTTCCCCAACAAAATATTTTTAGTAGTCAAAGCCTTGTTAAATTTTATTTAGCAAGTTTAAAAGCTGTCCTTGTTTTCCCAAGAAACAAAACAATTTTTTTTTATTCTTATCACTAAAGAAGAGAAGACCCAAAATTTCTGGATTCCTCCCATTTCTTTAAATAAAAAGAAAAGAAAAGCTTACCTGAGATTTACATTTTTTTCTTGAAGTTTTTTTTTTTATTTTAATTCCAAGGTAATAAATTAAATTTAATATTTTCAATAAGCAAACTGCAAAAAATACTTTAATTTGGATGTAATTTACTAAGTAAATAATTAAAATTCTCTAATTAAAAAAGTAAATTTTACTTTTTTTAATTAGCGAATCTTTGAAAAATGTTATGAAAATGTCAAATTTTTTTTTATGTTTAAGTTTGCTGGATATTTTTATAAAATTCAAACACGAAATATAAAAGGTCAATATTACATTATTACTGATTTAAATTTTTTTTTAACCTAATATTTTATTTAAAGTAACAGTAACAGCTGGTAAAATTCTCGATTCACTAATGATTTTTTTTCTTTTTTACTTTATCGAATGCTCGATGATTAGATTATCGATATCATTTAACAACAGATCAGATTTCCTATTCAGCAGGCTCAAAGCTTAGAAAAGTAAGAAGGTAATACAGTACACACCTGACAGACATTTACTACTGTGATAAAAATTAAAATAAAGGAACTTTATAAAACAACGAAAATTAAGTTTTCATTCAATAAATTCTTAAAGAGAAAAAACGTTTCAAAAGCTGCAATTTTCTCGTTATTAAATTCAAAAAATGGTTCGTTCTAAAAAAAAAAAAAAAAAAAGGTATTTTTTTTTGTTTTCATTTTCAGATCATACTGAAAATTAGAAAATATAAATTTACTTTTGAAATGAATATTTTATTCCTAAACATTCATGCAACAAAGAAAAATTAGTTTAGCAGTCGACATTTACAGGTTCTTTTGCAATAAGAATCCTGTTTGCTTCCCTTAACTCACCTGTTAAAATAAAGGTTAATCAAAAAAAATAATTCCATAAAAAATATTTATACTGTTGCTAAGGTGTACACGTTTTTTTTTTGTTTTGTTTTGATTTTTTTGGTCCCTGGAATATTTGATTTTAAAAACGTAAATTTTAGTAATAAATACAGTTTGTTTTGACTATTTTGTGATCTTGAATCTAAGTCTTGTCATTTATTTTCGTTTAAAGTTTAAAAATCTTTCAAAAGAAAGAAAAAACAATTTTAATAATCGCACTGAAAATATGATTTTTTTTTTTTTTTTATTTGGAAATAACTTTTCAATTTCACATCGGTTTTCATAACATTACATTAACAATAACATTTCCAGTGTTAATTTACTGTTAGTTAATTATTAAGAACAAAATTACTAAATTACTGTGATAAAAAAATAAATTTTAAAATGTATTTACAAAAAGAAACAATAAGCGCTTAGGAAAAATAAAAATCCAAGAAAGATATTTTAATTTTTTGTTAATAATGTGAGTAGAATTGTCATTTTTTTATTTTTTTTTCAGCGATCGAGACTGTCCTGTAAGGAAAGCAGACAACCAAACTGCTCGCTATAATTTCTATTTTTATGGTAAATTTCGATATTTTACACAGGAATAAAAAAAAAAAAAAAGAAAGAAATGCACAAATAATGATCGTTCTTTTTTTTGAGAATGAAAAGAAAAACGACGAATGTATTGAATAGTGAACAGAAATGTTCTTTTGTCGCTCTTTCAACACAAGAGAATCGTGTAACTAAGAAACACGATTCTCTTATTTTTTTTTTTTCTGTAGAATTTTCATTTCTTCCCGACAACAATCGAACCAGACATCATTAATTTAGAAAAGATCCCCAAAGAAAGAGTGGAAGATTTAAAAAAACAAAAAAAAAACACGATGCTTATTTTGTTCGAAATCATAGTTTATTCACGCGGCAATTATAACCAACTTAAATTAAAATTATTACTGAATTACACACGACGTCCGTGTTTCAGGCTTTTTTTTTCTTTATGTATCAAGAGCGCATGGTAACAATTCCAAAAACAACTACCCCTAAAGAAAAACCTACAGCCGGTGTCCATTGCAAAAATGGCAGTTTACTAAAAAGAGTAAAGAAAGATTGCGTAAAAAAATATTAAAATTAAGAAAGTAGCGAAAAAAATTTGTAGAAATTTACTAGCAGAATATAGAGAAACTAATGAAAATATCAGGTCCACAATATTCTGCAAAAAAATGCTTTAAAAACGACCGTAAAATTAAGGTGTGTATGTGGAATTAATTTAAATTTGTTAGTAGTTGCTGCATTAAACTTGTGATTTTAAACTTTTCTCTAACATTAACAAATATCAAATAAATGCAAACATCTGTGATTTGAATTTTTCATCAGGAGTTTGAAATTACTAAGGTTTATGAAAATACAGTTGTTAAAATAACTTCATTACATATTGCCTCAAAAATAAAAATAAATGTTTTGAAAAAAAAAAAAATAGAGGGAGCTTGTATTTTTGGAATAAAAAACATGTGTAAAATAAATATTTTAATTTAAATTGGTTTATATTTACCGCGAAAGAAAGCTTAATATGTTCATAATCATTTAATTCTATAAAAAAATAACAGAGCGAACAAGACAGTTTCTTTTTTTTTTCTTTTCGGCTCTACTCTCAACAAGGAAGAATCGTGCTCCGCACAATAACAGACATGAAAAGAAGGTAATAATAATAAATAATTCATTCACATTCATTTGTAAAGTTCTCAAATTGAAACGGGAACATTCAACTAAAAAAGCGATCAAAATATCAACTCGATTTATTTACAGTGAATAGGAATATGCTTTTTGTTTGCCGATATTATTATTTTAGGTAAATAAAACAAATTGCAATTTATTTTTCCATTCGGACAAATCAATGAAATTGTTTTAAAAACATTTTTTTCGAATGATTCCTTACGAGAAACAAGAAACGAAATAACAAGCATTAAATAAAAATTAAACTGAATTTGGTAATAAATTTTTAAAAATAATTGATTTGTAGTTGGGGCGGGGGGGAAGAAAACACATTGAATTTAAAAGTAAAATAATGTTTTTTGTTGTTGTTTTTTTCGATTTTCTTTTCTTTAGCTTTCTTTTTTGGTTTTGTTTTTTTTTTTTTTTTTTTTTTACTTACCACACAAACATTCGCCACGGCCTTTTCGGGGCAGACTGTCACGTGACATCTCTCAAGTCTCGCCATTTCTCGAGACATCAGCACGTGACTTCACCCTCCCCTTCTTCATCCCCTCTTCACTCTACAGTTGGACCCGTGGTAGAAGGAGGTGGCAATAAATTTTTTAGACATCACATATCATCGGAAAAAAAATTTCTAAAATAAACATTTGATATTTAATCAGATAAGCACTGCCAACAGTATCATTTTTTTTTTATTTAAAGCTATGAATTCACTCCCAAAAAAAAAGTTTATTTTGTTAAGTAGACGTTTCCACTTTCAAAAATATACATTGTTAGTCATGATTCCTAAAACATTTTTTAAGTTAACCCATGCCCGAACATTACTTTGAAATTTGAATTAGAGGTAAAATTAAAAATTAAGTATCCTAACCTAACAGCAGATTGAGCAGTCAGTATTGCTATTCTATTATTAGACTTGTAAGGACATTATTATTAATAAATAAAATACAATTATAAAATAATAATAATAATAATGAATATCATAAAATAAAACTAATAACATTAAAGCTTTGTTTAAAATAATAAAAATTCTCCTAGAATGAAACAGAAACACTTCCTACCTGAAAATGGATGTAAGGAGGGCTAGGGAAAGAAATACTTATTCTTCTAATTACATTTCTCTCATTATGAGTATTATTATATTCATGATACAACAAAACTATAGCTCACAGGACACAACAGAATAGCTGAAAGGAAAAAGAATGACAAACTTGCTTTGTTCTCAGAGAGAATTTTATAATACTAAAACTTACACAAACCATATATCTACATATATATGCATGTCCCACATGGAGAATTATATATCAACATATGTCTATATAGCAAAGCCAAGTATATGGAGGAACAGAAGGATAGGTCTTACATATAATTTGAAGATATTTCTGACCTGACTCCAGGTTTAAGTGGGCTGAATTCACCTATGTCCCAAATGGAAACAGCATCTTGTGCCTGTAAGCTGGCAGGGAGGTGGTTTCATTGCCATTCACAAATTGAAAATCGACTCCTGCTTTGGGCCACTGTATAGAGTGACACCCCAAAGCGATTGGCATGTGACCGCAGAACTTTCACTAAAGGGAGATAAGCACCTTCTATGTCCCTACAAGACTCTCCCCCTTAAAGAGGTTCTCAAACCTGCCATGAGGAGTCACTTTTACTTTGCTTTTTGTTGATATAATAGAAATTTGGGAACTTATTTTATACAAACTACAATATAAACAAGAGTATGCATGCAATACATATTAAAAAATTACTAGACAATTGAAACAACCTCCATTCAATAGCAAAAAAATTCTTCCTGTGTTAGAACAATGAAAAAGTTCATATGGAAACAATATAGGTTGCAAAAAAGAAAACAAATCAAGATATAAAAGATATCTGAGCAATTGAATGATACCCAGATCTTGTCACAGTTTGAATTTATAAAATTGGTGTGTCTCCATTTAGACGTGTAGCATCCAGAAAGACTGGCTTCAGCTTGTCCAAACAAATTTTGTTTTCTTGTTGCTGATGTGTGTATTAAAAATTTTAATGTCTCTTCAGGATCTTGAATGGTCCTTCGTATGTGGTCGAAATGCATCTGACTTGGCTAAGTCATGCACTATTTCAAAATCAATGTTCAGGTCATGGATATTTGAAAATTTCAAGCTGCTAAGTAGTCCTGGAAAAAAAAATTCTGAAGCTGTTAGTCCTTGTTTTTGTTCAGAAATGACTGGTAGTCCATGTATGCATCTTTAGCAGGAAAGCATCAATGGCATGGGTCTTGGTATCTGCAGGAATTTTTTTTCTTTTTGAAAGAAAAATTGGTTTCCACTGAACATGGATTTACTACGCCCATAGTAGAGACGTCAACTGCTAAACACAAATGCTTGTTTGAAACAATTTGATACAACTCAACTGCATGGGACAATACTAATTTAATTTTGTGTAATGGTGTCATAGTAAAATTCTCTACACACATAGCGGTTTAATTAAATATCCTGCAATGCAGGAAAGTATCTCTGGAAAAATTGCATGAATGAACAATAAAATCCTTGGGAAAAAAATATTTGGATTAAATATCAACAAAATTTTCTTCTGGTACTTAACTACGATGTAGTTAAGTAAGTAAAAGTGTTGAACCCAATTGGGTTAAAGAGGCAGGACTTACAACCACATGTCAGATGATATGGTGGAAGGAGTAGGTGAACTACTGGGAGTAGGAGGTATGGTTTCCTCTGAAGTGTACCAAAATCAAACAGCTTGAAGGTGAGAAAGACAGTGGCCATATCTACATTCAATGCCATAAAAATATATAAAACAGTTTCCTATCATAAAATGTATATACAGCAACTACAAAATGCATTTAGCTGAAATTTGTCACTAAAAGCAGTATATAGAAAATGTGTGTCTGATACACTGGACCTAATTAATAGCAGAAAGTGTCCATATGGAGAAAAATAAAATATTTCACACATGGAAATACTGGAAATGTGATATAAAGATATGCTATTAAAATTATTAAATTTTTTTTTATTAAATTAAAATTATTAAAATTATCACAAAACAACACATAAAAATTCATTTATAATTCATTCATAAATTCAACTAGGAAAGTTGTATTTAACTTTGCTATAGTCAAACTCAAAATGATTAAAATAAAGACAAAATAGGTCAGAGATGGACAAAGTTGTTTTTATATTTGATGTAATGGAATAACCTGTTACCCCCATGAGTGACTACACTATAGGTAGTAACAACCTATAAGTATCTGTAAGTCAACAGACTACAGAGCCTAGCTGCGGCCTGTTTCAGCTAAACAGTCGAACTCTCTGCCTTCGTGGGGAGAGGAATCCGGACAAGGCTCTACCAAAGGGCAGAGTCTCGTTCAGGGAGGTAGACTGCCCCTGAACCTGTTTATACGGGTTTGAAAGGGAATATTTTTGGCCAAGCCTACGGGCTCAGAAAACCCACATTAAACCAGCCTTGTGTCACATGCAACACTCATGGTGGGGTAGCTAAATATACTAGCAGTGATCTGTCCCAGCTAGACGGTCGAACTCTCTGTCTTCGGGCAGAGAGGAATACAGACAAGGCTCCACCAAAGAGCAGAGTCTTGTTCGGGGAGGTTGACCAACCCAATCCCGTTTATGCAGGTTCTACAAGCATTTTTTAGCCGAGCCTACAGGGTTGGAAGACCCACATAAAACTCGGTCTTGTGCCACATCTACCCTCATCGGGGGTGGGGGGGTAAATACTGACTAGCTGGGATCTGTTGAGTATGACTCAGACTTACACAAGAACTACCAACCTTCCAATAGTAGCACTCATTATTGGAGTAGTATACTCACTACTGGAGTTATATATTGTGATGACCTTATGCATAATTGTTACTTTTATTCTTATTGTACTATAATTACATTAATTAAAATGTCCAGAAATTGTAATTATTTAGCATGTTAGACAAATGTCTTTCAGTTGCTAAGACCTTCCATGACAATAATATTGACCCTTCCTCTCTGACCTTTACTGTGATAAAAAGAAATACACATGTTACAGCCATATTTTGTTAATTGACATGTTGTGAACTCCTGTTTATGGTGCTTTATGAAAGAAATAAACATTTCATATTTACTTATGTGTTCAAATCACATCTTGGTCACCAATATAAAGAGATAGAGGGGAAGAAAGATTTATTTTCCCAATTACATTTCTCTCATTATGGGCATTTTTATATCAATGATAAAATAACACCATAGCTCATGGACAAGCTGGAACAGAATGGCTGAAAGGATAAAGAATGACAAACATGTCTTGTTTTTAGAAAGACTTTTAGATACTAGAACATACACAAAAGCATATATCTACATATATATGCATGTCCCACATGGAGAACTATATATTACATATGTCTACATAGCAAAGTATAGGGAGGAACAGAGGGAAATGTCTTATATATAATTTGTAGGTATTCTTGACCTGGAGAAGACTCCAGGTTTAAATGAGCTGGATTAATCTATGTCCCAAAGGAAAATGGCATCATGTGCTTGTAAGCTGGAGAAGCAGTTTTAGTCTCAGACTGGGCTTTTGGCCCAGGCCAGAAGAAAGCAACCTTTTCGTTTGGTTGCTATTCACAAACTGAAAATTGACTCCCACTTTGGGTCACTATATGGAATGACATCACAAAGTGGTTGTCATGTGACCAAGGGACTTACCTTCCACTAAAGGGAGATAAGCACCTTCTGTATCCCTACACAGACTTCATGCCAAAAGACATTGAATTTATTCTGTTCGCCACTGACTGTTGGAAAGTCGAGACGTCCAATTCCTCTCTCTAGGACATTGCTGTCATAATACAGAGGGACTTTTTCCTTTTATCATATATGTGAATCAGAAGGAGATCAAATTGCAGTAGAGTATAACATTAATTTCTTAAGCAATTAATACACTTTAAAAAAAAGATTTCTATTTACATTGTTCAGACTATTATCCTCATCTTTACTGTCACATTCACAACATTTTGGCCATTGTACACTCCAGTCTTCTTCAGGTGATGCCTTTTGCATATCTCAGTTTCAGTTAATTTGTCTTGATAAATCTCCAAGTTTTTGTCCTCTTCACTGAGGTCAGGGATTGAACTCACAACTCTTTGGGTCAAGTCACTTTTGGGATCAATCAACAAATCCAATGGGTCAAGTTTCCCCAAGTAACTTGACTCAAACTAACTAAGATTGAGATACCCAAAAGGCATATGTGGAATTAGAACAATCTATTCCAATGAACTAAATAAAGGGTTCAGTTTGAAATTCCAACAAATATCACCTGATGAAGGCCAGAGCATACAGCAGCCGAAATGTCTTGAATGTAACAATAAAGATGAGGACAACTGTCTGACCAATGTAAATAGTGTAAATAGTTACAATATCTCATCTCAGAAATATAGTCAGTCAGTCAGTTATGTGCCATGCAGGATACATGTATAGGCAATCATATATCTTTCGATACATGACTGACAAGGCAGATTTTTTCTCGCAGTAGGTT